CCATGACCATGACTGTGACATGTGTCTTAACGGATCGTACATCATGTTTATTGTTTAAACTTGTATACAAAACTTCAAATCACAATCTAGTTGAATGCTGCATTCTGAAAGTAAAGTAAATAGAAATAGTATATATATATATAATAGAGCATATAGTAAATAGAAAAAATAGAAAAAATGTGTAAGCACATTCCAGAAAGAGAAAGTCCTTTTTTATGAAAACTTTACTCTGGGATTGCACTTTACCTTCAAGAAGAATCGAACGTAACTCTTGTTCCTGGCTGCGAGAGATTCATAGTTTGACTTCTTCATTTCTTTTTCAATTTTTGTCAAACTTCTTCCGTAAATCCTTTTTGAAAAGATAATTCTTCCAAGTTTGCTGTAATCGATGTGAAGAATTATTTTGGGAGCCATGATCCAGGATCTCTAATCCGAGAAAGGAGTGTGCCTTTCCCTACCTTGTGATATTTTTATGAGTTGTAAAGAATCGATGGAATGTATGCTCACCTGAGATCTCCGCCGTGAGGAGAAGGTAGGCAGGAATCTCATTCTGGAGAATTTTCTATTGGAATTTCTGATTTCCTTCTCGGAAAATGTATATTAGAGGGAGATAAAATTCCTACATTGCAGCAGCCAGTCGGGAATATTGGTCTTTATTTTTCAGATAAAAACTTGGTTTTTATCATGTGGGCATTAATACTACAGGGAGAAAACAAACTGGAACTAAAATGCGTACCTGACTAGTCTCACATACGTACATATGTATCACCTTGACGTGTCCTATGACACAAGACAGACAGGACTGTCTTTAATTAAGATTTATAAAATACCATGAACAACCAGTAACAAGATTCCATTTTCTCTCGCTCTTCCAGATTTGCTTCTTTCTCGACGGACGGGACGAGGTGGAAATGACATTATGTTCCATTACATTATTAGCCACCATGGGTCAGTCCGTGTGAACTTACTTTTAAGGTGGATTGAACAATAAACAGGCCGTTGAACTTCTTAGCCCAAAAACTCTCTCTGGGACTGAGCTGAAACTTGGAGACGACCAAAAGTGAAAGTGGAGAGAAAAAAGTTACCTAGTGTGTGGTCTCAAGAAATGGATACGGGTCAAAACCAAGCACACAGCAGCAGCAGCCACAGCGGACTTTCTCCTCCTCTTCTCACCTCGCTCTTCTTCTCACCATTTCAACTTATTGCCAACAGACCCCAAGGCTACACACAGATGGTCTCCACAATCAACTGCTGCTGAATTGAATGAAATGAGAGCAAAACTTTTCCTGTGAAGAAAGAAGTGCAGCAACTTTCCCATAAAATAGAAAGGGTGATGCCAATAACGAGAGAGAGAAGAATGGCTTTGGCTGGAAACATTGGAGCAAAAGTGAAAAATCGGTGGAGATTCCAGGAAGGAGGCAGTTCGACTTCAAGACTAATGGGACAGAGTGGATCCCTTCTCCTCCTCTACCTCCTATTAATCGCTCCTGATATCGGTGAGACATTTTTTATTCCCCATTCTTAATTAAAATCCATCCCTGACACTTCCCTTCATATCCCGCTGTACATGTATCCCACGGACCCGTCCGTAGTCACACGAACGACACTAATTAATTTTTGGAAATTGGTGCTCGTTCAAAAAGTGACTAAATTTTAAATTTGAGAACTTTACAATTAAGCTAAAAACTACAATTCTTGCCATGCAGTAAGTTCATGTACATGTACTGATTCAGGAAATATTTGGACGCTTACAAATGAACCAGGCAACCAGACCATGACTTTGCCCCCTCTGCATGACTTCAGCGTGGAAAAGAGGGGAGCGAGAATTGTGGGATTTAAAGCAGGTCGTTAACGAATCCACTAATTTTGACGACGGAGCCCATTATCAAAGTTTCCTATTTGTGGCATGGTTTCCTCTCCTGGTTTGTATTATAATGAAAATCGCCCTAACCACCGTGCCATTGCGAGTTACAAGGAGTGAAATGCGTCGGTTAAATGTGGTGTTTTCAGCCATGTCAAGTATCGTCCTCAAGATTAATTAACCGCTTTGACTTTTCCATCGAAAATTTCCCCTTCCGCCAAAAATTCCATTGGTGTACTTTCTTATATTAGGCTACACAATGGTTCAGCTCCTGGTACGCTTTCCCCATAAAAAGGTAGACAAATGTCAAAGTTTTGATGAAATTGTAGCATTTCCTGGATATCAAAGGAGAAAGTATGTAAGTACATGCATGCATAGTGAAGGCCTCTCACATTTAGAAAAATATTGTTTCCACCTTTTAGCGTTTCCATTTCAAGAAACGAAAAACATGTTTTAATTTCAAAAGTTGAGACAATTCCCTAAAACTTTTTTGATCTTGCTTTTGCTCTTGCAAACTTTCTATGGGTCTGGAGATGATGTTCTGCAAAAAATCCGCAAGATGATATTTGAGACTTTGTTGAGTGGATGATATTTGGTAGTGCGTAAAAAGAAATGTTATGCGAAAAGTCTTGCTAGTTAGTAAAGTTGAGCATAGTGGTGGAACCACGAGCCAGCATAATGCAATGGGTGGAAAATGTTCAGTTGGGTGGTTCCTTCATTGTACGCAGCCACGCTCACTCCTCACAACATAAGATTTGATTTGGAGGATGGAATGACCTTTGTTTTTGTGCGAAAGTGGTGTTGTTCCGCTAATGAGAATTTGAATGAACCTCTTGATAAGTCCGACATGGAGCATAAAGCTTGATAGCGGTTGGGGAGCAAACCGGCGCCTTCGGCCCAGCATTAGGGTTTGTTAGATGAGCTAAATAATTGGAATTACCGAGTCAAGTGTGTACAGTACAAAACCAAATAACAAGCATAATCTCTCCAAGTTGCGACAACAAGGCTGGATCTGGGGTGCTATTATTCGCCATTAAATAAGTCCAGGCATACTCCACAGGCAAGAATGACGCAAATATGAATCGATTATTGTAATAATTATGGTGAAGATGATTGAGTTTCAAATCGCGATGCGTACTTTCACGCATATATTTGCTTGCGTCTTTCGCAACAGATCAGGTCACCCAAGTACCGAGTGGGTTCATTTTATCACACATAGAAAGCAACAGAATAGAAATACTTTTTAATACTTGAATAATAAAGGCGTGTTATTATGTCATATTTTTCAAGTTTATTTTGAGTGTGGGGGATAAAATTGCTCTTGAATTGCAAGATATACAGGTGATTCACCCGAAAATAACAGATTATTAAATTGCATGAAAAAAAGCATGTCGCAGTCTAATGCTAAAATTGTGTCTATAAAGTAAGTATGTGTATGTACAACGCTTTTTAATGTACTTTTTAAAACGTTGTTTATTTTTTGGTACTTATACATACATATTATTATGAGTTTTGTCACGGCTCGTAAACTGAGAAAAGTGCACATCATTTTTTCACATGATATGAAATTCCATTTTAAGCATCCACGTTTATCTTTGCATTTCATGAATATTTAAAAGTTCCTTTCGATTTTAAGAGCCATGAACTCGTCAGAGTACTATAATTTTTCTTCAGTGACCATCATTATTTTTAAGAACTAATAAAACGAGAAACTGAAAAAGCATTAAGTTTTCTTGCTAAAGCACTTTAATCAGTTAAAAGCTACACTTTCATTTAGCTGATTTGCCACTAGTGGTCTGCAACTGTTCACTCAGTATACTCATCTCTACACTAACCTCTAATCAAACCTGACGGTCTTTAGGCAATACAGGAGGTAAATCGATTAGAAGGAAGTTTACATTGCTATTATTGATCAGTCTGCAATTTCCTGTTAAACTTGTGATAAAGAGTGTAATCTTAGGTTATCGATGTTTATAGTTTTGCTGTATTTGGGAAGCATTCTAAATGCGTATTTAAGAACAAGACTCGAGTTTTCATAAGCTTTTTTTGGACATACGAGCTCGTACTTTCCCCAGAGAAAGATTTTATGCTGTGCCATTATAAGTTACAGGTAATAGCATCTCCTTAAAACTACCCGCAACGTCGTCAATTTGGCCGCAAACATCTTGCAGTTGGTTCCACTCTCTACTATACCTTAACTTGTTAACCACATTCACTTTCATACCCACCATCCTACTCCTGACTGCTCCTGTGTTTTACTTTCTCTCATCAGTTGATCTTTAATAAAGGAAGGAGTTTTGTAACGTAAAATACACATTCTCGAGTTTAGAATAGATTTTTTTACCCCTTGTAACACAGTCATGAAGCACACATGTTGCTGTTTTATTCTAATTTCGCTTCTTTACACTTAAACTAAACTAACAAAATATTCCGCTGCGAAGTAAAGTAAGTATATTCGAAAGGTAATCGACATTCGGCCAGTAATGCAATGCAACAGGGAGACCCCGTCCTGAATTTCCCTACTTCTTACATAATTCACAAAGGTCAATGATATGAAGCGCTACACATACAACTCCTGAATATTTGCTTTAGTTTAAATTTCGGGCTCGGCTGGTTTTCAAGAGAGGTGTAGTTCGTAGCGGTACCTACGTAGAAGTGCAGGGAAGTGGAAGTTGGTTAAATCCAACATAGGAACATTGGCAGTAAGCAGCTTATTCTCTGGTTATTCTCATGACTTGTCTGGAGGAAGAGAAAGCAGAAAGTCAAAGAGAATTTTTAGTGGTCTTCTTCTTTGGCTGGCCTGTGGTTTCCTGTTGATCTTCTGTGAAATGAAATGAAACACGAAATTGCAAAACTCATGTTGGTTGTAGTTTTACTTTTAAGTGCAATGAAGAACCAGAAGGGCGGAATGTATCCTCTATGCCAAAATATATTTCTCTTCAGAAGATATTTCATACCGGCCAAAACTATGTGCGTACTACGGATAGTACGATATAGGCCAGTACTGCTAACTCGCGTCTTTGGAATTTAGCACAAATCTCATCAGTTGGATTGTCACTTTGAACTTTGCTAATGTGTAGGCGTCGTACTGGAGGAACGCTTCAATAAATGCAGGAAAGGTTATTTTTAACTGGTCGAGACCAAAATTTATTTATTTACAAAGCCAATTTATTGAGTAAATGAATTGAGTATACATAATTTTCATGACATGTAATACTAAATAACTAGGAAGAAAGTTTGCGTAAAAAATCAAATATAAAAAAGTACTTGGGTAATAGATAACACAATGTGGAGCTTACATTTTTAACAATACACATTTGACGCCTTTCTTTAAATTCAGCGACAGCTATTCACTCGTCAACTTTGATTTCCACAAGTTCTTCATCCACCAGAAGTTGAGAATTCCACATGACATCCGCAAAATACCGTTTGTACGGATTGACCGGAGCAAAAGTGAAAAGTTCTCGGTTAGCCCCTGCACCAGCGACCGTTGACAAGTTTCGTCGATTTCTTAACTCGTGCTGCTGTCGCCTTTGTTTTTTTCTGGACAAACTTACAAAAATGCTCAGCATGGCGACGACCACAATCATGCTCACGACCAAAATGGCAGCGGTTGTGGCGACGGGGGATGGAGCGTATTGAGATACTGATTGAAAAAATCCCTCTGGCAAATTTCCAGTTGTTTCCTGATGGACTTCACCCTGTTAGGAATTGAAATTGTATTGATATTATAAATCAAACATTGGTGATTCAAAGCCAATGCAAAATAGGAGAAAAAAACTTACGTTGACATTTGAGTGAACGTGGGTTCCAGAATACTGAGTTTTTCCGTCATTGAATGAACTCGTTCCAGTTGATACAAAATGCCATTGTCCATTTTGTCCTCCATCACCAGGCGCAGGAAACGGGTGTACAATTATTGGCAAATTTGTGTCACTGAACATATTCCCCATTGTGTATCACAATTTTGAATATTTCGTAATGAATATTTCGAGAAACGGGATGCTCACAATAATGCGACTGCTTTGAACTAAATCAAGGTGGCAACTAGGAAAAAACTTTGGGTGACATTTTATAGGAGAGAATAAACGCTACAAATGTCAAACCATATGGAATATCAAGCATGATCTAGCCCTCCCCACACTAATATACATACATACGTTAACATATGTACGTGGCCAACGCCACGATGTCCATTTCATAGGCTATTGACGTTTGACAAAACCTGCTAAAAATAAATGAAGGTAATTATGTAAATACGTGGAAAACCCCAGTGGACCTTGTTATTGCTGTCGATGGACCATGCCGAATTCTATGCGTCGTGTACATAGGATTTTATTAAACAACTCTGGAAATGGAAATATGTAACAACCTTTACAAGCCATAACCCTTTTTGATTGAACTTTTGGGTTCGCAGGTACCTGTGAAGGGGACAAAAAAAGGATAAATGTTTTTGCAAAGGTTTATCGCATTGTCATTGAGTTGTGACATGGCATTTTCTTCATGAACTTTGGTCATCAGTATGCCAATTGACGAATTTAATATATATGGATTATTAGTATGTATTTATGCGAATCAAAATTGCAAATTGAACTATAATAATAGTAATGTCCATATTTCCTAACTTTTAGTTTAAATTACGATCAATATCTGATAAACCCACCGACTAGATAGCACATTAACTAGATACGAGTTAGCATGGAATTTCCTTGAACACAGTTAATTTGAATTTTTCAAAAACTATATATTTTCACTGCACCCCAAGGAAAAAGAAAGAAGAAGACGAACAAACTTGTGGTTTGGTTGGGTTGGACTGCGTAGCATATACGTGATTTATTATTTCAAGGATTTCCTCATTTGACATTTCAGGTGGAGGTGAAGAATGGTCGGGTGGAAGGGAATGTAATGCGGCCCTCGGAATGGAATCCTTCACAATCCCCCCACATCAGATCAGCGCTTCCTCATCCTACAATGAGGAAAACACGGGGCCACAGTTCTCGAGGTAAGCCAAAACCAGCAGCTTTCACCACTCGCTGGTTGCCCTATTCCTACATTTTTTCCATTTTTTCAAACCTGCTTTTGACTGTCGCCTCGTCCTCCTCGAGTGAAACGGAACGTGTATGGCACGGTATGAATGGAAATGTTTTTGTGGAGATGGACCCCATATTTATCTGGTTGAATGCTCCGGAAAATCAAGTGTTGGATTTGTTTGGTTATCATATATTTTCTGTCATACTCTTCACAAGAAGAGAAAGTTGGTTCTTCATCATCTTCGGTGCTTGATGCCAGTGATTAATGCATTTTTCCGCTCGCTCATTTCTCTCCCATAATACAACCAGTCAGTCCCCTTGTCTCTTCGGCTCGGAACCAATGTTTCAAATTTTCTAAATTCGCAGACACAGAATAACAGTTCCCCTCTTTCTTTTTCCTTTAAAATATTATGACATGTTCCGTTCTTACTGCAACCATCGGTGCAGTATCATCCTGCTCATTTTATGCACAATAGCAACACCTACGGAGCTCAACTGTGTGTATAAATGACTGAGTAAAACCAAAAAAGAGTTGAATTCTGTCACAAGAGCTACTTTGTAAAATCCTCCATTTCATGGGAACGAAGTGGATTCTCCTGTCATAAGAATCTCAAAATCCATGAATCAACGTTGAACAAAATTGAACGGACAGGAACTGGATCCAAAATAACAAAGATGTGGATGATTGAAATTCCCTGTAGTTTGGCAAGCATTCAAAGTGTTAAGTGCTCTCTTTCGCGTACTTTCACAGCCACATTTCTATACTTTCGTTTAATTTCTGCATGGTGCACAATAACTCAAAATTCAGGCACGGTGCAAGTTCCAGTTGTGCGGATGTAATGTACGTATTGAAAAGCTAAAGTGATTTCGCAACAACCTAATTCACATATAATTGGAGGTCTGCGATGGAAAGTATATGTAATATAGGGGAATGAGCTGGATGCTGCAATATAGCGTATGTGTAGTACATATATTTATGTATATCTATGTACTCTCACTCGTTATGTAGTGTTCCATTGCACAAAAACTTTTTAACCTTTAAATTTGGATTCCAAAAATACATTGTGCAATTTTAAATTTAAAAAGTTACTGGCAATTGGTTGACTAAAGTTAAATCACAACCTCTGACGGAATCCTGGTGGATATCCTGGTGGGTTTAAAAGTCTTATGACATTGGTGTTGATTTGACAGGATTGCCCAACAAACCACTTCAACTGCACCCTTTCTCAATAAATAGCGATTTCATTGAGCCGGACCACAGGAAGAGGATACAATAGTTTTCGAATCTGGATTTGTAGATATTTTGTGAGACTCAATCCAAGCAAACTCTGTAAATCCAAAGTCGGAACTACTTGCAAACACATTGCGTTCTAAAATTGGTTGGTTGTTGTCGTCCTTTTCTCGCTTCAATAGACTTCCTTCAGGCAGACTAATGCTAAAGAAAAGGAGAAAGCAAACGAAAACGCGACATCCAACAAAACATCAAATAGCATCACTCCTCCCGCTGCTGAAGAAACTCCAGAAAGCCAGAAAGCCTCCCAGAGAAAGTGTAGGCTGCAGAAAGAGTGTATTTAGTACTGTTCCAGCCGACTTTCATTCAGTCCTTGGAAAGCAAGAGTGTCTGCTTTTGGCATATTTGAAAGACCTGACTGATTTCAAAATGAAACAACTTTGCTACACAACAAATTCCAGCAGTCTTTAGAGGATGGCCTCTACCCTTGAAACAGAAAATTGGTATTGATAAATAAGTATTGATAAATAAGTATTGATAAGAGAATTGATAAATTTGACACCAACCTTGGAGAGATTTTTAAGATCTTGAAAAGTTGTTAGTATTTGCAGGTGACCTTTACTAGCTGGAGCTATACTTCACTGCAGTAAATTCAAATGAGGGACATTACTTTGCAAGCATAGTGTTACAAACAAATCGATTAATGGTTGACTCTATTTTAGCCAATGAAACGTATGTACGTGCACAAAGAAATGTAACCGACTGTGGAGCGTCCTATTCTGTCCATATCATTTCCACCACCATCCTTATCAATTCCTCCTGCTAAACGGAAAGTGTAAGCCTTCATAAAACTGGAATGTTTCATGAAATCGTTTTAAAAGTTAAATCCTTCCACTTGGTGAAAGTTTGGCGGAGATATATCGAGTTCAAGAGTAATGCCCACTAAACGACGAGTCAACACGAGTCCTACAGCCAATACAAATGTGACAGGAGAAGACGATGGGAGGATTTTGATTTCTTCATCGTTCACCATATTTTTTCAATTTCATTCCACACTTCAAAAGGAACATGTACAAAAGGGGGAAAAAGAAAGTTTGTTGTGTATAGATCGTTTCTGATGCTAAAGATTCTTTACTTCTTTCAAAATTTGCATTGCCTTCTTTGACAGCCTCCTTCTGTTATTTCTTGTGCTCAGTTTGAGTCCGATGGAAATGTGGAATATTGAATTTCCTTCCGCTTCACACTTGAAGATATTACACACACTCTGAATTACATTGAAACGTCTAAAACAAGAATGGAAAGGGGAAAGCAGAATTCTTAGTTATATATTTCTGGTCATAAGATTTTGATTTCGTTCATATTTAAAAAGTGGTGACCATCGCTAGTTCTAGTGACGGACCGTCACTGACGGTCTTCGTTATAGAAAAAAGTCATGAAGAGAAACTATTTAACCAGGAATTTGATAGCATGGATGATTTAACAGAGCAGAGAAAGAGAAAGAGGTGAGGATCTTGCTGAGTAAAGTCATTCCAGACTTCACTAGTGTCTTAACTGACAAAAGATGAAAATAAACAATTTGAAACAGACTGACGGTTTATTTTGTTCTGCTTGAATTTTCTTCTTGAAAGTGGAATACGATGGGAAAGATGATGAAATATGAGAGAGGAGAGAGGGTGAGATGTTGTGAGATAGATCACGTCTCAGAAATTAAATTGACTGTCGACAATTGTATAGTACTTCTGTAGATGAGACTTTCAAACGAGTTTATATAAATAAATATACTTACATATTATGTATCTCTCTCTTTCCTTCCACTCTTCTTTCTTATGTACCAGTGGAAAATGTTATTTGGACCAAGAACAAAGATTTTCAACGGGAATTTCAAATCAATTTTTTTAGATTCTTGCTTTTATTACGCAATGATTTGGTAATTTGAATTTCAGGATGGAAGATTTGTAATAATGTTTCCTTCATAATGAAAAATATTTTCTAATACAAAATATATTGGACCGAGTCTAATTTTAGTTTCCCTCTGCTACAACAAAAGTCGAAACTCATAAATATTGTAAAGTTATGTAACTCTCAAAATCAGTAGAGGGTTGGAATTATGAATCAGCAATGAGAGCCAGTACCATCTTTTTGTAATCACCGGAACATTCATCTTCAATCCATTGGTCCAAAGTTTTCTCGTAATTTTTGACAAATTCAAGCTTAATGTTTCCCAAGTCAATTTCAGATCGAGCAATAAGAATGTTGATGAGTGCCTTGTCATCAGTCCCCATCCCTGCCATGCATCGATGAAGCCGTTGTGCCCAAAATTCGTCCTTGTTTTTCGCAACGCCAACTTAAATATCAAATTAAAAAGACTTGTAAATTGAGTGATTACGTATATGTACATATTAATTAATTTTGTCACATTAGTCGCCTCATTGTGCCACCCATACACTTTTCTCAATGGACACTACTTATATCAGTTCAACTTTCTTTATGCGCTCCAGAGAAGGAAAATTGCTCATCTGTACTTTAATTTGACATAAGCTGAAAGCTGGTTTCAAAGCCGTTTAATGCGAGTTTAATAAGAGCAGATAAGAAAAACAAAAGAGGAATTAACCCCTCGACTGAGCACTTTCATGTAATTTTAGATGTCTTCTCATTATTATAATCCGTCGTCTGTTGTCGGACAAAGAGTCATTTTGGTGGAGGACACCCGTCCAGAATTTTGAGGGGGCGAGGAAAGTGTGTACAGTGGATGATAAAGAGTGAAACTTACGAATTGTCTCCGCCGCTTTGAGCAAGTCGCCTCCCAACTCGGCCGCACAAACTTCCTCCAACGTCTTTCCTGCCAGCTCAAAGTATGCTTGGCTCACTGCGTACAGTTGTTGGTACGAGTTACGCACCAACACCCGGGTGAAAGTTGACTCGTCCGTCCCGTACTTTAGCTCGCCTGTGCACAATTACAAATGAATCAAACTCCGTCTTACATGCATGTTAGGATTTTTGCGTTGTATGACGACTGACCCGCTTCTTGAATCGCTTGTGCATCTTCCTTCGCTTTGACCAAGTCGACAGGGTCGTCCTCATGACGGGCAGCTTGGATCACAGCGACCATCAGATTTTGGAAGTCGCCACTAAGTTCTTTCTCCAACAGTTCTTCCATCGTGTCACCATACACTGTGCACATGAAAGGACACATTTTACATCGTACGTATGCATGTACACACATTGTAAGTTAAGTTTCAGATTGAGTTTTGTGAGGAAGAAATTATGTATGTTCTCACTCTGCTTGTAGGCATCAGTAATCATCCGAATTTCGCAGTTGTTGGCAGTGCACAAGATGTCGATAAGAGTTTGCTCGTTTGTTCCAACACCTTTGCAGGCCTTCTTGATAGCCCTCGCTGCGAATGATGGGAAGGGAAACATCATTGCAATAACTACCCGCTCAAAGTTTCCGCCCAATTCACTCTAAGATAAAAATAATTAGTTCAAAAAATTAGGAATAAAACTTGGACAAAAAAGTAGGGAGATTTTTTTTTTACTTTTAAATCATCCATCAAGTCTCGACCATACAAGGTCTTGTAGACTTGTTCAATATTTACACGTTGGTTAGCACTTCGGTGGGGTAGAATTGCAGTGATTTCCTCATTGTTGCATCCAAACCCCCGCATTGCTTCCCGAAGGGCCTTCGCGTCAGCTTCAGCATCAAAGTTCTCCGCTGGACGAACAGTTGGGATGTTCTAAATATATTTAACTTCATTAAAGTTAATAATAAAAATGTTTTATGAAACACAAGTGGAGAAGACATGAAATTTTTACTCTTATAGAATTTTTTATTTATAGGGTATGCTTATCATATGTATAAGATTAATATATACAATATTCAAGAAAAAATGTACAAATATGTACCAGCAAGAACTATGCTCTGCCTACGTAATACATTCATCTCTGTATATACATATGCAAATATTATCATGACGTTCCTATCTACAAAAATTTGCATTTTATGAATTACGCAAGCCACACTCTCCCATGTCCAGATTCTGGACTCCAGAACTGAGAAATTTCTCAACATACAAGATACACGTAGTTATGTAGCCTCGTCTCTCTTTACGTACGTACATAATCCTTCGTACTTTTGCAACAACTTGTAGTCAATGTTTTAATTGAAGATTGTTGGGTCGGTGAATGTGTTTCAGTGAAATTTTAATGAAATATTTTCCTACTAAAGTTATGACAGCTCCATTACTTCGATCCGCGTCCACCCACCCACCCACTTTCAACTTCATCTTTCCACGCCGAGTTTCCAAATCACACTTTCTCATTTTATTAAACGAACATTGTGGATGGGAAGCTTTATGAATTCTGCAACGGATTGCTAACTGGATACGCTGATTTGGCGAGAAAGTCAGCCAACCCCACGCACCCACTGCTTATGTGCTTAGTTAGTTTCTCTCTCATCTCAAGAATGGAATGCCAGCGAAAGTATTTTCAGTAAGGAAACTATGTTTTCGGCTACAGAATGCGATGCGTGTCTCATCTCTTCACTGCCCTAGTTTACTTTTCCAGAAACATAGAAACGACTCTCGGGAGCTCATTTCATAAAATATTTTCTTCTCTTAAATGATTAAAGTTTTAATACAAGTTCTATATTTCCTAGGATGGGACTTTATCTGGCATGTGGTATGAATTACATGCTTACCTTACTGCACAAGGCGCAGGGGCAGTTCTTCAGTGGAACGAACACCATCTCTACACACTGAAATATGAATTATGAATTTGAAACGTGGAACTTTGAAAATTGAGCAGAATCTTGTAGTTTTTCGCTACTTCAAGGGAAGAGTTGGAGTCGGTCTGACAGCTTGGCGAGTTGGTTGCAAGTGATGTTTCATTAGTCAGACATCCTTGGGCTGGGCTAGAGGAGCATCATGTTTTGCAAACGCAGCAATTGCATAAAAGTGACTCACTCAGCCAATGCTAATAAGGTTGATGGTTCCACGTTGCAATCATAAACCACAATATTACATTGTTGTTCCAAATTTTTCGTTAATGTACAACAATAAATAGTGAATAAACCGTCGCCAATGTTATACAACGCAATATGCTCCGTCTAAAAATATTCAACTGTTCGGATGTCTCTATTGCCATTTAATGATCTAGATTCTACGCCAAACGGGGTGATTCACGCCTCTGTTTAGTTTGACAACACACTTGTATAAGCTCACCACACTTTGAAATATGTATGGCCCTACCACAATGCAGTTGTACATATTGCACTTTTTGCACTGTAGAATGGATACACGGTTTGCTAAAATTTGGCTGTAGTTGATTTTGCTGCAGACATGTACATACATATTTAAATGCCGGTCTCCAAGGTCAATCACCAGTATCATTGCACTGCTCCGAGCAAATGCAGTGGGTTTGCATTTATATTTACTCCTTTTAAACGGTGACGAGTACCCTAGATAGGGAGAGGCGCAAGGTTTTTGCACTGGAGGGTTTCTTGGGTATTAATTTGATGTTAATTAACATACTAGTACGTATTAATACGTACTAGTATCAAATTAATATTAAATGAAAATTAATCCAAATATTGACATCAAGTTAACCCCAAAATAGTATATACATGACAGAAAATTTGCATCATGTTCACATTTAAAGTTGTCCAGAATTCAGTCATTATCTAGAACTTGAAGATACTGAAAAATTTTCGAATTTCAGATTAGATCATGAATATCATTCAAATTGTTGTTCTTGTCACAAATACTTTAAATTTAGCATTATGATTTGAGGTGGATACCCTGCCCACACGCCCAAAAAGTAAGCAAGAAGTGTTGGTTCGGTTTACTTTGGCAAGTCAGCCAATTAAGAAAGTCAGCAAGCAAGCTTCACACTCGCAAATTTCTTTGGTGTTCTCTCTAAATGGTAAACTTTTACTTTGCAGAAAGTCCATATACGTAAGTGAGCAGTAGACATTATCAAGAAGTTGGCGAACGAGTTAACATCTGTAATTAAGTGATGCTGGGCGGGGATATCGTTACATCACTGATGATGCTGATTAGCATCGCTCTTCATACTTCGTCTGGCTTCAAAGGCGCCTACGCCACTACTTTACACGCTACATTGATTTTGATTACGTATGAAAAGTACCCTCACTAAACGATAGGGGACAAACGACACTGTTTCTTGGTCAATTTAGGAACTCCTACTGTTGACTGTTTCTAAAATTTAATTAACGGAAATGTGGATGCATTTAGTGCAGAAGGAAGCGTAGACTGATTAGAATTTTGTTGGGAAATACTTATATTTATGACTTGATTTTCTATTAAAAAAATAGCGTTATGCTCTAAAAAAATAATCTTGAAAATGACAGTTGAGCTGCCAAGATTCAAGTCAATAAGTCTCATCCCAAGTGTATGGGCACTAGTAGTAAACGAGAAGGATGAGCTACTAGCAACATAAAACATTGCTTCTAGGGAAAAGCAATGTCGTTGCCATCTTATGCTCATAGTTATTGCATGGTCTCTGGTCACTCGGATCGAATGCGATGTGCGTGTGTGTGTGTGTCAAGACAAGATATGGAGCACCAAGAAGGAAACGATGGGTCTTCTTTTGGGAGTTATAATGTGATACGGCTGGATTGGATGGCCCAATGACCCTTTTTCTCCGATTCAATTCACATTGGACACTACCATCCCGTCCAGCATCCGATCCCCTCCCCAGAACACAAGTAATAGTTTCATGGACAATGTACTCCGCATTTCCATCGGACAGGCAGGCTTCTCTTCTTCAGACTTCAATGGCAAGAGTATAAAATCTCAAAACGTTGGCCAGAGCACTGGACCCTAAGCAAAATGTTCGGATACTTTTCTTTACTACGCACAACTACTCATGTCCAAAGTCTGCAATTGTGTTCACTAAGAAAGGTCCAGGCGTGGTACTGCCCGAGAGAGTGAAAAATGGCATGATTCACATTATGTGGTAAAATTAAAGCGGTTCTATCTTGAATCCCAATAAATCATTGGACAGATACGTCCCTACTCTGCTTTCTATTATGCCAGCCTAGTTTTATACCATATGTAGCTGTACTACTAGTACATACGTACATACAAACGCTAAACATTTGCCATGTTTGGTGTCTTGTCCAGTTTCTGACTTGATGGTACATATTCGTCGTCGTCGTCGTTGTCGAGGCTTATTTCATGTGCAGAAAGAGACCATGTGTTTGCCCGCAGATATGGGATCGGTTTCCCATTGTGATAACCATCTCATGAATCCTTCTGCTTGAAGAACAATATCCGTAGTGCATACACTTTAGTCTACTTTCTCGACTTGTGTTTCTCCAAGATGTGCTCTATCGTGAAGCATAAGAATAACTTTTATTATGGTCGTTTCGTGCCGCTCTCTCTCTTCTTTGCCTGCCGGAACGAATGGACGTTGAGAAGGGAACAGACAATGGGCAGAGAGATGCTCAATTCACTGAATGATATCTCCACTTGTTTGACAACTGGGCCATTCAATCGGTCGTTATTTGACACATTCAACTAGATATGAAGTTGACTCTCTGCGAATCATTTCTCTACTACTTTTATCGAACCACCCCACATGCACAGTCCGAAATTTTGCGATGCAATTGCAAATACCGGTTTATCGTCGAAATGCGAACGTGAGGTTGTTAAATGGAATTGAAGAAATCGATTATTACATAGGTATAGTTTATATATTCTTATATCGTGTATTTCTTCTGTCAGTTTTTGCACATGCTTTAGGTTGACTGCCTTTATGTAAAATATTATGTAATTCAATGCCACTAATCCTAAGAATACTCCTTTATTCTATTTCAGGATTCGTCAGGACAAGAATGGCGGAGCGTGGTGTCCAAGACCGGGGATTGAGAAGGGCGTTAAAGAGTATTTGGAAATAGATTTCGTCAGGGAACATCGCATCACTCAGACGGAGACTCAAGGGCGCTATGGAAGCGGAATGGGTGTGGAGTATGCAGAAAATTTTCAGCTGGAATACTGGCGAGATGCGTTGGGCAAATGGGTCCCATATAAAGATCACATTGGCCGCACGGTAAGAAACTTGGTCATTTCCACCAATTGATGGAAACTATGCAGGAATGTCGTTGACGTAAACAAAGGAACTACATACATTATGGAACTAGACTTTCGGACTAAAACCAGGCGTATTATTCTGTTATATGAATTAAAAAGACGTTTTGAATGTGGACCAAGATTTAGAGTGCATGATTCAATTTAAACTCTGCGAGTGGCAATTGGGACAAGTAACCCGAAAATGCAGAAATTTGCATTCAAATTCCCATTTTCATTTTATCTCGGATGTGTCCCACCCGATTTGCATCCGCTCTTCTCCTTTTCACGTCTTTGCATCAATTAAGATTCCTTGCACGTTTTCCATGCATGCAATTGAGAACCCGGACCGGAACAGCTCGCGAATACTTACCTGGACTGCACGGTAATGTATTCAGTATTGATAGAGATTAGATTACTTGGGGAGCACACGTAGCTCTCTCGTCTCACACTTGGCAATTTAACTCAGATTACACTCCAACTCCAATGAGACTTTAGCACCTTTCTCTCAACTCAAATCAACTCCTTTCCTCCACGTTTCTCTAAAGTAATTAGATTCCATTGGATCCATTACATAGATTTCGCGATGGGTTGGGTTCCCATTTTGTGAGTCCAACTATTTACTCTAGCTAATCCAATTCTTTTTGTTACTTATGTACCTATTTACAAAATATTTTGCCTTTGAGTTAAGCAAAGAGCGGATTTAAATCTTCTGCATTACTGGATTTTCAACGAGTTGACAGGATCATTTGGTCTTTTATCATAAGCTTCATTTGTCTCTTCATTAGAACTCGGATATAATCACGTTCATCCTGCTCAATGAACCCTTTCACACAAACTTTATCCCACGGCTTTTTGACCCAAGTTCAGCCTGCAAAAGCAAACAGATATCTGTAAATGTGTATTACTCTGTTAAAAGGAAACGCAAACATGTTTTGTGAACAGATGATTTAAGCCGACGAGAGGGTCAGCAGTAGATTTGTAGTTTTTTTTCTGCTTGTTATTTTAAACCAAAACTCACGTTGATGCGCCAGTTGAAGACCTGCCCTTTGTTATATTTTGGCATTTTCACAAGTTGGATGAGCTTTCTATCTCTTTTGTAGAAAATTTAAAAAGGGTTCAGGATTTTTAGAGAAAAACTTTAAATTTAGAATTCATTATCAGCTATTATTTAAGATGGACATAATTAATTCTAATATCATCACTGACACATAGGATTCTTGGAGAGAGAATTCAGCTTATATCCTCAACATGCGAGTTGCTGTTAAATCTCGAATATCTATTAGAGATGAGCAGGAGGTACTTGATCCAGATTTTGTCGCGACAACTGGAATGGTTTGTTGAGTGATATGCATGTGAAATCGGGGATAAAGGGCGGGTGACTGGAAAGGGTGACATCAACCATCAACCATATTTACAATCTGACATTGTGTTGTTCGCCTTTGTGGAAATGAGGAGGGAGCACGTTTTGTGAATTTGAGCTTCTACTTCGTGATGCCGCATACAATTTGCCCTTTATCTCTCATTCATGTGTGGAAAATGGTGAATGGATGTATTGGATGATGTGTTTACAGCGCTATATTTACGCCATTAATTGAATTTTAAAGTATTTCCAGCTGCACAAATACAAACATTGTTTTGTATGCAGATGCATGCACGAAGCCTCCTCGGCCCTGCCTTTTCAGCGGCATCAGTCACAATCCGTCATTTTAATTTTTAATGTGATCACTCATTGAAAGCAGAAGCTATACAGTTCTTAATTGGATTGACCAATTTTGCAAGTTGAGGGGGAAGGAGGGAATAAGATCCATCTGTACTGTATTATTTGCTTGTTTGCATATCACTTGTTCATCGCCAGTTGACGACATGCCTGATATTAAACAATACTGCTATTAGCTTACTTTTTTTCTAAATAACTTTTTTTCTAACTGGAGTAAAATTTAGGCAGAAATATTTAAGTAATTCAAGGTTTCATCATAAACTTGAATAATTTTTGACGGAAGGATAAACAGAGAAACCATCTAATAGAATATTAAATGATTTCCTGAGCATCCGTGCAAAGGGTTTCCTTCGCTCAACCTCAAATTACAACGGAACAAAGCAGCAGTTAGGGGAAGGATTCTGGTGAATCTACGCACAGAGAACTTTCTCCCAGTAGCTTTCCATGTTATCATCTGAAATGCATGGTCGGGTTGATGATCCGAATAGTGGGAGTCAGTGAAGGAACAGATTTACAAGGATTGCTGCACGAGAAGAGAGCCGGGCACGAAGATCCATGTCCTATCATCGCGTATGTTCTTGCACACAGTGCGGAGGAAACCCATTCACGAATTACACGATAATTCCATTACCGTCTCTCCATATTTTCTGCATTATCTGGCAGCATGAGAGTTATATTCACCCACGAGTTTTGCCACAACCATAACTTTAGTCGGACAGGAGGCATGTTACAGGTCAGCAGCCGAATGATATCTCCTCACTTTAATCGTCGTAATGATCACGACGATGGTCTCATGTAATGTGCGACTAATAATCATTCCACTGGATGAGACTACAAATGCGTATACACATTTTAGTACAGAAATTGCGTGAACGTGGTAGCAAATATCGTATTTTCTTCGTCTTGATCTTACATAGTATGGCAAAACTACTTACTTTACGTATTTTGGTATTTTCGTACACCAGAAGGACTCAAATTACAGTCGATGGAGCTACAGATCAAATGACCCCTCCTTCTTTAGTCTATTTGTGTACATGCTAATGTGCATATGTTGTGAAGAAATTTTAATATTCTTTCTGTTGTTGTTAAAATAGTACAAGTAGACACCTTACATAATTTCATAAGTTGTTGATCATCCTTTTTTGTCTATGGACTTTACGTGCATGTACTTTATTTGTATATGTCATCTTTGCATTGAAATAGAATACATAATTGTGGAAAAATTATAATGACGAAATGTTTTGTAAATATTTGTTGAATTTTGGTGTTGTTTGCATAATTTCAGATTCTCAAAGGCAACGTTAACACGTATACTGAAAACCAGCAACAACTGAATCCTCCGATCATTGCCAGCAAAGTGAGATTTATCCCGTATTCACTTCACATTAGAACCGTCTGTATGCGAGTTGAAGTCTACGGCTGCAATTTTACAGGTAAATAAAGGTTTATATAAAATTTTACAGAAAACTCCTGTCAAACTAAATGAAAACTTGATTTTTAGCTTGACGTATATTTCTGCATTTTGTCAAAATAAACACTGTTTTCAATATAAATTTGGGATATGTGTCAGTAGATTTATGAACACAAATACATCGATGAAACATGAAATACACTTGTATATTTAGTTGGAGTGTGGAGTAAAGAAAAACTCGACGTTGGTGGGTTAAGAAAACCTCTAATTGATTCGGATAGTATCCGAGATCACCATTCGGCTCCTTACAAGATTTTTGTAAATAAATTAGCCTGTCATTTAAAATGTAAAATAATTACTCCATGTTGATTGGGAACAGCTCACATGATTGATGCCGTATTCCAACGTTGAAAGCTGATTGTTTAAATCAAACATGTTGTTTACGTAGGAGCAGTGATATCCTTCATCCTCCTCTCCAGATCTTTGATGAAAAATTTTAAAATATTCCCTGCCCAGGAATTATTAATAATGCTCTTCATCTCCATGTACCCTCGCTGTGTGGGAACAGAGATGAAATATTTGCTTGGTGCGGCTGATTTCATTTCGAGAAAATTTCCGACTTTCTCCCTTCCACAATATTAAGCTTCCCATTCATAAAATTTACATAGCTGCCGCTTATCGTAAGATATCTAGGTGCAAGTTGTAAATTACACCGTGTATTTGTGCCTTGATGGGACCGCAGTGTGCAGTAGTGGTGCAGGTCTCCTTGCACTGCAAACAGAGTGTTGGATAATTAAAACAAGGGGAACCATACCAACTTTCCTCCTTATTAGACTTGGTTTGCTTACTTGTGAACCAAGGTGAATACACAGCCGCATGGATGGCGAAACAGTGCTTCTGGTGAAGAGGGAATTTTTTCACCCCTTCTTAATCATCAGAGGTAAAGACGAGAGATAAATTATTCCTTGGAACAAATGGTGTCTTGGGTTGTGGGATGTGGCAAGAAATTACGCAGGGAAACACTTTCTCATCTTCTCGAGCAAAGTCTGCATGCATTTTGAATTTCATGATTAATGAATGTTGTGGTTGAATTTAGCAGAGTGTACAATAAGAGTCAGGGAGCAGGCTCATTATGAGGTCTGCTTGAGATACGGCCGTATTGCCGCATCGCTCCTGCTCGCCCTTTTATTTGCATATTTTAATGCAATCATGAACAAATGTTAAACTCACTCTCTCAATTCACCACTTAATTTTAAATTGCACTTGAAATTTGCCCATGGTCAGGACATGGTGCGAGCAATTTTTCTGTTGGCTGTGGACCGACCATGAAGTTACTTAACCAGACAATTAAATGACTCCCGCAACAGAATGGTTCTTAAAAATTGAGTGATGAAGAATAAGGGTGATGAGGATAGGAAGTTGAATAAAGTACTCGTGCCAAGATAACATTTTATTTAGTGATTCAATCATGTAAACCTCCGGCCTGGTTGTAAAAAGATCATTCGTGATTTGGTTTTAACAGCTTTCAACTGCTTATTTCTAGTGGAAGATGATCTCACGTATGGTGTCATTAAAAAGTAATAAATTACATCAATAATAACAAAAATTCCTACTTCTAAACAATACTCATTGGCCTCTGTGGTGGCTCTTTTACACACATACACACAGCTATTAATATTTAGTAACTGGATGAATAGATCTGTCAAAGTTGTACTTTATAGAATCCGACTTTTTCAGAAAAACTAATGTCCACGATAGGGGACACCAAAATTCCTGGTCCCCGTATATCCAAATAGGTTAGAATGCTTGTCATTGGGGCAATACCGCACAGTGCAGAGGTATCGTGCATTGGAACAGTGAGCCGATATAATGTATACAGAAGTACAACCGTAATAAACAAGAGACACACATCAAGTTATACAGCTTAATATGTGCATGTAACATTTATTACTAAAGCCTGATAAAACAAATACATAACGAAGTTTTTAACTACCAACGGGAATACCATTTTAAATGTAACCTTTTTTTCAACGTGCTACCATCCACAGATTTTTTCATCAGTTCATCATTTGCATTCTTTGCATCTTGTAACTGTAATTGATTTCCTTGTAGCGTTTGACAAGCAATAAGTTCTCCGTTTTCTTTCAAAACTGCATGCTCTGGACTTTCTGGCATTCCGAAGGGTGTCGTCATAGGCGTAATTCCGATAAGATGCTTAATCTTGTACAATCTGGCGTTGTTTGTCGGACTATTTTTGATTATAGCTGTGTCGCCTTTCTGTGAACATTTTATCACAAAATTATTTGTAATAACCTTGTGTAAGTTCTAGTAGAATATGTAATGTACACACATATCTACTTACAGATTCAAGTTTAAAATGTTTTATGAGATCTTTCTCCCATCTTGGGATTCCGAAGCACGACCGGATTCGTTTAACCATAAACAACTTGGTGGCTTCATAGGGTGGATCTTTGTGGTCAGGAAATCTACATCAAAACAAAATTATAACATAGCCCAATCTAAGAAAATAAGAAAAAAAATAAGAAAAACACACTATGTAGTCTAATTCTTCCAACAATTGGACCCCTGGCCTAACCCAGGGATAACTCTGGATTTAATGTAGCTTGTTTTGATAGCAAATGGGATCTTGGAGAGGTCGTTAAATCTGGCGTGTTTCGGGGGGTGTGGCTTTTCATCCTCTCCTAGTTCAACAAAAATCCAAATCCCATCCCTCGCCATGTTTCTGGCTTTTTGCTCCAAAGTGCCATCCTCATCTAAATTCTTCACCTTTGGGGAGCTGAGAATAAATTTAGGCTTATCTGGGTGTAGCTGATTCCACTCGTCCGCATAATACTGTTGGGAAAAGGATAATTAAATTTAGATAAGTATTTAAAATAAATCCAACAGTTGGAATAAAGATTGAAAATATAAAATTACCAGAAGAAAAGCTTCTCCAAAGTGAGCAACAAACTGATTTAAGCACTGCTGTGCCAACACCTCGTTGCACTGGTTTTTGGGGTCGCTTGTTAGAATATAAACTGGGGAATTTAGTTCACAAAAATGGCTCCGTCGGCACGTTATCTCAGTATCACCATTGGTATTTGCTGCATCCCATTGACCGATGTAGATGGAGAGGTCAAATTCGGGGTCGCATAAGTCTTGAACCCTAAGGGGTCCAACTTTTGGAGAGATTACAAGGATGTACAAGACATATGTGCCAAGGATTCTGAGGCCGTTTTCATATTTTTCATTGTTGTTCGCCACTATTTCATACATCTTGTTGTTCAAGTCGGCTGTTGGGTGTGTTGAATGGCTCGTTTTCTTGCTTGGCACCTTGATCACATTTTTATTCGCCTTATTCTTCCAACAATTGGACCCCTGGCCTAACCCAGGGATAACTCTGGATTTAATGTAGCTTGTTTTGATGCCAAATGGGAGTTTGCAGAGGTGATCAAATCTGGCGTGTTGTGGTGGGTGTGGCTTTTCATCCTCTCCTAGTCCTGAGAAAATCCAAATTCCGTCCCTCGCCATGTTTCTTGCTTTTTCCTCCAAACTGCCATCCTCATCTAAATGCTTCACCTCTGGAGAGCTGAGAATGAACTTTGGCTTGTCTGGAATCTTCTGATTCCATTCGTCTGCATAATACTGTTGAAAAAAAGATAATTAAATTTAGATAAGTATTTAAAATAAATCCAACAGTTGGAATAAAGATTGAAAATATAAAATTACTAGAAGAAAAGCTTCTCCAAAGTGAGCAACAAACTGATTTAAGCACTGCTGTGCCAACACCTCGTTGCACTGGTTTTTGGGGTCGCTTGTTAGAATATAAACTGGGGAATTTAGTTCACAAAAATGTTTCTGTCGGCACGTTATATCACCATCGTTAGTTGCTGCATCCCATTGACCGATGTAGATGCAGAGGTCAAATTCGGGGTCGCATAAGTCTTGAACCCTAAGGGGTCCAACTTTTGGAGAGATTACAAGGATGTACAAGACATATTTATTTGGGATATTCCTTCTTCGTTCATTATTCTTAACATACAACTTCTCTCGCCTTTCTGGATTTCTGTCATAATTTCTAGCGTTATTTGAAATTCCCTTCCTCCATTGACATGGAAAATCTGACTTCAGAAAGGAATTTGACCCTTTGATCTGTGTAGTGGCGAATCCTTTCTTCTGAATCCAATGGACTTCTTTCTTGACATGATAGTCCACCAAATCACACAAAAATAAAAACTTGTTGTAGTGATCTTTGAAGAATCCGGTCGTTGCAACTGACAGCCAATCTCTAAAGATAACACGATTGATGTGTTGAACGGGGTCCTGTGAATACTGAAAAGATATATAAATCAAAGTTAATTACTAAAACTAATTCCAATTGTTGGACCACTATTTACATTGGGGGAATGCTTAACTTCAACTTACCAGGTCAGGGAAAACTACCTGTCGGGTTGTAGTGATTTTCAGGAGGCCTTTATACTTCTTCTTAACATATCGTTTATCAATACTTTCGAAATCCAAAAATACAATTGCTGGACCAGGAGTGAAGAGGCTATTGTTAATAACTTCCCGAGAGTCGTCGTCATCATCGTCCACGTAGTACTCGTCCAATTTTTGGAACAGATCAAAGTCCAAAATTGCGACTCCTCCCTGACTCGTCCACAGCTTTAAAGAATTGATTTTCTGTCGAATATTTTCTCCTTGCCAGACGTCATGAAGTAAAGGTCGCTGGTCGGGGTCCACAGTTTCAAACACATTGTCTATTTCACATGACCATATTTGTCTCTTGAGAAGGGGACAGAGGATAAGAATTGTCCCAAGTCCCGGTCGCGGCTCGTTTTTCAGTACAGCCTGGGCGAACGCTGCGACTTGTGTCTCTCTTCCAGGTCCCTGCAAAATATACCAACAATCTTCTTCCAAGTCCAACTTTTGGAAATGTGCATAATAAATTAAAAATTACTTACCACGAGATAATCCAAAGTGAACATGTCAGAGTTATAACGTGCTTCTTGTTCGAAGCCCCCAAAACAAGTTTCATACATAAACTTAACGCCACGAAAATGATGAGGGAGGAGCTCCGCCATTATGTCTGGGTTAACTTCAACAACTCTTCCAGAAATTGGATCATCTTCCAAGATTAATTTGGTAACTGCTCCCTCCTCGATACGAACATGATCCTCGAAGAACCCAACAATCTGGAAAAGTTATAAATTAAATTTCATCCTTCATCTTTCAAATTATTTCAAATATTTACCTGATTGTGCTTCTTCAAAATCCACTCCTCCCATTCCACCTTCTCGGTCTCATCATTGAGGGGGGAATCTTCCCTCTTCTTAACTGGAGAAGTGACTAAGTCGGCGTCGTCGTCATCATCACTATCTGTGTAGACCAGTGGTCGGCTCTTCTTTGTCGGTGGTGGAACTATTATTATTCATACATTCAATTGGTCATTAATTTAATATTGATTATTTATCAGTATTGTCCAACTATTGGAAATTAAATAAGTAAACTCACCTTCCGCTGACACTTTTTTGTAACGGTCGCGACCAGCGCGGCTGGGAGTTCCTTCGTCACGAGCTTGCACTTTCTTCAGGGTGGACGTAGAGGCACGTTGAGCAGGTGGAGTCTTCTTCTCCAGCTATAAATATTTTCAAGATTATGAGTAACAGTGGCAATAAACTCCAACTGTTGGAATAAAGTCACAATACGGGAATGGTGAACCTACCTTGTCTTCAGTCTTATCATATGTTGGCACAAGGAACGTCGTTGAAGGACAAGATGACGTAGCAGAGGCCGACACCACACGAAATGGTCCCCGCACACTGGCTGACGACGATACAATTGTTTCTTGACCTGATGAGAAGGGGGATATTAATTATTTATTAGTGTCCAATTATTGGAAAATTGCATATTAGTTTACCTAGTTTAACACAGTCGTCGACGTCACTCTGATTCTCCTTATCGGGTAAGGTTGATGATCCAGTGGTCACGGAGGAGAGGGGTCCCCCTTGGGCTAAAGTTGGGCAAAATTTAATTGTTAAATTTACTTCATATAGAGTAAATACATCCAACTTTTGGAAAAACATGAGCCACTAACCTTGACATTGTGTCAGATACTCATCAATCGTAGAGTAACGTCTGCCATCAATCTCGAAACTTAAATCTGTGAACAAAATATTAAATGGTTAATGAAGACATAATTAATAAAGACTTTACTGGCTTACAAAAATAGCTTACCCAAATCATCTTCGTCCGTCCGATCTCTTTGTGCAGACATTTTACTGTAAAGTAAGAAGCACAGAAGGGGCCAGTTTGAGAATATTGTATTGAGAAATATCCAATTGTTGGAATTGAGAATAAACAATTACCCTTTCTCATAAACAAAAAATGTAGCAGTGGGGTGAGATGAGGGAGGTTTTTAGGTATGTTTACATACTTTAATGAAATTTTTAATTAGCAAATAATTGAGATAAATATTCATTCACGAGAGCGATTTGTCTCATCCCAATCCCGGACTCTCACAACGTTTGCTTGTCCGTATGCCACAACTTGTCTGCTGAGATGAACATGTCTCATCTCAGCAGACAAGTTGAACACAACACCGCCACCACCACCACCAGTCAACCTGTCAGTCCGTCTCGCACTCGCTTCACACGTGTTGCGTGTTGTTGTTCATCTCTCTAAAAATAATTCAAAAATATTTCAAATTAAAAATCCAATGGCCACCGGTGGGCGAGGGGGTGGAACAAGTGGTGAGGGGGGAGAGTGGGGGGGAATTAACCCCAAAGATTTGGCCAAATTACCAGGATTTCCTGCTGAAGAGTGGGTAAGTATTTCCAACTGTTGGATTTGTTAATGAATCAAATGAGTTACAATGTTAAGAAACATAATTTTTAATAGGGAAAAGTCGCAGCATGGGCTCGCAATGTTCCTCATCGTAACGGAGTGAGGGAATCCCTCATATATTTTCTTGGGATTATTTGTCGCGACGTCGGGTTAGGAGAACATGAACGCCTTCGGTTAGACCATGTAACAATGCAGGTATCAGAAAAATGGAGAAATATGTGGGAACAATCATAAATAACAATTGAGTCCAAGTCAACCACCGCAATTTTACTAGTGGGCGTCTCGAAACCCCTTGTTTTACCAATAATGAATGTTTGTAATTAGGTAATTTCTCGGAAGATGAGTCAAAAAGACAAGACAAGGAAAAGAGAATATAGTCAAGCCGACATTCGACATACATTCAACCTAAAGACTCATGTAGAAAACCGAGAAACCCAAAATGAGCCTACGAATATAATGGGATCCTTAATATTTTATAGGTTAGGATGATGCATCTTCTTTATTCGTATCTGATACATGCTCCCAACGCGACTTGCTCCTCAGTTTTAGATGGAGCATTATATACGCAACTACAACGGTATTCATGAGACCAAAAGGCCTCCATTATTTAGAAGTGTTGGGAATATTCTCCGAGGAGGATGAAAACTTTTCTTTCTTATTATTTGACTTTCATTTGCTAGCCAGCACAACTTTTTGGGACGTTTTCTCCTCTGGTTCGTTGTTGTCTGCATTTTAGGTTGCTTATGACTTGAGGAAAAAGGGAAAACTTTAAAGAAGAATCGAATCTTGAGAAATTCAATTCAATGAAGACGGCCAGGAAATCCAGATTCCCACGGTATTTTACTTTACCACTGGTGGGCTGGTAATATTGGGTTATCCATCCATTCTCTCCCTTCTGTCCGAGCTTCACATGCCGAAGACAGATTGACGCGGCTAGACCACAGTTGGTGAAAATTGATTGATGGATCACACAGCCCGTGTCCACCAAGCTAGTCGAATGGAAGGATGGATTAAGACGTGTTGATATTGATGCACTCGCTCCTTCACAAAACATACTGAGAAACGGTCTGGAAGAAAATTTAATTTGGATTTTTGCAACCTTTTTTCCCATCACAAAAAGAGGACAAGAAAACAAATCTTTCACAGACATTGGGCACTGTTTGTGGTGTGCGAGCATTTTATTCCCGTACTATTCCGTCCACTTTGAGTAATTTCTTTTGACCCATACTTACATCCAACCACATGGCCAAATCCTGTTTCACGGCACAAAGCTTTTAATCTGCTTAGTTCCATACAATGTCAATGTGTATGTATGATAGTGGTACGATAGATAAAAGTAAATAAAATCTCAGGTGGACTCGGAAAAGTAGCAAAATCGACCGAAAAAGTGTGATTTGATTTTAGCCATCAAATCCAGTCCATTTCTATTCAATAATGAAGCAACTCAATAAGTCATGGATGGGTGGGGCCAGTGGTGGTGGTGGTTATTGAGCCGAGATTACAATGGCATCTCCTTTCACCAAATGAAAAAGTAGAGAGCTATGGAGTGGGAGCAGTAAAAATGCGTCCGTGATCCTGACATAATTCTTGATTCCAGAGTTTTATTTTATTTCAGATGGAATAGTACATTACGAAGCTCCTCAGGGATATTACAAGGCAAACCCCGAGCTGGATTTTCGGGACGCATCTTATGACGGAGAAGAGGATGAGAGTGGCACACTTCGATCCGGTCTTGGAATTCTCACCGACATGATCTATGGCTCTGTGGATTTTATTCGCAATCACAAAGGTAAGAAATTATACTTTTCTGTATACTTATTTATACTATAGCTTCTTAAAAAAAACTTGACAGACCAGACCTACTTATTTTGTCGTCCGTACTCTATTGTGTGCGTATGTATACGGTTGTTACATAACTGTACGTGTGTGTATCCTTCACAAAAATACGCAATAACAAGTCTTCAGTACATATATTTATCATCATGAAAGTCAGATTGCGAATTATAGATTCACACAAATACACGTGTGATGTAAAAATGTATCGTTATCAGCATCTCAGAAAGGGCATCAGCGATAAAAGTGTTACATTTATACTTGGTTGGTGTGTATGAATATATGTACATAAGTATTTTGACATCTCTTGTTGCGCGATGATGTAAATGGCAGGTCCAAATTATGTTGCTCTCAACGAAATGGAGACAAAAGACCAAAGTTCGATTCGACTTGAAAGAGGACGAAGTGAACTTATCACAAGGAGGAAATTGCAGTCTTTGAAATGAAAAAGGTTTCTCAATCTCAATTTTTTTACTCGAAAATGAAAGAAGAAAGTTGGGTCACTGGAGCTGAGTCAATGGGTGAACAACATATGTACATAAATATGTACTTGCTTGCGTCGCAGTCACAGTACTGACAAGAACTATTAATAGCACAAGACAACGTAGATAACGTTCAATTCCATGATTTAAATTGTAGTGTGCGATTTATTTTTTCAACGAAAAACAGCGTTCTACACATTGAATAATTGACAACGTCGCACCCCTCTTCCGCTCCGACGACAGAGATGACCAAATGTGAAATCACTTTCTTTATAAATAAGCCCAACAAAACGAGTCAGGAAATGAGAAAAATCAGCCAAGGACAACGAAAACGGACAGGACAATTTATTTTACTGATTACAACCTTACCAAAAAATAATTTCTCGGAATATTATAAATAGACGGACAATGCATGTCTTCTCGGAAGATAAGATGAAATACCTGCCTGCCTGCATGGACTTCAGGAAACTGGACTGTTGGCAGACTTTTTTTCACAATGATTTATAATAATGAAGACAAATGACTATAATAATGCGGGGGAAAATATTGTATCTTGAGCTATTCAACTTTTTTTACGCATTTTGCAAGTGGCGAGAAATTTTCTCACCACGAATCTCTCAACCAAATATGAAAACCTTCACAACATGCTGATGTTTTGCTGTTGGCAATTTATTATTTGATTAAATCTTGTAAACTTTCGTAACAACGAGATACGGCATACGACGACGACGACCTCCGTCTTTTACAGAAATCCAGGCAATTCCGAGATTCCGACACGCTTGACAGCCAAGAACTCACACAATTTCCATTATTCCTGGTTGAACATTCAACTGAAATAGGAACCTTTTTTTCTTTTGCTGAAGGCAACCTCAGAAACATATTAGCGGAAAAATCCGCAAAAAATATATCCCAACCCCCATTCAGCGCCTCGAGATATATTCAGAGTAAACGGGATTGTTTTGATTACCTTTCATGTTAAAAGAAGTAAAACTGGTGTACGAAAACCAAGAAAGTTTCTCTCGACAACCTCTCGCACTACTTTCACCACATATCCACAACAGCAGCAGCTGAACCAAATTCCAAGTTTTAACCATCACACAGTTGTTGAAACTGTTGGAATTTTGTGTAGTTTGGAGCTACTCTTTTTTCCTTCTTGTTTTGAAGTGGTGGAGGCGTAGATGCGAAACTGGGTCAAAATATCTATTTAATTCTTATTTAATTCAAGTGCATGATCCTCTCATGCAGAAAGAGTAGCAGGGGCGTCCATCCGTGTGAAATACTATTCACAACGACTTGGCCTTCCAAACACTCAAATTGCGATATTCTATTCAACCTTATATTCAATACTTTGCCATTTCCAGCCCACTTTCACTCTTCTTTTATCCTCAATTCAATTCCAATCCTGCTCAGATCCAACCTCCAAACTTTCTACCTTCACCAAGTCCCGAATTTTGTCAGATATCAACTTCTTCCTGCACATTTGGCTATTCTTTCCACAATCACCATATTCATGCGAGGTGTATAAGCATGCCCTTCTGCATGCGATACTTGAGACCTGGTGCTGATATATACTTATGGATTTCACCTTTACCATCGTTTAAACCTGCATCCCCATTGTGCCTCACTGCCCATCTTCTACATATGAAGGCGTGGGCTGGAGCTCTAGCTATCTTTTTTCCAGAAATTTTTTTTGTTTTGCAATCTCGAATGAAAAGAAGCCAAGAGAGCATTATTAAAGTCGGATAGAATTGTGTTTATGAAATACAAGAAATGTGTTAATGCAAATACTCTGTGCTGGTGGAGTACATAATATGAATTTCAGAGTTAACTCGCCGTGCAGGAATGCTGGTTTGTGAGGAGGACGACGAGGATGGTTCGCAGTGAGTGTGTGTGTGTGAAAATGGAAACGTCGTAAATGCTGCTTGGTTGGAGAAGGAGCGAGAGTGAAAGTGAAAAAGCCTCGCTGCAGCAGATTTCTACATCCGCGAGAAGTTTCTCCTTTTGTTCTTATTTCACAACTCAAGTATTTGGGTAAAAGGTGTCTGAATTCCCGTTAAAACGAGTCAAATAAAACCTGGGTGTGATATACAGCATGTTTCAGCATGAGCCATATATTTTCTCCTTGTTTTGCTTAGGGGAAAATTCGTTTTTATTCTGCCAACAATCCACTTTCGCGAAACCTGCACTGCCATCCATCCCTCCCACACACATATAAATCCACCTTTCTGCTTGTGGTAGTACGCTTAAACTCGTGTGTGTGTTTTTCCCTGTATACTTGGTTAAAACTCTATAGAAGCCTAATTTTCATCGTGTTCCTTAACTTCATTACAACCAAGGGAGGAAACTTCATTTGTGCACAACCCAGACTCGAATTAGGACATGACCTCCTCGAGTTTTCACTCCTAAAGAACCACACTGCTAAATTGGATTGGTTAGGTGCATTGGGTGTAAGTAGATTTCAAAAGTGTTCTGTCACTGGAAGAATGAACAGGATTCAGAGACTCGAAATATGCCAGGATTATGTTTTATTAGGTCTTTCCTCTTGGATCTTTTTTTGCAAAGAGCATTGGAGACAAAAAATGAGCAAGTTGATATATAGAGCATTTGCATAAAATAATATATCTAAGTGTGTGAATTGAGATATGTGTTTTGCAGTCAGGAAGCGTGCATAAAAGGGAAATAATCTTATTTTCACTGAAGTAAATAAGGAAATGAAATGGAGTGGTTGCTACTTGGTGGAGGATTTTATTTATTATTTTCCCTCCCCCTCCATTCGCGGCATGTATCCTTCATTCAGGTAGTAATAATGTGGTCCTTATGGGCTTGGCGGAGTCGACTCAAGCTCAAAGACACCCGCTCAGCGTCCGAGACGAACTTTCTCCCACAACAACGCATTCTTATCCGAAAGTGTACTCTGCTGTATAATTTCTCCCTTCGTAAAAGGAAACCATTTTGGTTGGTTTGAGAAAGCGGCATCATACATCAACTAACCGCAAGTCCGTTGCAAATGTACCGGGCGTATGGATGTCGCTGGATCGGTTGTGTCCTTTTTAGACTCCAATACAACCGTGCTTATCAGAGCGCAGAAATCGAGAAAACCTTGCTTGATCTACGGATGGATGGTTACGAATAATCTTTGGTACATAAAATTATTTCCTTGTAGAAGTATTTTAGACTTGTGCATGCACATGTCAGTAGGACATTTTTTTCTGTGTAAGTACCTATAATTTTTTCATCTCTGATGATTTAGTACATAATTAAGAAACTGTAAACAATCTCGTTCATATAGACGAAAGCATGAATTAAAGTACTCAAGGTATACATACTTATATTCCTGAATTATGTATGAATACTCATCTTAAAGTGTCAGTACTTTCTCCGAAATTGAAAGAACTAACCGCCTCTAAAAATAAAAACAAAATAGGAATCGCATAAAAAGGCGTGAGAAAGAACGGCATCATTTCCGTCACAAGGTTTGTGTGCAATTTCCTGCCAAAATTTGCATATACTTGTGCATTATCCTATTGCGCAATGTTTCATGCTTGGATAACATTACCATTGAGTTTTATGAACCCATTCATTTTCCTCTTCTACATAAAATGTTTTCTATCATTGTAATGCTCTATTTATTGATGGCCCAGCCTATGCTGTTGATATTTAGGCTCTCGTGCACCGGTAATCTGGAAAATATAATCGACTTTTCGATCGTCTCCCTCCGCTTTGTCCTTCATCTTGAGAAATACATAAAGGGATTCTTTATCCTTTTACAGATATGAATCCTAGATTTTCAATAAGTAGAGGAGATTTAAATCCGTAAAATGAAGACATTCTTCTCACTCGTCAAAATCATGGCCATCTGGCACCAAGGTTTCGCCTGCCTTGGACCGTGCAACGTTCTTGATGCATTTCCAGAAAGAAAATAAATGACTTCAAGCTAGAAAGAACGGAACTTCTTTGGTGGAACAATTCCTTTCCTTTTTCCGGGCTCTCCGTATGCATGTAAATATATGAACAAGTTTTCTTCGTTCTTGTGAAGTTCAAGGCTGCTGGAGGGCTTAAGAAGAAGTACAAGAAGCAAAGTCCGAGCACCCTTCCGCTTCCACCAAGACTGCCACGAACAGCAGCAGTACCGGAGTGTCATCCCGCTCTCTGCTGTACCCACTACCCACCTATTTACTAAAACCTACCCACCCTTCCTCCCTTTTCACTTTTGTCGCAGTGAAAGGAGGAGAAGCTAAAAGATCGTTCCATTTTGACTAGCTGTCATCACATCGCTTAGTCGAGCTCAAATCTGTGCATCAAAGCACCCCTACAAAATTTATGCCGGCTTTTAATACCATTACTCTGGAAAAACAAAAGGAGTCGATATGCCTCAAAGTAGAGGAAAGTGCGTCGTGTTGCATTCTTGATTCGCTTTCACTGTTGTAATATGCAATATGTAGATATGCACGACGATGTTAATTCATCTCCGACTGTGAACTCGTGGCGAGTTGAAACTTTTAACTTTGTGACTGAAATATAAAACAAGTGAAAGTGAGTATTCTTCTGATGCGGCCCAAGTTGAGAGGAAGAAATGATATTGTATTAAACCCCCCACTGATTCGGCAATGCTCCCTCGAAATATTTACTAGATACGCTCAAAGTTTCCTTGCTCAGGTTGGAAATTTTATGTATTAAATTTTGAGAAAATTCACTCCATTGCACTGCAGCCTCTTGGGAATGATATCAACACTGACTGGCTGAGGTCCTCCTGGTGAAAGTTTACCTCAAAGTTGAAGAAGGAAAGGATGCATTATGAATGATTGGGGATGACACGCTTGATTTCATTCTACGGGAATATTCACTCTGAGATTCGACTGAGATTTTGGCATTTGTTTTTGGCGAGATTTTCTCTCCTGATTGAAAAGTGAATTGGATTTTGAAGCTTTACTCACTCACGCATAGCAATGACGACAGGGGAAGATTCTTATGTCTGGGATTTCTGCTCACAAGATCCTCAATTATCATTGTATTAAACTTTGCAGTTTTTGGCGAGAAATGAAATTATTAAACTGTAAAGCCCTTGGAAAATTGGGTTAGTATTTGCATAAACGTGTGGTTGAATTAAATATGTACGTACGTACGTAGTCATAAGTAGTGTTTCAAAAAGCATCAAAGCAAGATACTTCTCATCAGTCATCATAATTAATTTGGCCAGGAGCAAAATGAATCAAAGTTCAGTTTAGCAACCACATTTGAGCCCTTTGATCTTTATTTGTACAACTGATAGCAACACATCACTGACAATTTATTACTACTTTTCGACTACTACAATTCGTATTAAACTTGAATCAGGATTTCGTTAAATTAAATTTTGTTTTGATTCGAACCCAATTTTGACAGAATTCCGAATATTTGTTGTGTATTTAGGAAAACAAATGTTGTCGTACCGTCATTCTCATCGTATTATTTGTTCGAACAGTGTTCCCTTTGTTTTGTCTGTCAATCGAACCATGAAACCGCATTGGTTTGTGTTTGGGTGATAAATTATTTGTGGTTCTGGATTCAATACCAAGAAGTTATTGTCTGGTTAGTTGGACTTTCACTGTGTGGATAAATGCGTATATAAAAGTACAGCAGGTTGTATACTTTGAGGAGGCTTGTTTGATCACTTTATTTAATTTCGCTCTCAGCGATTTAGGAATGCGTCGTGCAATCAATATACTAGCATCCAATCAAATAAATGCTATCTTATTATTTCCATCAGGAGTCTGGTCTATGACAGTCCAGCTTTTTCATTTTGATTGCGCTCATTTATTAAGCATCACTCCAACTGACAATGTACCATGGCTGCCGCTGAAATAATCTTTCTCTTGTTTCATGCTACGGACAATTTCTGCATAAATGAACGGCTTGCTTAAAAAAAGTCCAATCCACAAAGTTTAATAAAAAATGAGAACAGGGAACTGTTCTGAGATCATAGGAAGTACGAACTGCGATGGGAAATGGAAAGTTTGCAAGTGAGAAGTTGATGAAAGTTGTTGGATTATGTGGAAAGACGGCGAACTAAATATATTCAAGTAAGTAATGCAGAAAATGGAGTAAATTAAATTTAAATTCAAAACTATTTGTGAACTACCATCAGCCCTGCAAACAAAGTAGAAACTAACTGTTTTATAATCTGATTGAAGAGATTATATTCCATGAAAGGACATGCAAAATTGAAGTGGAGGCAGGCATAGTGAAGCTTTGCCATTCCCCTATTGTGTGCATCTCCTTGTTTTGTCTCATTCACTTATTGCTCAAAACAGACGCCTGGGTTTAAATTAGCTGAGAGATGGGTCCCTCTTTCTCTCGCTCTCTCTGGAATTCGCAACTCTTGCCGAGTCGAACTTCAAGCTTCAGCAGCAGCAGCAGCAGTGTCAAAAGCCTACAAGAACAATCTCAGACTCACTTTGAACCATCACGCTTTTGCTAAAATGCCATCCAACTTAAATCTAGGTTAGTGCTGTTGAGAGAAAGACCAAGGAGCAGCGAAGGATGGAGACGGAAGACAGTTCTCGTCCACAGTCGCAAGTACATATATACTTCTTGAGTACTAATGTGGATGAAAAGTGTATATATGTAAGAACAAATAACCAGACAGAGTGAAATTCAGAGAGGGTGGAGAGCGACAGAATTTTTAAAAGTATCTTTCGAAACGCTGAAAAAATATTACAATTAATTTCCCATCGTTTGCTACGTCTTGAAACTATTTGAAAAATTCCAATTGTTCAATGATTTCTACCAGAAATGAAGGAAAGCGCATGAACACACACACGCACCTGGCTTGACTCTAGATAATCGGATATCGGTTTTGGTGGTCGTCTTTGGTGGGGGAAGAAAATACAGTAAACCGTAGATCCGATCACGCAAATTTGGATTCAACTCTTTTCGTGCGTGCTGCATCGACAACTTTTCCCGAGCACTAGAAGAATCTTAAACCCTTTTGTAATTTGGATGGTTTGGTGCGTGAACCGAAAAGGTATCAAATGTCAAATTTGAAAGGGAGAAAGTGGAGCTTTCCAACACTTTAAGATGCTTCTGGAAACTTTCTTCTACGTTCTAAATGTGGCGTACGTACTCAACTGAGCTCAAATTGAAACAAATCTTCGTTAGTGCTTTGTCCTTACTATATCTCGGATTTAATTTTTTAAGAGATGAATATATTTTGATCCACTCGCTGTTTGAATTAGAGAAAAAACAAATCTTGGACGAATCTTTGAAATCATTTCGATCCGTGAATCTTGGCACAAGTGTTTTTTTGGAGTAGAAAGTAAACATGGCATTAGTGAAAGGTACTTCTTCCTCCCACTACATCCAAATCCCAACCTCATTCACAGCTCCTTCCTTCCTTCTGCTGGGGTTTTGATTAAATTTATTCCGAACGTCCAACCAAGCAGGAACATTCGCTCTTCTCGATCCCGATAAGCTGCTCGCTCACGCTGCACCGGCGTTGGCACTGCACTTCTTCGACATAATGTGATGTTATAGAGTGCAATCGAGAATCAGCCACAAAGCAAAGAGAAAACATCCAAAGAGGACACAAATCCGGGTGAACACGTGAAGAATGATGATAAAAGACTGACGAATTCCTTCCTCCCCTTTCGCCAAGAGGAGTAATCCACTGGAAAGCAAGGGACGTATTGGACATGAAATGCAGAGGATGGAAGAGTTCGTCTTGAATGTTTCTATGTAGGCGTTCGTCTCAAAACATGCCTGACGTTTTTGCACTTTCACCCTTGTTTGGTATTTGATTCCTCGGGATTCACACACATCAAGATAGGAGAGATTTCGTTTTATTGGGATAAAATATAGAATATAGAACACATTCGACAGATGGTTTTTGTTTGTACACTGACTCTTGATCATAACTTCTTTGTGTAATTTGTGAGCAATTATGATAAAGCGAAACAAGATTCACCGGAAATCACTTTCCGGTGAAACTCATTCTGGCGAGATCTTACGGCTGAGAACATGGGCAGAAATAATGAGGACGAGGATGTACGCCAAATAGAGATTTGTTGACTGACTCGATAAATTCCTATCGAACGCCGCCTCATCTCCGATTTCTTGCTCTTCTGACAGAGTTATAAGTCGTATAGCCTTTCGTCTTCTATTATTAATTCTTCATGAGTTGCCAGCCAAAGATGAGTCCCATCATCATCATAACAGGAGACGACGAGTAATAAGGATGAGTAAGGGAATACATATCAAGCGAAAGAGTGCATTCAACAACATGTCACTCGCCTCATATTCCAGCCTCCTCCTCGGTCACTGACTGCTATTAGTCTAAGCTTTCACTTTGAACTCCAGGCATGCCTGTCTGGCTGGCATCTCCTTCAACATAATTTGTTAGCGTCTCATCCCGCACACAAGCGACACACATTCTCATTACACACACTTGGATGGATGGAGGATAGGATGTGTAACTCAGGGCAGGATCAACAGAAAAAAACAATGCAATACCTTTACGGAGGAGGAGATAGCTTGGCATTATTCGTAAATGGAATGCGACGGTTGGTTGAAATTTGATAGTACACCACGTGCAGCTGATTTGGCCATTATTTTTCAAATTTGGTATCAATGTCTAAAAGATATCCATCTCTATCTATCTCGAGTAAATGTGCCTCTCTGCCTTGCTTGTCCTTTGAAGGGAGAGAAAGTTCCAGGTGCATCAGCCCCAATTTGTGCTGTCGTATTACATTACTGACCAAACATATCTGAACTCGAGGGGTTGACCAAACAAAGGACGCCATATGCGTACATACATACGTACGTATCTACGAAATACACATGTCTGGGCTGTTGCGCTTTCTTGGATTTTGTGTATTTGGAAATTAGATGTCCGGGTTTGGTATTTTGTTGCATCTTCGTCTTCCTGAGTCAAGTCAAGTGAGGGAGCTACACATATTGTCTGTAATGTATAAACAATGAGTTTATTTTATTTTTTTAGGGTGGATCGGATGGGAACGACGAGACAACGAGTCCACTCTGGTCGAGATTGGTTTCCAGTTCGATTACCTGAGAAAGTTCGAGTCGGTGTCCATTCACGTGAATAATTTCGTATCTCAAGGAGCACAGGTAAAAAATAGAGGAATTCTGCAGTCCACCCAAACATAGTAAATTTACATTCGAGTTTTATCCACTAAAGCATTTCCAACGGTGATGTTTTATTACTGCTGAAAGTGTTTCCTTAAAAGAACTTAAAACATTTATTACCCCAGGAAAACTTTTGTTTTAGTCAGAAAGTGAGTTGAAATGTTTTTCAGTGCTCTATCAAGTTAAAACATCCTTGGAGCTGTTTTATTATTGAGACCTGGTGAAAGCAATTTCCAGTTATGTAGCCGAATACCCGGAATCGTGGCGTATATATGGAGCTTGTAAAGTGTAGCAATTAATGTTACGCCGAGGTGGCGAAGATCTGCAAGATAATGTAATGTAAGAGCAGAAACGTAAACAAAGGTTAGAGAAAGTCAGGGAAATAATAAGGGATGGGTATCCCATTCGTGAATGGATATTCGGAGAAAACTGGCCGGGGAAAGCGTCACCATTTCCTCACCACAAAAGGAGGACTGGTCTTGTGAGAAGTGAAACGACACGGGGAGTCGAGCTCTCTCACGTTTGTCTTAATTATGTCGGGGAAGATATTTAGTCCAGTCTTAACAGTCAAGAGACAGGACATCACGACAAGATGCATTACTGCCCCATAAATTCCGAATTTATACTTAAACGGGATTTATGGATTTCGTCCAACTACTTACTGCTTGTCCCACGACCGCCCAGGACCCTCCAACTTCCCTCAAACAACCAACTTTCTCTTTCACTTTCTTTCCCTCAGAGGACAAACTTGAATTTTTCCTCGATGCGTAGGTGGTAGTAAACAAAATGTAATTTTTAATAGTTAGCAACTTTTCAGTACCAGGCTGCGCGTAGGACAGATACTATACAGACATGCAAATATGTCTAAAATAACTGAGTACTCAAATTTATCAAGTACACCCAACGTTCTTGTTTTCTGCTTGTTACATATATTTATACAACTGGTGCTAATAATGATGCATTTTACGTGGCAGGTGTTCTCCAGTGTAAAAATACACTTCAGCCTGGATGGGAAGACGTTTTCTCCGCACACAGTTTCCTTCTGTCCCAAGAAAGATTTGAAGAACGACACTGTGATTTTGGTAAGTTAAAGGACCTACTCTCTTTCATCATCAATTAAGACTCGGATAGAAATCAAGATGTGCATAAGGCTAAATATGGTATGCATTTTTTCAGGTCCAAATTCCCCTGTTCGGCCGGCTAGGTCGTTCCATCCGGATGGAATATGCTTATTCGAACGAGTGGTTACTCCTTTCCGAAATTCGCTTTCGCTCAGGTACAAGTCAAATTAGACTCAATTCTCAATTTCGCATCTGTCAGCATAAATCTCTTGCTTTAATTCATTTTATGGCTTTATACTCATAAGCTTTAAGAATCTGCTGTATATCTAAATATGATATAACTTTCCGCGGATGGGTGCGTTTTTGCTTGGAGGATGCTTGAATAACGCGCATAAATTCGCAAACTTTTTTTCGCATTGTGTGCTTGGAAAGGGCATTCATTAATGTGTCTTTTTCTTGGGTTGGAGACCCTGAATAATGTTCGCATGTCCCCCCAAACACATTACGCAACTATCTTGAACCATGAAGCTTAATTATTGTCTGGCCAAATCACAGTGGATTTGATTTCATCCTCGCATCTCTGCTTGCCTCCGTGTTGTCGCTGATAATTTGACTGTGCGATGATGACGGGGATAAACGAAGAGTTGCAAATGGGGAGCAGTGATGGAAAGGAAGGAGTTGAGTGAAAGTGAGGAGCATTTCCGCCGTCGGTAGCGTGGTTGTAGGGCAGACGCTATTCCGCCACCGCTCCTGATTTCCCATGGGTTATCTTAAAGTGAAACTTATATTGATTTCACTCACTCATTCAATTTCACTTTCCAAAGTTAACCTGCTCATCTGGAATCCTGTGGTACTTTTCACTCTCTCTATCTCTCTGGCTTCCACTCATTCAAATCACGCGCGTATAGTACTCAAAATTAATGTAAACACCGAATCAGTTATTTCATATCTAGCAAAACGCATGAAACGCATTATTCCTAATTACATGGTAAATAGTATTACTTACACACATATTGCATACCAGAAATATATGTGCGTACACATGTAGGACAATTTTTCTTCTTTCATGTGCGTAGATGCTATACATATGTATTTATGTACATACCGCTTTGTAGAACCGAGGACTAAATTCCTTCGTAGATTCATCCATCAAGATTTCTCTCATTGTAATTCGAAGAACAAAAAGAAAGAGTTTGTTGAAGAAAGAAAGTTTATCTTAATTGAAATTAATTTGCCTCATTTCACTTCGGGAGCCATTAAGGAAGGTATTAACTTTGTTGCTGTGTCTCCTAGAATTCTCAAACCTTGCCAAATAGTATTTGGCTGACAATGTACAAAGTACATAAAGTTTGAACAACAATGTTGCATTCCTATTTGTTAGGGATGTACGTGAACGTACGCATAGTGAGCACAATGAGCCTTTAATTTTCACTCAACTCTATTCTCCGTTGGCTTTCTTTTATCTTGCTTATACTAATACTTGCATTAGGATTCGCCCCGTCGTAATTACTGATCAGAAGATCCCTCAACGCTCTTGAAATTTATTGGTTCGGTTCGGATAGATTGTTGTGTAAGATTGCATGGATTAATTCTGGAGGATGAGTTTTAATTTCGTTAATTACTTTCACCCTGCAAATCACTGTCATCCGCCAAGCCAACATCACCTTTTATATTGTTTCAACAGCTAAATACAGGTTACTTAGTGCGTTCCGCTTTGCTTTTCTTGAGGTAAATAGCTCAATATAATAACGATTTTTGGGTTACGTTTTTAATTCCAGACATTTTTACTGGAGATCTAAAATCGGTTGACAAAATGAAGTCCAACTGGAATGGAACCGGATATGCTCCGTCCACCACCTACCATCACGAGTGTCCCGAACACAACCAGAAAAACAAATTAGGTAACTCAGTCTTCCAAAAAGGAATTCATTTCATTTCCAGCCAAGCCAAGATCCTGTTTCTTGAAGTAAATACAACATACGTGACTTTCTTTTACAGTTACGGCAGAGCAGTCAACAGCAGCAATGATTGGTTTGATTGTGGGTTGTGTCTTTGTATGTCTTTTACTCTCGGGAGTTTCTGTTGCTTGTTTTGTGATGCGAAAAAATCGTCGAAACACAAAGTTGGTTGGAGTGATCGAAATGACTCCAAAGTCCATGTCTCATGTCCACGCATTAGGACTCAGCGGATATCCCAGCAACGATCAACTATCCACAGCAACAAACGTGACCAAACCTTTGAACAAGAGGCCATCCGCAGGTGGTGGTGGTGGCTCATCAGTCACATTGAACGGTGGAAATAAACTGGGCAAAATCGCCCTTTGTGACATGAACCCTGTGTCAGGTGACAGTGATGACGAGTCCCTTTACCATGAACTCGTCTTTGGGCGAAATGGACCAAGTGTTATGGGGAAAAGTGGTGGGGGCGGTGGGGTCATGACCAATAATAGGAAAAACAGCAGTTGTAGTGGAGGACTCGTTAGTTATAATACCTCCTTAGCTGTTGCAAACAATGGGAGCAGTGTCGGCTCGAGCTGCACCAGCACAACTAAAACTGAGTCTGATTCTGGATATGGGTCATCATCGCAACAACTCGTGAGAAAGCATTGCGGACTTGGAACAAGAAAAACAAAGTATCAGAAAGTCAATCATGGGGCAGATTTTACGGGTAAGTAATGATTCTACTTATTTGGATTATTAGCTTAATAATTGCTGTTGTTGTTATTGTCTTCTCCAACTAAATGAGGGACAAATTTTAACCAGAAATTCGTTGCAAATATTTTTTAGATGTGATGGCATTGCGAGGAATGGAAGAAGAGATGACGTACTATCACACTCATAACCAGAATCTTGGCCAATTCCAGCCATCGTCTCCTTCCACCCCGTCGGCTGGACTTAGGTCAAGCAAGCTTCCACTGCTTGGTCAATCTCTTGGATCAATTCCATTTTCTTCCATGTCACAAAGTGTTCACGGTCCCCCTTCTTCACCTCAGACATTTCACATTCCCTTCAACATGTCTCAACACCCGCACCCACCTCCAATCCAATTTTCCAGTAACCACAATCCCATTATTTCCCACAACAATAGCCACCTCAATACTCTGGGAAACAAGTCCATGTCCTCCATAATCCACGGAAGCAACAACAATGGGTACATGAACACGATGGGCAGTAGAGAAAGGTCAACAAATGGGTTCTTCAACAATAGTCCTCGAGTAAACAATAGGAGAACCTCATCAAACAACAACAACAATCAGCACAACCACCCATCCGCGGGGGTAAACACGATCTCAGCCGCGCTGTCCGCGCACAATAATGTCAACGGTGGTGGTGGCGCGGGTGGTGGTGGGACGCTGATGACACTGAATGCTGGCAGCAGCTCTGGGAATAGCAACGTAAATACGCAACTGCTCCTCCCATCCTCCAATTCCTTTGGAGTGTCGCTGATGAAGAGTTCCGGCTTGTCGACTAACCCAGCTTCTAATAATCATCATCATCTCGTCGGTCCTTTGGGCATTTGTGGCGGAGAAAGTAATTACTATGCTGCTACTGACATTTTCCAAGTTCCCGACAAACACTTTGATCGCTTTTAGGCTAGACGACGACGAGAGAGCGAGTGAGTGCAGGGATATGCACTTTCTTCTTCTTCGTGTGCTTGATGCCAGAAGAGTATGTAAGTTGATGACTTGAGCTAACTTGACGTTAAGTGGGGTGGAAGCCAAAAGGATTTTCTTCGCCCTAACTTGCTCCCTTATGCTTCCTTACCCACCATCTTCTTCCAACCAGGAACATCAACAGTATTCATAATTGCTTAAATTGATGGGAATAAAAGATATTCTCATATCCCAAACTTATTAAAACTCTTTTCTCGGCAAAATCATCAAACCGATCAAAATCTATTCGCAATAATTGCTAAAGCGTTATACGAGTTTTAATAATCCAAGATGAATTCCATGAACTGAACATTCCTTGATCATATATAGTCGACTGCTCTAGATATTGTACACTTATTATTGCACATACTATATGTCTATATACCCAGATAGGTCATTAACTACATGTAAAGTCGCTCTCGTCGATTATCCAATTTTCTCACTCGAATATGTGTACATATTTATTATATGGAGTATGTAGAATATGACTCTTACGTTAATAAATGAAGAACAACCCGACCTCAACAACGACGCGTGTAAATAATGATCGACAAGTCATAATATACTTTTTATATTCAAAGTTTGGTCATAAATTAAGAATATCCCACGAGTAAGTATGCATTTTGTATGTGTATGTGTGGTACGGTTTACTGCCAAACTCTGCCTGGATGAATCAGGGTTCTTCTTAGATGGAAATCATACACTCAATTTCACTCTTGTCGTGTATATTTGTCTCACAATTTTCCTCTTTCCATTCTCATTTAGTCCGTTTGTATTTAAAAGTAAAAAAAAAACTAAATATATACAAGGATTGTTAGGATAATCAAGCGTACCCCCAGTTTTGTACACATATGTAGCTATCATCGTATGTGAACTAATGTGACATCGTAAATCGACCATATCTTACCTGTTTATTGTCAAAATGTGCGTTTAAAATTACATTCCAAAGTCTAGTGAATTGTAACTAATTCTACTATTAATTATATAATTGCTTAATTTCAAAATTTTAATTAGATAATAACATAATAAATGGATAATTAAGATAAATCAGGCTCTCCATGTCTACCCATAAGTATAAAGATAAAGTACTTATAAATCCGTATGTCGTTATTCGTGTCCAACTTATGAATCATAAATAAACGATTTTTATCCAGTAAAGATCTCGGAAAATGCATTCTTGCATAGACGATTTTAATAATGCACATAATTTACTTTCAAAGAGTCCAAATTCTTGAACATCATTGCAGGATCATTTATTTCCCCACCAGACGAATGCACAAAATACACTTCTGTAGCGTGTCTACATACGTAGAGCACGACACATTCGGTGGTGTTGAAGGGCTGCTGGGAGATGAAAGGAAGTGCAAATGAAAGCTTTTATGACCAACTAAAGCAAACATTACTGATTAGAAGGAGACCATGGTTTGCAAACTTGAGTCAATTAAGTTAAGAATTAATGGGTTAGGTCCTCTTTATTACGGGCACAACACAAGAAACAACCCTCCGTCCTCAGGTCGCCGCCGTCGGTTTGTGTTCTGCTCTACCACGACGACACGGTTTTGTGTTGTCTGTTGTCTGCCGTAACGCAGGATCCTATATTTGGGTTTACGGCGGTGGAGACTTCGAGCTGCGATGAAGAATGTACGAACGAACGAGTTTATTGAACAATAAAAGATCTGGCGGAACGAATGAGGATTTCAGAAATAAAATCCTCGTTCTTTAGCTCTTGCTTTCTCCATCGAACGTGTACGGTCAGTGTGGTGGTGGGTCTTGGTGCGGCTGCTTCTTTTATACTGCTCGGCTAATAACGCCTTTTCTCAATGCTGGATAAGATTGGATTGCTTTTCCGTGTATTTCCATTCCTTTGTTGCGTATGTTGTGCCACTCTGGGACCCGGTTTTATTAGAGTGGAATTGTAACTACAGGAATTTGTAATTCGGACTCGAATGGACCAGTGTGACACCATTTTGAATCATCCAAGTGTAGTTTGCCATAAAAAATAGCGCAATTCCCAACTTGTTTAATATTAACAAAGCTTAGCTTATTTCAAAATCACAATTTGTGTAAAACATGATAATATGGTTGATGTTGTATCTATTGTACATATTGTATCATACTTATTAATTACTAGTTAATGCTGTAGGAATTAGTGCTTATTCGACCACCAAAACAAGTCGTCAGACTTTTATATAACTTTTAAAACGTCTTTCACAATGTGAAATTCACATAGTTTCAACAATCAGACAATTTTATTCCACTGATCCCGAGTATTTATTGGTTACGATAGATTTCTGCTTTACTGTGACCATCGTGCATACCTCTTTCTTCTAAATATAATTTGCTTCCAGTGAAATTCTGCCACGTTGGAATTCAAGGTCCGCCTATGTACATATATGTATATGTACATACGTCTGCACTATAAGAAGAGGGTTATTATGACCGTGACTAGAATGCAGATCACATGAACAAGAACGATTTCCCCATCCATTCTTTCTCAACCGAGCCCACTCAAGCGAAGGGAAAGAGAGCTGTAGTTGGAACGCAGAGGAATTTATTTAGAAAGTTGGCTAACATAACATGACAAAACATACGCGATTCTAACCCTGGTTGTTGAATTACATAATATTGAATTGCATCTGGAACCATTCATCTTTTTCATAACACTTACCACTGACTTTTACACTGAAGGATGACTCGCATTCTCTCTCCCACTGGTTTCATCCTCGGTGCATTGTGCATGCATGAAAGTATTATTGTGATGCGTTATACTACTATCTACTAGTACACTTGGTGAGTTGCGTCACTGCACAACAGTCCATATACTTAAGGCAAATATCTTTGGAGCTATCATTTTATTCATATTCATTGTACTACTCATATACTTGTGTATCTACATATGCACATATTTTTTATACTCCAACCACACATGCATATTCCGGTTATGTAGCACAAGCATGTATGTAAGCCAAGAATGGAAAAAGGGTCCTTTTAATTTTTTCACGCTTCCGAAAACACAATCCGACTAAACTAAAATTCCTACCACGTCTTCCGTCCATCCTTTCTTTCGCCCATGTCTATACGCACATATGTACAAACATGGATGACTTGGTTGAGAGTAGTGGTAGCAGTGGGGATTGAGCTCAGCAGTTGCATGGGGAAAGCGTGAAACGAATTTGGTGTCCTCTGGAGATCACCAGAAATCCATCTCATCCCTCACAAGCAAGCAATGTATCAGTTACAACGGGGAAAGCGGCGTGGGTGATGGGAAATAAGGAGGGAGAAAAAAAACTGCATTTCTTTAAGGATTTCTGTACGTAGGCCGGGATTTGTACGTTGTCATTGCCCTCACCAAACAATCGTATTACATTAAACACAACTCTCGTGGTACACACACATGCACATCCATTGGTTATGATGATATCGTAATAAGAAAGGAGAAAGGAAAGTGCAGTCACCTATAAACACCAAGAAATAGGATCCTATACGAGACAACACCGTCATAATGCTGAAAAATAAATGAGATGAGATGGATATAACGTGTCAAAGTGAGACCTATTGACGTGTATTTAGAGTGTGTGTGAGGGGGGAAATTGTCGACGGTGTGCCCTATTTGGCAGCACGGTCTCACTTACACAACCACATCACACAAGGTGCCTGCATTCGAAGGGTGAGTGGAAGGGTGGAGGAGGGGACACATTATGTTTCTTAGATGATGATACATAATTCGTGGGCGGAAAGCGACTTCCCCTGTTCTATTGCCACTTGAGAGCTAAGAGGTCTGAGTACTTGGTCAGATCAAATCAGAAATAATTTATTGGGAGCAGAAGGGTTGGCGTCGTGGTGGTGTTGTGCCATAGGCATATGTTTTGTCTTCCCTTCCCAGAGCGACCAAGCAGGTTTGGAACATATGCTTCAACAGCGTAATGGTTGTCCTAAACTTTCTCAAGTTGAGGGGAGAGTGGAGGCGAGACGATGGCAAAAACGTCGTACGTAAATTGAAAACTTTGCCTCCAAGCCAATTCACCAACAAATTAAACAAAAGCAATAGTAACAACCGACCAGTAATGAAATTTCAACCAATCACCACCACACCGGTGGACATTTTGCGGTGAAATCAGCATAACGTCAACGTTGTGAAAGATTACAGCTGAAGATGCATACCGTCTCCAACCATCATCATCTTTTCTTCATATAATATTAGTATCTCTTTCTCTCCATCAAGTCTGGCTGGCTCCGTCTTCCTTTCTATTCCTATCATCACTATGAAACTCTTTTCCTCCATTAATTTGCCTAATTTACTTATGAAACTAAACCTGCGGTTGGTGAAGAACATAATAGAAATGGAACAAAGGAACTTTACAAGGCGCAAGTTTCATGGCTTTGTTCCCTTCGAACAATGGATTGTTCCGAAGCATCATTTGTGTTTTTGAAGATTTAAGAGTTATAGAATTGAATAGGAAAGTTGGACATTTACTAACTAGCTACCTGCTCGTTGAAAACTATTGGTTTCCTTTCTTTAGCTCTCTCTTGGAAAATACACGGCTTTGAATATCCCCAACGTCTACGGGTTTGGACCAGAAAAAGTTTTGGGAAAGGCAATTAGTTGGATTAGCGAAGATTCTCATTACAACAAGTTTCAGGTATTGATATCATTTTTGATGTGGGTTAGGCTTAGAAGTGAAATATTATGCTGATAATGCCTACCAATCATAAATATATTTGTATTTGCATGTGGATAAGTCAAATTCAATATGCTTATGGTAATTGAGTAGAAATTGATGGACTCAATTATTTAAAAATTTCCAAACTATACGAAGTTTCAAAATCATTATTATTGAAAATTCAATCCTTCAGGCACGTTAATACCTTGCGTGCGTGAAGGTCATCAGGATGAGAACAAAGTTTGAAATAGAAAAGAATGAACAGAACGATATGCACTGGGGAAAGTGATTGCGTGTTCAAATAAAGCAAATTATGCTGTTAAATTTCAAGGAATGAATCTCGCATGTCATGATTCCGAGGTTGTTTAGTTTCTTGTTAGAAACTTTCTCTGAACTAATGACAAGATCAATTTTTCTCAGAGATCACAGGTTTCGTGGAATGTCTAAATAAATGTAGTACAGGAAAAAATACTTACCTTCCGTGTTCACCAAAACCACGACAAAAGAAACATGTGTGGAGTAGCTATTATAATTACATATATACAAATGCATTCTTCTGGGAAATTGTTGTCTCTGCTAGTTTCTACTAATCTTGTATTGTGTAACAAAAATAATATTCTTCACAGAAGTATTAATTAAATCATATGTTGTTCAAGTATTTTCTTCTTTTGATGACCAAACTTATCTCTACCTTTCCCAAAAGATCATTTGGTACAAACGAAAATAAAATTCTATATGCGGAATTATCAAACTATAAAGTAGCTGTAGTAATACCCTGACATAAGCTTTTCGAGTTATATCATATATTTGTCTAGTTTAAGGAATCTTAATGAACAGTTAAATAATAGAATTATCTAAACGGATTTAAAACTGTACTAAAAATCGTAATATATTTGTCAAATCTTCATTATACTCTATTTGAGCACGTTTAATTGTACTCGATTAACCCTCGTTTATGCAAATTTTATTACGTTTCCCTAATTTATGATGCTTAATTTAATTTCCCTGAAAGCTTTCACACTGCTGCTGGGTTTGAGCCGAGCCGAGGGTGGTTGTAATAAATGAGTAAGTGGCACCATGAGATAAATGAAATTGAAAACCAAATTCAGGGTTTTACGCACAACTATTTATTTATTTATGTATATAAGCCAGAGAGCGGATATTAAATCAGGTACAGACCAAGCAACAGGAGGGAAATAAATGCTCAAACTTCGTGCATATATATAAATATATGACTACGATATATGTATGTACAATTAATTTCGGATCGTGCATGCACATACATAGCTACATTTAAGATCCATGCAGCATAGGGTAAATTAATCGAAGGGTCATCAACACTAATGATTGGATAGCCAACCCTTGCATGTTATGTACTTTTTGGTATATGTATGTATGACTGATACTGAGCGGAACAAGTGCGGAATGTTCACTTAACATTCACCAATCTCATCCCCCCTGGCACTAATGATTGTGAGTCAGCCGTCATGGAATGCAAATATGTTTTTGAACATGATCTCCTCGTGGTGAAAAATTGGAGATTAAAATTCACGGACAGGACATCATTCTAGTTTTTCAATCATTCACCAACCCTTTGAGGATTTAGTCCTTCCTGCATTAGCTTCGCTGCTGGTAGGCTGCACAGTGGTAAAAGTTGGAATTTAGTTGCAGATGCGGATAAGCCTGTGCACAGCGTGAGAAGAAAGCAAACACATTTTATAATAAAAAACCTTTTGCACAACCACAAAAAACAATCTGTTCATTACTCATGTCAGACATTAGATAAAATGTCCCTGGTAAAAACACTGCCTACTTTATCCCAAGTTCACGTAAGAATCGCAAGCAATCTGGGAAGGAAGCATATCAGTCACTTTCTTGGGAATCCGAAAGAAATCAAATCTGAATCTTCATCACCAAGCACAACTCTGACAAGACGTTTACCTTCCGTATTTGGTGAAATCTGCAGAGAAAGCCAAGGGCCACACATTGCCCTGACTTTACTCTTTCGATTCATATAATGTAGCACACACACATGGACTCTAACCTAGTCAGTGACACCGTTGGAGTTTATGGAATATGGGATAGACCTACTTTGGCGTGGAGATAGCAGACGTTCCTGCAGTTCCGCACTTTCACTTCAGCATGACTTGGTCTTGGTTGTGAGTGATTAATGGTGGTTTAGAATGAACCCCGTGTGGAAATTCTTCCAGCAAAATTAACCATTTGCGCCCTGTTCCGCCGTATCAATATCGAGCGAGGACGACGAAGAGGAAAATAAGGTGCCCTGCCTTACACTTGGTGAAACTGGGACTTTACGCTGTTGTGTTGAATTAAAATGGGCAGGTTCTGCATTTTGATGATAGTTTGCTTTTGCTTGGCCGACTGGTACCAGCGTCTGCCTGAAAGGAGCAGTATATCATTTTGGGGTTCGAAATCACATTCTATGAAGCAACTTGCTTCTGTGAAAGCAAAACAAGCGTTCGTGTAATAAAGTCCAGCTCTTTGAAGGTTTTATAAATATGTAGTTTGCCCGTGGGTTTCAATATATTCGATAAGTCTGCCATTTGATATCGCCACTGTGTGTACATGTTTAAGCATGTGTATTTATGTACGTAGGTGGGCAGGGCATTATGTATGACCATTCGCATCCTCCAGGCCATCTAATCTATTGTTATACTGCGAAACTTTATGTATTGTTTTTATGTGTTCAGTGTTGCAAAATAAAAACAATGTGAGACAAGTCAACCGAATGAATAAAATACGCAAAGATTAATTCCACAGACAATGTCAAATGCTCCCAACCTAAGAAATGCCGTTAACAAATACGACGATAATTAGCAAGCTTTCTCCTTCCATTTCCTTATTTATTTACGTAATCTAGCCATAGAATGCCCCAGTGTGTCATTGTCAACGAACCATTTTATAACTGTGCACGCTGCTGCAGCTTTATGCATTTATATGACTTTCTATCCAGGGATCTACAAAGATGGATGGAAGCAAGGCTGCTGGAGACGACGATGGTGACTCATCCTATGACAACTCCTGCTATTAAATATGTAGCCCATATAGCTACTTGCGATTCACGTTCCCAGTTATTCATCACATTTTTTCTCATTACTCTTGAAGGCTTAGGTCCAACACAAGGAGCAGATGAGGCTGATTGCACAAGTGAAATCATTCCAGGACATAAACACGGATGATGAAACTATGAAATGTTTCCCTTTCATCTCAGCGTCGATCGTGCTTCCCAACGTGTACGGCATCTCCTCCTCAATGCCATTTAAGCGAAAGAGATCCCTCTCAATAGCAGAAATAATACGGAGGCATTACCGAATCACGAGGGCGTTCTTCCATTCACAATGTATTGTATAATGCACAATCTAATCCCATTTATTTGGCCCGCAATTCATAAGAAATCCCATTGCGACCATCCTTCTCCCTTCCAGGGCCACGTCTCCTGAAGAGCAACAAGCAGTTCCACCATACATCGTGGAGCTACGTAGCTTTCGTAGAATCTAGGGCATGGGTATAAGTATGACAAGGGCAGAATTATGGAAGAGAAAGACCCCACCACCATCACTGCTTTCTACTCATTGACTAAGCTCTCCAACTTCCTCTGGTTCCTTTACTGTTCCGTGGAAGTGAGGCTGGTGGTGGAGGGCAAAGAAGAGTGCGAGATTATGTATGTGTGGTCTTGGCGAGGAAACAAGGAGCAAATGTAATAATTCTCATAATTTCTCCCTACTTTCCCCCTCTCTGCTTCATTCCAATGGATTAGTTTCACCAAATATTGACAAACAAATGATGTAACTGCACGCTCCGCATCATCTTTAGCAGATTACATCAATATTGGAAGACCACGGCGATGCATTTGTTGCTTCGAATTGCATTGATTGCTGTACATACTTTAGCGTGTAGGTAATCCATCCCAAAAGTAAAGGTAAGAGCTGGATTTTATGTATCATTGATCCAAGCGAAGTATGTAGAATAAAGGCCGCATCTGTTGCGGCAATGTTGGATTATGTCCAATTCAATAGTGCATCACTAATACCATCGGAATGAGTGCACTGACGACGATTCGATTGAGGGGGTGGAAATATGTAGCTGCATCACAAATTTCTCTACAACGGGATCGAATGCTGGAGAGAAACTGGATTCGTTACCGTGAAAGTATCAGATGGGTTGCATGCAGTGGGTGAAAAAGTGATGTCGAGCACAACCATTTACTGAATTTTACATGTGTTTTCTAAATCTATTCCATTGGATTGTGCTCATTGTTCACTCACCCTCCGTCTCCATATTCCCATCCCCACTTTAATCAAATCGGTCTCATTCTTGCACTCCATTCTTTGGCTCATCGTCATCCTCTCAATTCAATACACGACGTTATATGCAGACGTGGTGGTGAAACACGTCCATGTACGAATAGCCCATGAACGTGATTCATTCTGGTCATAAAATCCCACACAAAATGTTCCGTTGTATACTTTCTCTGAACTGCTGCTTGCTCTGTGATGCGCAAGCAGATATCAGTGACCGACGATAATATGGATACAAAATACATAAATATGTGTGCACAGAAAATAGGTACTAATAATTTTGAAGATAAATAACTACCTACATGTCCCTGACTTACAATCTGATGGAAATCTTAAGCTACTTAGCTTACATGTACATACTTAAATACTTATATACATAGTATTGGTTGGACCATAGCGTGATCATATTCTAACTTTAATAGCCTTATCCGCTTAATGACGACGAAATTCTAAATCCAATGCAGCTGTTTCATCGAATACTTATCATAATCAGTCAGGGTAATGGAGAAGAGATAGACCACATTATCTGTTGAACCTTCTAGGTTGAAAGAAAAACACTGTATACTTAGGATTAGTTTGTACGCTGCTAATCTCTTTAATATAATCCCTAACTTGCATAACTTACACTTGATAAACAGTCAGTGATACGTGTGATTGATATAAATTTTTTTGCAACACACGAATATCGACAAAATTATGAAATTATTAGTCTTTGCTAAACCACTAGTAATTCAACACTCTCTGAAAATAATGATATAATTTTCTGAGGTTTTTGTAGTATTCTGTATTTTGCTTTTATTTATGTAAACCATTATCCCTGTTAGCACCTCACTTTTAAAACAAGTTTGAGACGACGCCTTCAGCCGTGTCCAACAAAATGTCTACTGACCATTCTGAACCATTAATTAACTCATTGGACGAATTAATTCTGCATTTACGCGAGGCCTTCAGCACAAACGACGTAAATATCGAACACGTCGAAGATCTAATGAGCAAAAGCGATCCTCGCGATTGGAATAGGCTCGCCAACTACGCCAAGTGCCCTTACACGAAAAATCTGGTTGACGAAGGGAATGGCAAATATGATCTGGTTCTCGTGTGTTGGAGTGAGGGTGAAGGGTACACGGGATCGCCGATTCATGACCATTCCGGTTCCCACTGCTTCATGAAAATCCTTCAAGGCATCCTTTCAGAAGTGAGATTCGCCTGGCCCGAGAGCAAAGATAACAAGGTAAACCCTTAATAATTATTATTTACTATACATATATGCACATTTACTTTATGATTCCATAATATATATGTCTAGTCGGGAATCATGAAACGTCGAAAAAGAATTTGAATCTGAATAAGGTATACTACATGTCCGACAAGCAGGGACTTCACCAGATGGAAAATGCTAGTAAAACCGAACAAGCGGCCAGTCTCCATCTCTACATCCCACCAATTAGATCATGCCACACATTTGATGGGAAAACGAGCCATAAAACCAAGTGTGAGGTTACCTTCTGGTCGAAATATGGAAAAAGAGAATAGTAGCGAAACTTTGCAAATACATATATGTTGACGATACAACAAGAAGTATGTCAGAATAAAATACGGATAAAATACTGTACTGAAGTATGCATCTTGCTCGACGTCTGTATATTTATATACATCATACCAATTATGAGACCTCGTGGCATTACTTTCACACGTTATATACTTGCTTATGGATTTTGATACTTCTGATTACAAAAGTCAAGCAGTAGTGCCAGTCATCGTATACGAATAGGAAATAATAACTCGATACTCTTTGATCAGTAGAGGACCCGCAGCAGTGCTGAACGGAGAAACTCATGTGAAAGCTTCACGATCATATCTGTGTTTGTTGAGTGAAAGCGGAATGCATTTGCTGTCTTGGTGGTGGTCACAAAGAGAATGGACAAGTCGTGTTATTTTGACAGCAAATAACAGATTGTCCACACTACCAATCCGGCAGACCCAGAATAACAATACTTGACCGCTCTCTAGGAGAAACCATGCATGTTCCACAGACCAGCGACGAGAATTCGCTATTTTATTCGTATATGTAGTACAAGGAATTAGTTACACCAACAACGGCCCAACTTGGATGTATGTGTGTACTGTTTGTCAATACTTCGTCCTCCAATTTTTTCAGTTTTCTTGCCGCAGCAGACCAAAACTTTCCAGCTCTCGAGAATGAAAACTCACGGTTGGACTGGAACATGTTTCCCTTTACGTGTTTGAAATAACGCATCATCAGTTCATTGTGCAAGTATGTATGTAGTTCATTCCCAAAAGAAATACAAACACCTTCCCTGCAAGGATAGCGCTTTGAGGGACGGACATTCCGCCAAGTTACATGGTCTGTAATAATAACAAAAGCAAAGAGAGTAGAACGATCCGCAGCCCGAGTGATAAATGAACTAATAGAAAAATTATTCCATGCTAATGACAAGTTTTAGTAATCAATTCACATGAGCAACACCGACAGCAGAGTCATTGCGTGGCAAAGAAAATATTAATATTAATAGTGCAACTCTTATAAAGTGCAGGAAAAATATGGGAAAGGGTTGCAGAAACTTTGGTACAATCTATCCGTGCCGTGATGATGGAATTATTATTCAGACAAGTTATTATGAGTTTCCTATCTCTCCGCCTCCAAAGCTGCATCTTACTGATTCTGTGATTTAATATTAATAAACAGAGCTGGGAGCTGAAGGATATTTACTTTGATTTGATGAATGATTTTCGTCGACACAGCCAGCAAACTTGCAAAAGGCATATCTCAAATTATTGCTCGCAGTAGAGTTCAGGAGCAAAGTAAGTAAACTATGTGAGTAATGTGAGCAAGGCAAGCGATAAGGAAGTCATAAAGGAAATGAGAAAGCAAAGGGTTCTTTGTCTGCGGGTGGGTGTCAGCTTATTTCACCCTTTGCCGAATTTCGGATCATTTCCTTGGTGCATTCGTGTGCTATTCCCCTTTTGATCTTGATCCTATGTACTTTGCGATGTTATTCGTGTTAAACTGATATGTACAGCTTGCGATGATCAGAATTCGAATTATTTATTAAACTTGAACATATTTAAGTATATTTTTAATGCAGTTTGTGTATTATGTAAATGTCGTCATGTAATTTCAAGTAGATATGTGTCTGCTATGGTGTGGTTATAACTAGTGTCCACACCCACTTTGACGTGTTGTCATCAAGCCGTGGCATTGTGACCGTGATTCCAGGAGAAGTATTTTGCCAAACCAAAACTCCTTGGGTACCCAGAAGCGTCACCGTGCTAGCAATTGTAATATCGACCGCTCCCAATCGAACACTTTGACCAGGCCAACTGGTCATCATTGCGTAAACCCGGCTTCCATCAGGACTTGCTGTGTACCTATTTTATAAATAAGAAAATACGTAGTAGTAAAATATATAGCATGTGTAGCAGCAGTCTATTGATTGGTTCATTTACCACACCCCTGGAGTAAGCGTGTCATTTTGGTACAACCAGGGCACAGAGTTGTAAATTGCTTCTCCATTAACCCCCAACCACTCCCCCATTTGTAACAATCTTTCTTGTTGGATCGTTGGGATCATGCCCTCCCGTGTTGGTCCAACGTTAACAAGAACATTTCCTGAAAATCGACACCGAGGGAACTAGGGTAAACCTCTGTTTGCTAAAAACTTATTAAGTAGTTCTCAGAGTTGCACGTTACCTCCGCACGAAACACTTTCCACTGTAACACAATTTACATTTATATAATATTTTACTTCAGTTGATGCTGCAAAGCTGTAGGATTCTTACGGTTTTCCAGTTAAAGTTAGAAACTCACCAATTGTTGTCATTAGTTCTTCTGGAGTGAGATAATCCTCAATCTTCGCATTTCGTCTGAAGCCCCACGATTCTTTGTCCAAAGTCATGCAATTTTCCCATTTGTGAGGTTGAAGAGTACCTACAAAAATTTAACGAGATATTTATTTCTACCTTCAAAAGTTTTCGGGAGGTACAAGTAGATGTATTTATGTACCTGGGTTGTAGCGATCGGTACCTATTTTTGATCAATAAACGTTAAAATTTTCACCCCCAAATAAACTAAATATAAGAAACTTTAGTACAAGTGTAATATCCTCCGTGGTTGCAAAGGGTTTCATGTCCCCATCTGTCGTTAGTTACAACCGTATCTTTGACGGGACTGTCATTGTAGAGCCAAGCTATGAATTCAAGGGATCCCCAATACGTGTCCGGTGCCTCCCACTCGCCATCAGACCAAAATATTTCAGGTTGATACTTATTAACCTATTCCACCAAAATTAGTGCTGATTAGAGTATTTTCCTGGTTGATATTTTTCAATAATGATCGATATGTTTGTTTACTCACAATTTCATACATTTCTGGCTTTATCTTGAAGTTGACAAAATCAGACGTCGAGTGGTTGTTGTCTCTATCTCGCATCCAAAGGGGATTGTACCACTCATATAACGAATGGTAGAGTCCGAATTTTAGGGATGTGTTGGTTCTTATTGCGTTTGCGAGATCCCCTTAAAATTAAAAATACAACGTGTTTACCCAAGCACAAAAACAAGTACAAAATGGATACTTCATCATTAAGTAGATAGATAATAATCAAAACGATTATGTATGCAGCTCATTGAACAATATACTAATGCAAATATAGATTATTCCATTATGCAATTCCAATCACTTGACTTTTACTCAACCTTCTGTACTTACCCAAAACATCCCTATGTGGTCCTACGTCTTGGGCATTCCAACTGAACGAATACAAGGATGGCCAGAGGGTGTAACCTTCACTAATATTACATAGTGCATGCAAAATTTAATGATGCCGGACCTTTTGGAGATATTGTATATTACAAACTATGTATAAGAGCTTACTGGTGTTTTGAAGTTAGAACCACGTATTTAGCTCCTGACCTGGCGAATAAGTCTGCCCAGGCGGATGGGTCATAAAATTCTGCAGTAAACTCGGGTGCAAATTCCTGATAAGTGAAGTTGGGCTTGTAATTGGCTTCCATGAATTCCACACATTCTGGTCGCTTGTCTGAATTAATATGTGTATGAAGTCGTCGAAAATAATGATCATTGATGATCTCAAATTTAAATTAGCTCAATCACGAAAGTTCATACCTGTCCAAGTCTTCCAAAACCACTCGCTGGTCAATATTATATTATATTATATTATATTATATTATTATAATAATTCGCTGTACTCGCTGTACTCGCTGTAAACTATAATAATTACTTTAATAGTTTATATACCTTTCAACCCCAGGAACGCTGTACACTCCCCAGTGAATAAATATACCGATTTTACTTTGATCGTACCTAAACGATGAGAGAAAATATACCACTGCATATAGAACGACTTATGTAAATTAATTATGTGTTCATGAAAATAAATAATTACCACGCAGGCAATGGTCTCGAATCAATAGATTCCCATGTTGGGTCCCAACGAGGGTTGGCTTCAGAAACTGTGATATCTTTTTGTTTGGAGTTCATCACCGGTTTTTCATGTAAATCTAGGGAGTCAATCTCATTATGATAATTTTGTTGCAAAAATCGTTGTCGTTCTTCATTATTGTACGACTTGAAGTTTCCCTTGCCGTGAGCAAGTGCTATAATAAGAAATATTGCTAATGGGAAACACACGGTTAATTTTTTCTCCATTTTGATGGAATTATTTCTTGTTATTCGTTTCACAATGTCAAATCTACTGCACATGGACTGTCCAACTTGACTTTATATACCAGGCAGTTGACATTATGAGTGCATGTTTATTTAATACTTTGACAGGTCCAGTTACTTAACCAACTCAGGCGTGTGTTGATACATAATGGATAATTTTAGTTGCATATGAGCAGCCCAATGCATATGAATACATATCTCACCCATACGTATGTACATATTGTTATACAAATGTCATTTATAATTGGTTCATAATATGTAAAGATATGTACATATAGTAACTTCACTAATGCCTATGCCCTGGCGTGACCACTCATCTGAACAGGAAACCGTGAGACTGTAATCAAATGTGTATAACTTGAGAATTGTTGCAAAATGTTTACTTATAAAGGTTAATGATTCTTCACGCATGTTAGCAATTCATACGTCATCGGTTATAACATTTGTTTGTAGCGAAAATCCTGTACTTGCTGATAATCATGATCGCGTTCGAGATCTCCACAATTTCAACAGATTTACAAGTTGGCATATTGAAATATGAGGCTCATCATTTATTTGATGTGTGCACTCACGTCCCAGTAAAGGCGGCTTGCAAAGACAAATCCTCGCTGTTGAGAAATTTTGCCTCGTCAAAGTTAAGTCCCAACTAAATGGAGGATTTGCTGGTGTACATTGCATCACCGTGCGTCGACACAGTTAGCAACAGCAGGCAGTAAGATAAGCCCTTGGCCTATCACAATTTCGAATTTCATTACAGAACAAGCCGAGCCGAATGTATATTTCTTCATAACCACACAGATTCCGTTTGCGTGTTGGAGATAAGACCTCTCACGAGCATGGGACAAATCTTCCCTTCATCTCAAAGTTGGGATAATCTGTGTACATTTCAGACTGTTTGCCCATCCAAATTGCAAACGAATAAATACGTACTGGGCTGAGAGCAATCCAGCAAGTTTCGTGCGGATATTGAAGATTATGAAAGTTTGCAAATACTCATTTGAGAGTGAAATGGAAAGCAAAAACAGAATTTATCGCTGAAATTTGAAAATTGAATTCCAATTTAAGTCCTTCCAATAACTAAAACTAAGGCATGGTTTATCCACATGTAGTCCCAAACATTTGTAAGTGCTATTTACTTACTATGTAAGTAATATTAAATGAAATACTTATTACTGGAAAATACTTATTATTACTTTGAGTGAACCTGATAATTATAATTACATTCAATATTGCTCACCTTTTAGCTATATATCTACATGAATTCATAATTGAATATAAATACATACATTTGCTCTACATAAATATTCATGTTAATAGGAAATAAAAGTATGCACAACGTATCATTTATTTTAGGCCGGAATTCCCCATGCATTTCAATCACTAATTGCAATTTCTCCCCGAACGAGCTGCCCGAGAATGAGGACTGGTTTAAATAGATAGTAAAACAATGTCAATCTGAAAACTAAATAAGTCAAACCCACAAATGACAACGGCAATCAAATGTTCTGACTCGGTTTATCAAGTCGCCTTGAACCAATGTCGTTGTCCGCTGAACTTCATCTGCCAAAAGCTTCCACCACAAACAATTCACTTCGGATCCGGAACATGAACTCATTGAGGCAAAATTGAATTCCACATATGGATTTCAATGTTATTGAAATATCATCGTCGTGTTCGACCTGTATTTATTTTCTACGCTCTGCCCAATCCAAGCCTTGTCCCCTTGTTCAATTAGCAATCATCAGTCTACTCTATTAATGAGTAGCCTGGCCACCCCACAAAGAAGATACATACAATCATCAGCGTAAATATCAGGAACTAATCAGTTTATGATTTCAAGCTGCTCAGTTATCTGTCACTTTTTGGGGAAAATTTATACCGTGCATGAGCTACTAAAAGATTATCACTGTAGACCAAAATAACACGATGGAATGTGTAAATACTGATTGTACGTAAACAGTGTTTGTCTAACCTATTGATCCAATTATGTTACAAGCTGTATATTACACCAAGCTGGAAATACGCTCTTGTTGTATCGTGTGTAATATGCACGATGCAGATGAATCAAATAAACAAATTGCAAATAGAAAGAAAATAAAATACACTTCCACATGATGCACGATATCGCAAAATCAATTTAGAGCAGTAAAAATACTTTAAACTGTCCGGCTACAAATTTACCATATTTGTAATAATCGACTGTGGCGTTTAAAACGGATCAAAAGTAATTTTCTCCAAGAGGGATTGCTTTTGTAATCGATAAACAATGCATATTCTAATGGCAAAGTTATTGAAACTTTAGAATACTCCAGACTTAAGATATGGCCCTTCACATTTAAGAACATGCGAGAAGGGGGGGGGGGCATTTTCAGGCTGATAACCAGCAATCTTTACACTTCTGCTCTACACAACTTAAAATGTTTCGGCCGCTCGAAGTCGACTTTGCCACATGGCACTATGCTATGTTACCAAATTATACAAAAATCTTGCTCGAGCTGGGCAGTATACGAACTCGAGATTCAGAATATTTAATGGCTTACATACAAATCCAGAGAGTTAATACAATACAAATTGAATTTACGCAACGTGTGTGTCTAATAAACCAAGTGCACATTTGAGAGTACTCAACCAGTTCCGCAGCCTGGGGTTCAAACGCGAGAAAGAGCGAGAGGGGAACCTCCGAACCTCTGAGGTACGATAAATAGAATTTCAAACACATTAAGTGCGTTAAAAGGCTTGAGGTTTATTTGCATGCACACCTGCGCCCGGCCCAGCTTCATACACAAAAAAAGCGGAATTAGCATGCTGATGTTGCAGCTTTAAATCTCTGGTTTACAAGCCACGATGTTACGAGAAGGAAAAACTTCAGTGAAACTGAAAGTAATAAATTCTGAGGAGAAATGCATCGCTTCTCGGGAATTGGATTTTTTAAAACATGTTTTATAGAATAGTGACCAACATAGGTAAATGTGCACAATTTTTGAATGCACGTACTTCAGCTACGTATTTACATAAGACTTGGCTTGATTACTTTTGTAAAATTTCTTGCAAACAGCCATTACTTAAATATACAAAGTGATACTCACAATAAAGTCGCAATTTAAAATAAAACGCTTCTATATGCCTATATTCTTATACGTATGGTGTGCCACTCATAGGATTCACTTATTGCATTAATTATCAACATATATAATTTTACGAGAAAATTACAAAACTTCGCATGAGAAATCTGTGATGCTCATAGACTGGCCCTAAAATGAGATAAACTGTGAAAACAGGTTTTGGCAACAGGACAGTCATTATCTGCCCAAAAATTCCGAAGTTTGGTCTACTCTCAATTGCGTTGAAAGAAGTCACGGTATGGAAATATTCACCATGAAAATCAAATGTTCAGGGTAATACATCATCTTGTCATCACTTTTATTCTTATTACTTGAAAATAATGTAATAAATAAATTGGTATACTAGTATTGGTATTGGTATTGGTATAAATTGGTAAACTCTAAAACCCATCTTCTAGTCATCATGCTTGATATATCCTCAAGTAACTAACGTTGGGATTTCCATCACCCCGAATAATCACGTCAATACTACGTGTATAATAAAGATGCATGACACGCGATTTACTCTTCAGTCGTCCTATGATTCATTCGGTTATAATAATAATAATAATGCCAAAAAAGTAGATTTTTCTCTCACAGAAGTCTTATCCTCACTTGAAATTTCTAACATCACAAGACTCTTGTGGTTTTCATATAGATTTACCACCGTATATGTGCCTATGTATGCAAATGTAAATTGCACAAGCATCAGCTCATCTCCAACTTCGTGAAGACTTGATGGACAATTTGCGAATGTGACAGTAATCACAAATAATTGATTGTAAAACTGCTTTGAATGCAAAAATACAAATTATATTCCTAGAAATCGTAAAACAAATAATCAATTTGCACATCATTATTCTGTCGTAGGACAAGAAGCAACAAAAAAACTGTGACAGAGTTGAAAAGAACTGGACTTGGTGGATTTGCGTAAACATTCTGCTTTTTTGGCAACCAACAAGTCTAGCAGCGTGGCGTGTACTAGGATAGGACAAGAAAACTCGCATCAGTCAATGTGAAATGAAAACTGAACAAGGTGTGTCAAACTTGTAGTTAAATATAATAAAGCATAATCCAACACAATCCTAATTACGCCGGATGTGACAACCAATGCGGTTTTGGTTTTTGATTACTAGAGTGAACAACTTATTACTTAGATTATTTCATACACATTGCAAATACATACAGTACCACAAGAAAATGGAGTCTTCAGGAGCGTGTATTTTTACAAGTGCAGTTTTAATATTATTAATTACAAGCATTGGCGCTTCACCTATTGCAAATTCTAACGAGTATCGAATTCGTTCAAGTCTGAGTGACGCATTGTCGAGTGAAGATTATCAAAATGATGCACTAATATTTGACCCGAGAGATTTCAATGGTCCTCGCCTCAGTCGAGCCAGCAGGTATCCCTTGTGGCACAGGGTTAAACATAGTGAAAAGGATGCTGGAAATTTTGACAAAGAGGAATCCACTGATGCAATTGCATTTCAACGTAAGTATCATAATTTTAACTATATTGGATGAAAATCGTGAACACTTTTATAACCATCAATGTCTCACTTCACAGCAACCACTGGGCTACAGGGTCGTCCTAGATCGTACAACCGCCGCCCCTCAGCGTCAAAACTCCCAAATCAACTTAGATTCCAGAATCCCATCGACTTGTGGAGAAATGTAGATCAACCGAATGCAGATGGCAAGTCGGACGAGATTTCAAATACGAACCAAGAGGGGTATCGACTAGACGATGCTCTTGTTCTCGAGTCCGTTCCAGTTCCTGACGACCTTATTCTGAGCGACCATAATGACCAGAACATTGACGAAGATGATTTGTTGAACCAGTTTTTTTCTCACGTGAAGACAACCACAGTCTCGCCCAAGTACTCGACAGAGCTGCATGGGAAAAAATCAAAGGAAAAACATGGAAAATTGCAGAAAATCAAAATCTCGAAAGATATTAATCGAAACAATGTTTTACATTCTGACATTAGTAACGACGATGATGAGTCGGAAGTTGCTTTTCTAACGTTTGATTCAGTGATTCAAAGGAGACAGTGCGCTTCTAGTTATGACGTCAAAGATGGAAAGTGTAAACCACGAGCAAAAATAAATTAGTTAGTTCATTTAGTGATGATGTAACCAAATTGCGTATGTGAGTATATGAAGGTATAATCAACAATACTCCATTGCCGAATAGTATTATTGTAAATATTGTATATACTTATATTTCTTAGCAGATTGCATTTATTGTAAAATTATTACACGAAATCAATAAAGTTCAATGCAACTATGTAAATACGTACATGCTTATGTACTTAAAGAAAGGATATATCAGTAGTACGTACATACGCTAATGCTGCACTCATTTTTCTCACGCTCATTCGTGGTTGATTTGTAGAGCGTAGTGATAATTATGGTCTACATACATAATAATGAAGCATACAATAAAAAATAGATTTCTCAATCAATCAAATACATATGTACAACTTTATGTGTTTCAATGACGAGTCGTCATGCGGTAGCAACCTCTGTGTTGACCTTGCTTGCGTTTTAATTGTATTTATTTGAAAATTCCGTAAAATGTTCCGGGTAGTTTGCTGTAGTTTGATATATGCAAATTTCATTTTACAAATCGTTTACGTAACACCTTTCCCGAACACCACAGTTCTGTACAAGGAGAAACTCAACTCCAACATTTCTGATATTGTCAATCATAGCATTGTAGTAAGTTTAATGCGTATTTCTACTCTAGAAATTGGGTAACATGATTTCCTGTTTCAAGGTTAATGACACGAAAATCACCAATTTTGACAACCAACAAGAAGTGTTTTTCCCCGAATCTATAAAAACCAGTGTGCTTGATGGAACATTGTCGTCCGAGGAGGAGGTCGCCACCATTAGTTACGCATTTAGAGGTCCAAACCCTGTCGTTGAAAAGTTAGAATTGCCTCTGTCGGAAGTAGACAAGAATGTCCGCGAAGCCTGGGGAGGGGATTGTAACCAGGAGTCGTGGGACAAGTGTAGCAAAATAAAAACCTGGGGGAGGCCTGGGGGGTATTTCATGCCCGACAAACGGTCGAATGGGAAGTTGATCTGGATAAATAATGGGACCAAATGCGACACTCCAGAGGAAAAATTCTATTGTTTAGGGAATGGCTGGACGGTAGCACGATGTCATCTTCTTTGTATGGCTCAGTGTAACAAAGGTATGCATAGTATACAAAAGTATGTATCTATGCATAGTACAGTACATACATAAGTAGAATATACCATAATAATTGGATTGCAATTAACAATTGTTTGACTATTCTCAGAGATTCTATTTAAATACGACCAAATTGTGAAACACGAAGGACAATGCCCATCACCAATTGGATGATTAATTGTATATGCTCCAGTGGCTACTGACGACGTGACAAACTTCATTAAGCACGACGATGATGGACAGTTTGTTTTTCTTCCCTCGATCCGGATCATGAATTTATTCATGACATGAGAGAACTGATCAAAACCAGAAGCTATACTTTGAACTACTAATTTACTTTATTGCATAAATTGCTATAAATTGATTTAACTCTGCCATGTCAAATGTCTAAGCACGAGAATACAATTCGCAGTTAGCGTTCACAACTGAACCAAACAACACTCCAACATGAGGAACATTGTTTTTTGCATCTTTGTTACTTTGCTCTTATGCTTTCTGATAAAAGTAGAGCCATGTTCCGTGCATCCGACTACATCACCCCAGCCAACCACAAAATCTTCATTGCTTCGCAGAATTAGAACAAAACCGACCACAACTAGGACCCCTGTAACGACGCCAGCAACTTTATCAGAGGATCAGTCACGTTTCACTAAATACTCAAAATATGCGAGTAATGTAATAACAGTAATGTTTTTATTTTATACGAATTTTTAAATGCAATAATAAAGTGTAAAATTTAATGTATAAAGGGAGCGGTTTTTTCCTGGAAGTAGAAGGTTAGAAAACTAACAGTCAAATTTATCGTGTATTGCAATCACTACATTACAAATTTTCGTTTCACTAATTGAAGAAACAATTGACAATCGAACCCGAGTGTACGAAATGAAGAAACTGCCACGGTAAACAAAATAAAAATAATTTTACATTCTAGACTAATTTCAAATTTTGGATTATTTTTCTATTATGCGTGACGAGTTTTTAGACTCTACAGCCAAACTATGAAAAGATCTACGGATGCACAGATCCCCCCAGACTCCAACAATGTTGAACAAATTGCTGGACCGAGTGACACCGCTGGAGAAGAATCTTTGACCGAGGAGGACTTGGCAGTTCAGAAAGACTGGGAAGGTGACTGCTTTTCTCGTCATTGGAAAAAATGTGCAGGTTTGGACCATATTCTTGTGATGAACGTATACAAGTTCGTAAAATACATACGTAATAATGAGCTTATTGCTGCATAATTTAAGTCAAACATTGATATTATGCAATAATTTAACTAGTAAAACGAACGGTCGGGATTATGAGACGCTGCATTGGGAAATGGTGATAACTGAAATTCTTTGTAGTATTTTGAATGAAATACTATCATGCATACTTAACGTACAATGGACATTCGTTTAATTTGTCAATATTAATTACTTAGGACTGTAAATTATCGTCGGTTGTATGCATGAAAAACGGTATTGACACATGATACTACATTTTTCTCTTATTGTGACATTTTAATGGTTGTTTTTAATTTAAGGGTGGTCGGTGAACCAGTGTCAAATCATTTGCATGTCAAAGGTAAATCAAATTATCCATTGCAATTTTACGAAATCAAATTATTAGCCCAAACCAGAGCTTACCTGTTATGTCCATTTACCTGACGATACATACAACATAACTAAAAAAATGTAGACCTATTTTGATTGAATTGGTAGAAATATGCATCCCAGTACATGTGATATGTAATTTTAAAGTGATAAATTAGTGAAATATGTAACCATCGGATAAAAGTGATTTTTTTCCAAACACATATCTTAATAAGCTACTCTCTGGTTCGAGCTACGACAAAATTGTAAACTGTACTGAACGTTTTACATATATCAGCAATATTTTTTTCAGTGCAACAAAGGTAAGCCTTCCATAATTAATAAAATGCGTAATTTAACCTGCCTTAATTTTGATATGTTTAGCAATGCTGCAAGGATACGATTCGTTCGTCAGTTATAGTGGACCGTGTAAATACATATAGTTGATAGTGGTTTCGTGGACCCTGTATTTACAAGTTAAATACTTTATTCCGGAAGTCATACAAGTAGGAAGGAACTCTGTCTGCATATCTAGATGCATATATGTATGTATGATTGGTTGATACTGTTCGTACAAAATATTGATACATAGCAAAATAAAATGGCATACATTTCAATATTGAAGTGGATCGACATTACACATTTTACTTTAGTACGTATATAAGTTCCATCCATTTACATACCACTTTGATGTAAATTGTCCAATTTTAGAGATTCTTAACATCCGGTCAATTGTTATGCACGCAACACTTATTTATGGATGAAAGTTGCGAACATTCGAGCTTATTGTATTTTGACAAAAATATTCATGTCGAATTATGCAAATACAAACAGATTAAGTTGATATACTTATTTAGTTAGCTGTTCTAAATTCACTTTGAAATTGAACTTATTGTGATCCTTTCCTTAACAATAATTTGCAAATACCGCAGAGAAATGCAGTTTCTTCGGCCAATCAATCAAACCATATCTGCAATTTCGTTTTTATTTCTCTGCATATCGTTGGTTAATACAATACCGACTCGAAACTTAGAAAAACGAGCAGCTCTTGAAAAAAGTGTTACCAGCTCATCGCTGAAAAGTGACAGCAATGTGTCACAATATGCAAACTTGGAATTGGACAAGTTTGCCAACTTTCCATTAAATGCAACTGAGGTGAATTTGTATGGAAATGTTTTGACACCCGAAGACCTTACGACGCAGGAAGATTGGGGAGGAAATTGCACGGTCGCAGTTTGGGATAAATGCAAAGTGATCTCATCGTGGTTCGGGTATTACCTGAACCCCAATGAGGGTCCAGATCAGCCAAAGTGGCTGAATTACCAATTGGATTGCAAAGTCAGTATATAAATATTATAAGTTCATCACATAAACTTTTAGTAACTATTATTCCGCTTTCGAAATTTAAAGTTACGGATCAGATTTTAGAAAATTATAGTTTTTCTCAGACATTTTTATTCGCTGACCTCACTCTGCGCCTTTGAAGATGGAAGGATGCATAATGATGGTCGAGTAACCAAGTCTGAAAGTCTTAACGTACTTTTTTACTATTAATAAATTTGTAAAGGTGGAACCAACATTATGCATGAACAACGGATGGAACGTGAACCGCTGCCACATTCTCTGCATGTCTCGTTGTAACACTGGTCAGTAATATATTTGGCTATTAAACAATTATATATATTGATTTATTGTAAACCATGTATTCATTGTAGAAATGCTGTCTAAATTTGACAAGTATGTTAGTCATCAAGAAGAATGCAAGGCAAGTGCTCATGGATAACTGCGCAATATTGATCATTGTACAGAGGAAGAGAACGACCTGATGAAAACAGTGAAGCTGCTTCGATTTTAGAATACTATGTTGCAAAGATTGCTAATGTTAGTTGACTGGTATTATACAATGACAAAAATAAAAACAATTTATAATACCAAAATTCATGCGAAAAAAGTCCGGGTTTATTTGCTAAATATTATTAGACCCTAGGTATTATTAACCAGGATTCTACTCCATAATCACCCAAAACATGAATACATATGCAATAACATGATAAGTATATCACCTAATGCCGATTCTTACTATTAAAAATTTTATCCCACCAAATCCTTATTCGTACCGGCGAATATAATTACTATATATAAAATTTCGATTTTAAGATAGATACCAAGCCTGTTTGCTCCTATATCTCTACGTTGCGAAACGCAGCCAGGGATGCAGTGCCGGGACAATGAAATTGGGCCCTTGCAGGGCCAAAATTCATATTTGTGGCTGTAGTCACCTGTTTCTGACTTAATTAACAATACTTAATAACATAATAAAATTTCATAGTGTTTAAAAAAGTATAAACTTCGAATTCAAAAAAAAATTTTAATTCGAAAAAAAATAGTTTTTAGAAAAATAGTAGTTAGTGTTTAAAAAATTATTTTTTAACACCGCAAAATTGTATTATTTTATTAAGTATTGTCAATTAAGTCAGAGACAGGTGACTACAGACACAAATATGAATTTTGGCCCTGCAAGGGCCCAATTTCATTGTCCCGGCACTGCATCCCTGGCTGCGTTTCGCAACGTAGAGATATAGGAGCAAACAGGCTTGATAGATACACGTATATCAATAGCGTTCTGAAGTGATTTCCAATAAAATATTTCATTTTGTAACAAAAATGCAATCTGCACATTTTAACGGGACAAACAAATTTACAGTTCAGAGATATAGCCTTTGCAATTGCTGAATTTCGACGTTTTGGCGACAATGAGGGCAACGAGGTTGACGTGTAAGGGCCTCTTCGATGCATACTCGGCAGAAAACGTGCCCACATGGAGTTGCCATTATATGAATCTCACGGTCCTTCAACTGTTCAAAGTCTTCAAAACAGATCTCACAGACCTTGACGACACCCAAAACTTTTTCCTCTTCGAGAGAGTCTGTTGATCCGCTTCGACTGACCCTCGCCCGTGGTGCTTGCATATTTGCATGTTGTTGGCGTTGCTGCTGCTCCATTCGGTCGTCCTCGGTCGCTGCAAAATAAGCAATTCCAGCCGCCGCTGCGCCCACTGCTGCTCCCACAGCAAATGTAGCTGCTGTCTTCAACCAAGAGCTTTGTTGCTGATTATTATCCCTTCGTGCTCCAGACATGATTGGATCAAAATTGAATCTGTTTTGATATAAAATATGATACTTTTTAAGAGATGATAAACTAAACTTGTATGGATGTTGTACATACATCAAAGTACTACTCACCTTTTATTAGTGGAACTTTGTCTTGATTTTTAAACTCTATTAACGACTATGTTCAGACTCTCCTTAAGTACTCTAAAAGAAAAAAAATCAATATTAGAAAACAATGAGCACCACATTGCTTGACTTTTAGTATCTAAGTCTTCTCCTACATAGAGTGATATGTAAAGTGTCACAAATAACTTTGAACTACGTATAAGGCAATTTGGACAATGTAAATTCAAGAAAAAAATTGAAAACCATAGATCTGTATAATTCTTGAGAACTGAACTGATTAACCTTAACCCGTGATTACACAATTACCTTAGATAATGGGAGTGAACGTATTTAGTTGCTGACTAGAACGTGAATTGACGCAAATTACTAATTTGTCACAATGATTTTGCTAAATTTAAACTCTGTTAAGACGGGAGAGGAGAGGAAGACACCAGTCCTTCTATTGCAAAACTGCAAACGTATGTGTAATCTGTTGGTAAACAAACAACATCAACTTTGTATAATATTAACTTGTATATTACGTGGGATTTGCGAGTAGTAGTGTGGCAATTTCAAGAAATTTGTTGATTGCAGAACGATTTTTAGCAAAATCGTCATATGCTGCACAACGACATTAGGGAGCGTCCATAAATCACGTGATCGATTAGAGGGGGGGAGGGGGTCTGAAATTTGTCACGAATTATCACGGGGGGGGGGGGGGTAGATGGTCAGATGTCACGTGACATGAGTAAAGTTTTTTGCCAATAAATGTCATGAGAGTTTATATCGTGCGTGTGGTATGATACCACACGCACGTTATATAAATTTGATTTTCATTTTGCATATTTATAAACTTGCTTCGACCTAAATTCTTATGTCTGACTGGCGTATTAAATAGTTATTTACACATGTGTGTAATGTAGCTCTAATTTGATTAATGATTTTAAAAATATTGTTATTCCGGACATGATTTAATTTGAGCATCATCTCGTGTCACGTGACCGGTGGGGGGGGGGTAGCGAAATTATCACCACCGGTCACCAAGGGGGGGGAGGGGGTCAAAATTGTCCAAAAATCGATCACGTGATTTATGGACGCTCCCTTACATTCGTAGATGCTGAATTCCGATCCACTCCGACCATCGCCAAGCAACAAAGCTCATGAAAGTTTTTCATGAAGTGAAAGGATGCACATATGTAAAAGTTTCCATATTGTTAAATTTTAGCTTTATTATCGCTGTAGAGTGATAAAACAAGATTCCTAAACTTTTTAGCTCGTTTCCGTGGAGTGAATGTATTAGGATTATGTAATGAGGTTGTCCAAGGATGGGCCATCTTTTAAAAATTATTAAAAATTTTCGAGTTGGGGACAGGCACGCATTTTTTGGCGTTGTCACCCGTTGTTGGGTGAGTGAGAAATTATTTTTCGGTGGACTTTTTCATTTCTAACTCGAATGCATATTATGTGATATTGATGACCACTTCTGCCCCCGATAATTTTGTATATTTCTACACTTATTTGTATACATATTTTTATGAAGATAGCGACCACAACCAGGAGGATAATTCGAGTTCCAGATAAAGAAATGTTTATTTATCTTTAAAAAAACTTGACAAAAATTTACATCCTCATGATTTTAAAAACTTATACCGTTAACAACTCATCTTCGGTATCAGCAGGAGTGGTTTCTGAATCTGCACCAGCAGCTGCTACCTCATCAATTACAAAATCTTCCAGAACTAAATTATCCTCCTCCTCTTCGTCCTCCAGGTCCACCGTTATCGTGGGAGTGATAATTTAATAATGAAAATTTTGTCAAGTTTTAGACAAATGAAAATTTTTTCTCCGGAACTCGAATTATCTACCTGGTTGTGCTCTTTATAAAAATATGCATATAAATACGTGTACAAATATATAAAAGTATCGGGGACAAAAATGGTCATCAATATCACATATGTAATATGCAATCGAGTTAAAAATTAAAAGCAGTCCCCAGAAAATGTAGCAAAAATAATTTTTAAAATAATTTCTCACTCACCCAACAACGGGTGACAACGCCAAAAAATGCGTGCCTGTCCCCAACTCGAAAATTTTTAATAATTTTTAAAAGATGGCCCATCCTTGGACAACCTCATTACATAATCCTAATACATTCACTCCACAGAAACGAGCTAAAAAGTTTAGGAATCTTGGTGATAAAATATAAAGAAAACACACTTTAATAATTAAAGTGTGTCAGTGTGTCTTAAGTAATTAATTATTAATCAATCATGTAATAATTGATACAGATTAGCACTTTTAAATTGCAGCTCTTTTTTATTAAGACACCGGGGAAAGCAAATCAAGCACAATTACAAGAAACTTAAGTTGCGTGCACATATTTACACAGCCCAATAAATTTATATTCAAGTAATTTGAATTGAACAAATTGTATCTACCATACGTTAACCAGGAGAAGCTTATGTACATTGGCTCATATTCATAGTGTGTAATAACTTGCGTACCTCAATAACCCTTTCATACTGCATACTTTGAACAATTAAGCTAAATATACATACATGAGTTTCATAAATAAGCTACAAAAAACTAATATCCAGCATCTCGTTCTGCAAACATATAATGATACCAGTATGCGATGTTGAATATTAAGAAAGATATAGGAAACAGGAATCTTGACACACGATCCTAATAAGATGGAAATTTAATTTTCTATTAATTAAATTTCTACATTAACACATTAATTAGTAAGCGTCTTACCACTTGATTAGATCTCGTAAGTAAATGGCCTCCCATGGTGGGACGATTCTTCATATTCTGAGTAAACGGAAGGGGCAGGGTTTGTCTATCTGAATTTTTAAAAACATATTTAGTTCACAATAGTGTTTCAAACAATGGCGTAAGTTTCAAATTGCTAATCTATTAAGCGCAGTACATACATTTATAGAGCTGGATGTTATAACCTGGGTGTTATAAAATTGATTAAATTAAATAACAACTCGTGTAATAAATTATAAAGCCAACTTTAAGGTATCGATCTAACCGACTATGCTGACTTCGATGATGGCCATAACAATGAACACAAGGCATGTTCCTGTGAATATGTCGAGAGCCTTTGTGTACGACACGGGAGGAACAGCTTGATTGATTAAAAAATTGGTTAAAAAATTAGAGTATATTATTATATGTATCCCGTAAGAATTATTCACAGACCCTGGTTGATTCCATAAATCTGAGCAACCATCGTGAGCATCGTTGTTATTCCGAGAGACTAACAAATATTTGATTTTTTGTGAATTAAATTCATACATGGACGTATTAATGTATCTATTACCACTCTTGCGTCAATGGTGCTCGCTCCAAGCCAGAAACTTATCCAGCTTACCTATTTTTAGATAAATTTGTACCATGTATATGTATGTATGTAAATATTACCCTCAGGCTACCATTATAGGAATAATAATTTCGACCTACCATAACAATCATACCTACACATAAAATTTTCAAACCATTAACAGATTAACTAATGTAGAAAATGGCATAAATCAATTGATTAGTTCGCTGTACCGCAAGGTAGAAAATTTTGTATCATGTAGTAGCCAAGTTCCCTTTGAAATGTAAAAGTTGCAAGTAAGCAACTATACTTTCCCGTGGTGGTCACATGATCGCAAGTTGAATAATTGTTGCTCTTCATTGTAAATCTTGGCAATTGTTGCTCCGCAGGAAGTTGGATTGGGTTGGTTCGTTTCCACATAAATGTTAAATCTTTGGTAGGCCATGAATAGCTACCCATGCGAATTCGACATGTCTGCCGATCAAGTGGGTAATATCGCAAGTTCATTGGACATGCTAGAGTTAGCGATAAACGTATGCTTAGCAAGACCGTTCCAGTTTCAGGGGTAACTCTAATCATAACATTTGGTTTCATTTGGAGATGAAGATTAGCACTTCGTTCATTCATGAAGAAAAGGTCCGGTGTCCATAAACGAGACATGTCTTCTGGAAGGGTGATGAATTCAGAGTAATTAAACTTGAGACGAAAATCTTTCCATTCTTGTCTCACGGTTATCTGAACACGATATTCCATGTTGATGTCATCTGATGATGAAAAATAGTACATGGCCGATAATACAAATAGGTATGTAAGCAAGCCAAGTTCAATACTTGTTAGACGTCGGACATATGATGCGATGTACGTAATTAATTGATAAAACACTTACCAATTGTACCAATATTTCTAAGAAACAAGTTGACAACGACAAATGTTGCCGACGCATTGTCACCCCTGGGTCTAATATTGTGGTTGTATAGAGTTTGATTATTGAGTATGTCATTAATTAAATCTTCTGCCTGAACTTGGTCAAAATCAGCACTAACTTGTTTTACATGTAGGCTAAGTGTTAACAGTAATAGTAAAATAAGCTGCTGCTTAAGGAAGGATGGAAAAATATGGCTGTTTGCTACCATTGTTAATGAAAATCTTGTAATCTAAAGTGAGATCCAATCGTGATGATTGCTGATAGCAGACTGAATTAAATGATAACAAATTGCAAAGAAATGGCGATGAAAATGTGGAATATCATGTCGGATGAAATTTGGTCATTACATGGTGCATGTTAATTCGCCATAATTCATTTACATATAATTAGAATTACATTGTCGTCCCTTTGTACACGTATGTATCACCTTGCATTTAGCTTCATTATTCATCCACGCGTGGCCTTGCTCTTGTTATCATGTCACCAGATCAGGAAGAGCCTATTTGATGAACTATTTTTTCGGTTTTGGAAAATGAGGACCCACCCAGATCCGGGCGATGGTACATATTTGCTTTCTACCCAAAGTACTTACTGCGGCTGCTTTCACTCAACAGAATATGCAGAGATGTTTTACGCATACATTTTACCCATGCAATATAGCAATGTAGTGTTCATTTGCATAAAGGAGAAAATGATGAAGTACTCAATAGGACATTTGCGGTTTGCTGCTTGTTTTTGAAATGTCATTAAAAACGATGTATTGCGTGACGTTAAAAGTTGTTGTCCCAAAAGACCCATGTAGTGAAAATATGCTAAAAATACTATAATTTATTCCTCACAAATATGTATGTACGTGTTTGATAAATAACGGGACAATCTACACATTAATATATGAAAAATCTAGAAATATGTACATACATATTTAGTTCTTACTCTGACCTTCAAGAAATACTGTCCAGAGTTCATATGATTCTCAGTGTCCAGTGCTCACCACTGTCTTTTGTGTACGATAGTGTTTAGTCAAAAATACTTTCCAGGATCCATCCCTTACGAATTTGATTCTAGTTCCACCCTCCGAAGGGGACGTGTCAATGGATGTTTTCGTTTTTTGAACGTTTAATTTAATCTTATTAACTTCTTTCGTAGAATTTTCCTCTACTGCTCGAAATTTGGAACCAGGAAAGTTCTGCCCAACATTAACTATTCTCCATTTATCCATGTCGTATATTTTCACGAAGGGCTCATGATGGAGTTCAATTTTATCGCTGTTGAGGTCTCGCTTCCGTTTTGATAATTTAAGAGATGAACTGCATCTGCCGAGTGGTCGATAATAATTCCATTTAACCGATAGCTTAATGCAACAGTGAACAAATTTACAAGTCAATATTATATCAGTGACGCTCCTCTTGCCATTTATTGCACAACACGATTTTACAATTTTAGTGCACTCCTCATTCTGATCTTTGTATCTCATCTTGTGGTTACAGCCAAGACCAATGCTCGTAGAAGTGTCAATCTCTTTGTGACCTGTAGTAGGACCATGTAGTTGAATTCATCCGAATGAAGTTGAATGTTTGCAAAAATGCTTTAAATCTGCAGTAGGATAAGAAGTTTGAATCTTACCTGATTCTTGATCTGGATAACTTATAATATTATTGCCACCTTCACTGACTTTTACAAGGACAGTGAATGCCAATAGTACACGATATGTCATGCTTCCATATATATTCGTATGAAAGGCAATTTTATGAGGCATGAACGGCAGTTCAAAAATATTTGAATGGAATAATGTTTATGTAACAACTTTTGTCTCACGGAAATGGAGTCACTTCACAATGAGTAATTGTAGCAATTATTGTACTTGATAAAGATATGTACGACATTTATTGCGAATTGTTCTGCGCAATAAACCATTACATATTACGTTCCTATTATAAAAAGACGTACATTTTCAAACCAACATCATGCGTAATAAACACACAATAAATATAAAACATGTGCTAGCAACTTTTGTAAAACATAAGTATCAAAAAGATTTGTTCGTTATTGTGTCAAATTTTCTCGAAATTGTAAAAAGTAACAATTTATGAAAGCAATTGCAAATAAATATTATTAAATACAAACATTCTCTGTACATTAGAAATACAGTTAAAAACGTGACTGTAAAAGTAGTGACATGAGCTAATAACGTCTGATTACATTGCATTGGTGGTCATTTAAATATTATAAATACGTAATTGGATAAATAATTCCATTATGTGAAGGTGTTATATTTGGATGATTAATTTGTTCGATTTGCAACTTGGATATTTGAATGAGGTAGCACAATAAGTACCATCATACATATGACATATGTAAGTAGGAGTAAAAATGGAGAAAGATTGTCGTTGAAGATTGTGACAAGTAATTTTGTATATATTTAAATGCGACAATGTTTCAATCAGTCTGAATTTCACGTGACAAATATTTCATGGTATTATACATAAATTACAATACCATATTTAATGAGTTTTGGTAAAAGCTCCACAATGAAAAGTGTTCAACAACAAACAGATTTTCAATATTTTATATGATATGCGGTGTTAAACTACTTATGCTTGGTTAAATTGAAATACATTAAGTTATCATCTAAACCACATACTGATCTTCTAAGCAGTTTCTACTGTCACTATGCGTTGAAGGTTGAGGAACAAAGTTGAGATTTTTTCTGGATATGAAGGAATGAATTTCCCAAAAGTTGGGTCTTTCCTCGTCATTTCTTCGCCAACAATCACACATGAGTTGATAAATATCTCTATTGATTTAAAAACAAAGTCATATTATATTTTATATTACCTGTACTTCAATTCAATGTTAAAAAGAAAGCTGTCATACCTCGGACAATTATGGGGTTTAGAAAGTGGTTCATATGGGTCCATATCATCAAAAACAGAGAGTCGACGAAGATTGTGAAGAACTTCTTGATTGTTCATTGTTGGATATGGAGCTGCAAGGAACACAAATTTTTAAAGTTTAAACTTGAAATTTAGGTGTAATTATTTGTTTTTAAACTCTTCCATAATTTTAGACTAGTCATACAAAGTTGACAATGACAATCATACATAAGTATGCATAAAAGTGTAGTCCGGGATCACTGGAATTAAGACCAGCATGGTCGAGTTGTAAAAACTTTCCATAATTTCACTCGCAACCAACTTAAAATTGTCACTCTTTACAACGTTAAATTAAATGGCAATTTTTCTAATTCTATGTACAAGTCTGGATATTTAACTATTTTAGAAATTCGACCTAATTTAAGACTAGGTAAATAGAGGATAGGCTAAATATTTAACAGAACAGTTAAAATATTTAACTAACCATGACGGCAGTAGGATAAAATCTCCCAAAGAGTCGTCCCGAATGACCAACAATCACTTTTTGTTGAATACTTTCCCTATAACATATTCATATATTAATTACATACTAATTGCTATCCTTGATTTAAATTGTCACTATTTAACTTACAAGAAAAATAGACTCCCAACTCATCCATCTTAGAGGGAGGGGCATTTTTCCATCCAGACGATAATAATCAGAGGAATACAGATCCGTATCGGTTGCAAAATGTGAAATTTTAACAATCAACCCTCGTCCAACCACGCAATTCCTACAAAACACAAAAAAGTTAATCAAAATCAATTAAAATTAGCCATTACGACTTCATGACTTTGAATTATTTTATATATTTTTTATACCGAGTTGCAAGATCCCTGTGGACAATGTTTCTGCTTTCCAAAAACTTCATTCCATGCGCAACTTGACCAGAAATATACAGCAAACTCCCAAATCTATCAAAAAATTCCAATGAGTCATCATATAAACCAGATGAATAAAGTAAATTCGTGCTTACCCGATTTTCTGTGATGAATTTGGCAATAAAGTATCATTTTGTCGCAAAAACTGACATAAATCCCCCAATTCCAGAAATTCGAGCACCACAGAGAATGGCTCTTCGTCCATGCAAATTCCCAACACTTGCGCAATGTTGGGATCATCAAGAGTAGAGAGCAATCTTACTTCTTCCAAAAAGTCCGATCTGAAATTGATTTAGAATTATAATTGATATCTTAATTTTGTCTGCATAAATCTAACGAATGGTTCAATTATTTAATTTACTTGTCCTTTTCGCTTGCATTTCGTAGCAAATGCTTAACTGCAACCAAAGATTTATCACCCATCCCATTAGCCTCTAACTCTCCGACAAAAACCTGCGAAATTAATATGAACAAATTATCACCCAATAAAAGAGTATAGCAATGAAACGTTTTGAATTTGCAAAATAAAAATTACCGTTCCATAAGCACCGTCTCCAAGCTTTCTCAGCATACGGAGACGATGCTTAGCAATTTCAGGAATTCCAATCTCTCTAAATTTGACCTGAAGCAATTTGAGCCTGTTAATGGCTGCCGGTGAATTTGGAATGGATCGAAGGGGACTTATCAACTTTCCCAGCTCATTTGGAACAGCATACTCAGAATCTAAATATTAAAAAAACGTTCAAACGATTACTTTCCAGCATCAATAGCATCAAATATATCGTATGTAAGACTTTGGACTAAATAAAATGATCATGCACTTGTAGAATTAGAGTACACGAAGCTTGAAGGCATTCTTTCCACAACCAAAATGGTTCAGCTAAACTGTAAACTGTAAACTTGTCGAGGTTAAAATATGCAAAATATTCGTACAACTAAAGTGATCTGGACCAGACTGGATCGATTTATTTCCATTCAAATAGGTTTCACCCCTGTTTCCAGTTAAACTAACAGAAACAGTTTGATGGGATGCATGTGAATGTGAAAGCAGGTGGATCAGATTCAGATCTTCGAGAAAGGCAAAAAGAATAAAAAAATACGTCTACGGCAGTGACTCGAACGCCAAAGATTACGCTACCAGAACTCTTTATATTCCAACTCGTATCATAATAAACAGTTGCACAATAACGTTTCCTTCTTTCTTTTACTGCTCTTGTACACTTCAAGACTTTTACTAGCGAACAATCATCATCATGTTCCTAGAACACTAAACTACCATACATGCCTTTAAAATTCCCAATTCTTAGATGGTTTTACGATGAGTTGCGAATTGTGCGTATATTTATTTAAATTATATTTTTGTTAATCTGACATCTGGTAAATAAATAATTTTTCAGAAGTATCGTAATAATTGTCAATTAAAAATTGTCAAGCAGAATTACAAAGAAAAAATCCAATATGAAATCCACTGCGCCAGTAATAAACCTTACAAGCGGACTAATTACTGAGAACCTTTTAATAGAAACGGGTCACAAAAAATCAAATCTTTTTTGTACTATTCACGAAATAGATCGATCCATCAAATTAACAACAGATTGTTCGTGACGCGATAAAAACGGGTTCATTAGGATTTACACAAAGCCTCTTCGTCATAATTATTCTAATATTTCCTTTCACGAAGTTTATGGGGTCAACGCTTCTGTATCTGAATCATACGAACCCAACCTGCCCATGAAACTTTTCGCTTTCTTAGATTAGATTCCACCAACATACATAGACCATTAGCCAAAGCATGCAAACATACGCATGCATGTATGTACACATACATGTATGCGTATGTATATGCGTATATATGCGTATGTATATGTATGCGTACGCCTCTCTCGGACACACGCGTCCTAGTTTCAATTTTCCCAAAGTAATTACCCTTTAATGAGGTACAAGATGCAAATTAAAGTTTTACAAGGATGTTAAGGAAATAGGAATTTCCCAGCTGGACTGAAATTCAATTACACTCATGCACATTTCTCCAAAGGATTTACCCCACATTTCCTCAAATAACTTGAGTTTTCCTTCGTTCGCGTTTCTCCTCGTGGTTGCGTGATCTCAACAAAATGTGGAAAACTTGGGAGAGTGAAAGTTGTACAGAATTGTAGCAAGAAGCAAATTTCCATTACAACTTCTCCCACACGGCAAATCTAAGGTTTTTGAATCAAGTTTTTTTTTCCATGATCTGGAAAATACTTTGTTCATTAGTTCATATATACGTACATACTTACGTAAGTATGTACATGTTAGAGCTTGGTGGTTGATTGTAGTGGCGAATATATTGAGTAAACTGTTGGATGTCCGAATTAGTTGCTCGATTTGCACTTTCCATTTCTACATCATACCCAAATGCCTCCTCGTCTCGTGGTCTACTTTCGCTCGTTCTGCCCTGAAATTAGCAATCCCGCAAACCACGCTACACTATGTACATAAATTGGTGATTACGTGAATGCACACACGCTCCCCCACCACCAGCAAAGTTTCTCTTTCACCATTTCACCTTCTTGGGGAGAAAATGAGGCAATTTGCGCCCTTCCCATCTCACCTGTGAACTCTCTCAGGAATAATTCATTTACTTTCAGCAACAGCCACATACATTTATGTATCGATCCTTGGTGTATTCATTCTCACGACTCTATGAAAAAACTACGAGATGGTTCCTAATGAAGACGCGATCGTGTAGGAGGGAGAAGGAGAAAGCAATAAAATTCACTTTAATAAGATTCGAAACAATATGAGATTCGTTCTTCGAATGTATTGACATTTACCCAGCTAGAACACGGCAAATGTCAACGCAACTAGTACGACATTGTGACAGACAGACATAATATATGTGTATATTGTGTACGTACATTCTGTGCCTATTTCTCTCAAACGAGGTTGTGGTGGTTTTATTGTTATGTTGCCAGAGCAGATATCGCCCCTTTATTATTGGTGCAAATGCGAGAGACAATGAACGATTCGACAATAGCGAGCATTAAGAGGAAAATAGCAGAACGCACTTCTTGGAGGAGAAAGTTGGGCAATAAATACAACTCGAGCTCAAGGGTGAAATTCACATTTCGAGGAACAATCGACGTGTGTCCAAGATGTCTGGAGGCATAATAAAAGAATACGTTATTACTTGAAGGGGGACGAAGGAAGGAGAAGGTAACGAGCTAGAACGGTCTTTGTCCCAAAATACAATTACTGACTAGAAATCCAAGACACCGCAGAATAGAAATAAAGTGGTGGAAGAAGAATCATGCAAAGACAACTGGCTGGAATTTTGGAGGGATGTCGTGGTCACTATTGAATTGAAGCGGATAAGAATAATATCCGTTGGATGGTGAGAGCATGATCAGAACCCATTGTTTGAACCCGAACTCGGGATTGCCAGTCTAACGTCATTCGCATTTATTTATTTAGTCAGCATTTTGTGTAAAGTGCATTTTGTGCAAATGAGGACAAACAAATTAATCTATGAAATGAAACTGTCATGCGTATATGTCATGCTTAGATGTAAATTATAAAGATGAACTTTCAACGTCTCGTCTCGTGGTCTGGTATTTTGCGCCCGCCGTCACGTGATAAAAACGTTCACTGATTATTTCAAACCGGATTAATCCAACAATGACAAAAATTATAAAATCTGGTGGTATGATAATCACTAAATGATCACTCCGTCATCATGTGGTATTTACACATATTGTGTGTGTGCAAATATGCATGTATGTATATAGTATTGCACAGGAATTCTCCTATCACGAGATCACCATTGTGTATGCACACATCGGTGACTATCTGTTATATAACCAATACATCGCTAGGCTATAAATAGCATCGTGTAACTACTAAATGATAAGTTATCGCAAAAAATTTCGAAATCGTCCAAACCTCAATGCACATACTAATGTAATGAATGATTAAATACCGCATCATGTTAAAATTTGCTTATAAATTGTAACAAAAACTCCGATATGACAGTTACAGAGAACAACTCATCTCATCAAGTATTCTACAACCAAGGAGTAGAAAACTTGTAACCTTGCAGGCTTCAGAATGAAGATAATTACCGTAACTATTTTAGTTAGTCTGCTCGGAATTGCTACTGCTGGGCCAATTCCCCTTGCGGACGACTATGTCGCAGGATTCGTCTTGTATAAGGTAGAAGATGGAAAAATTGAGTACGTGTTGCTGCAAAAGTCAAGCGAATTGGATGACTGGTCACCTCCGAAGGGTAATCCATTTTTTAGCTTGTTGAATCTAAGATCAAGCTTATTATGATTATGAATAAATAGGGAAGATCGACCTTGGCGAAGACGCCCGAATGGGAGCTATCCGGGAAACTTTTGAGGAAACGTCATACACAGAAGCAGATTATACGCCCCTATTTTTAAAACAAATTTACTTTGAGGTAATTAATAATTAACATAATTGACCTTGTTTACAATTACTAATTATTCATTTTCTAACTGTCCAGTACGATACGTCTGCCGGGGTAACGAAGAAAGTGACCCTGTTCCCTGCAAAGCTAACTAATTTGCAGAAACCAGTGGTACTGGACCCCAATGAGCACGCTGCCTTTGAATGGGTTGGAGCTGCTGCGGCCGAGTACCTAATCAAGCCGCAGTACAAAGCTGCCTTTTTAGAAGCTGATATTTATGTCAGAGCACAAGAAAGTCGTGCAGAGTCCCAATACTAAACTTAGATCTTCAAATACTTGCAATACCTTCATCCATGGATAAATACCATAATCTGAATTAGAGCAGCATACTTATGCGTAAAAGTCTTCCTGGTAAAATAAATACACGCAGCATGAAAAATATCGAAACGCATAAACTTTCACCCTTTCTGCTCCCTACAACCTAAAACAGAGTTTTTTTTATTGCTCGATACATTCAGCTATCACTGTTCAGTTCACTATGAACCAAATTTTCCAAAGTAGTGGGGGTCCCGACTTTGCATAGAATTTATTTCCTATACCAGTTTCTTCCGTCGCGTGAGACGGGTGGGGAAGATATTCGTAGGGTCAAAGGAATGAGCAAACAGGAAAGTGCATTACAAAACAAACAAAACTTATTGTCTCTGTCTCCCTCGCTCACTCAAAATCCGACACACCGTAGAAAGCGGATAACGTATAATGCCCAGTCGTAAATACTTTCCAAACCACCTACACCCACACCAAATAAAGTACTAATATGCGTATACTATAACTGCATCATTACTTTCCTGCACCCCACCGAGTAGAAATAATTAAGGTGGTTGTGTACATGTGGCCTTACAAGTTTCTTAGTCTTATCCCTCCTTGCGATAAGAAAGCTACGCTGTGCATTAAAGTTCACGTAGAAATTGAGAGAAATCAACTCCAGCAAATCAAGATCAAGACAATGTGCACCTGGTTCTGGTGAAACACATAAAACCGCAACAGCAGCAGCAGTAGAAGCAAAGTAATTTACTATGAATCTGCCCTTCATCAGCGGAGCACATTCAATAAATCTGCATCTAATGCTGGATCAAATTACTCAACTCGATTAAATGTCTCAGCTTTTCCGGTTTATTTCTTATGTAATGCAACTCCTGCAGCGCACTGCACGCTTTTCCATAAGCATGCATGCCATAAAATGCAACAATCTCCGTTTGCAGTTGATATGCATCTTTTTATGTAAACTGAAACTTTCCCTGTCAACTGTACATTTTGAGTGATTCCGGACAAGTTCAAGCCACGACGACGACGACAGAAGAAGAAGAAGAAATGCAACCGCGACGTTGAGCCCCTTTTGTTACTTTCACATTCATAGCAAGTAATTTTCGTCAGAATAAAGAAGAAATGAATGCCCGAGAGAGAAAGTATGTCTATTTGAGCGCAGATTGCGTGCAAGGTGTTCAGTGCGTGAGGAAATCCATTAAAGGAATTATTGTCGTCTTTTCTCTCTCTCCAGCTTTCTCCTTCTCCCCTCCGCCATCCTCGCCCCCTTCACATTATTTATCATTACGGAATTCTACATTGGAATGACGTCTGATGTGTCCATCCGCTCGAGGCATACCGAATTCTTGATAGACTGGCAAAACACCACGAAATTAGAAACTTGTCACATTCGACTTGGGGTGGTAGGTGGGTAATGGCGAGACAGAGTGGTGGTAGCACGAGTGAAGTGAAAAACGATAACCCTGGAGCTGAAACCTTACATGCTTGGAGTATGAAAACCCATGAGTATGTGCATTTTATGTTTGGTTACATGCCTTTCATTTTTCTGGTTAAACTTTACATCGCTCCTTGAGTGAAATGTTGACAAATAAAATATCAGCAAAACGTGTTTGTTACCCAATAAATACGAAAACATTTAAACTTGACGTTCAACTGTAAAATAAATGTCGAGCTTTCACCGACGTTTTGCACTCATTTTTCAAATAGGTGAAATCGCAGCGGAGTAGACTCAACGGGACGAACATGGGAATTTGTGTTAACCATTGCTTTAGCCCTTCAGCATGCGTTGAGTCCTAGTTATTTTGGAAAATAACACGAATATTCAATAACCAGGAAGTCTGGTAAAGCAATTTCAGCACACGTTTCCTCCATTGTACTCATATTCACTTACATACATTCACTTTCACTCCATTTTCCGTAATGCTTGAATGGCTGACAATGGCTCAAGAATTCGAGACGAGAAACTCACCGGGGGAAAAATATTGGTCGTATCTTGGCGAGTTTTTGAGAATGGCGAGTGAGTGAATGAATGTACTGCTCTTTTATTGAGCCACTAAACTTGTCTTATTGCATCTTTTTTTCCTTGGACTTTTCCGTACATAGCACAATTCATCGATCAAGGGAAAATCCACACAAACTGAAACCTTATCCAGGACCAAAACTGTTTTCGTCATGATTCGCGAAACTACATTCTGTTGGAGGCTACAGAGGAGACTGTTACTTTTTATTAGCCCATGTTCCCCTAAAAGATCAAATCTCTTCCTGTGACATGAATGTTTTAAAATCTGCCAGTCGTTCACGGGAGAGGCCATCTCAAAACCCGGACAAACTCGCTGTCTGCCCGTGTGCTACAGACCTGTTCAGGTGGATAATGTTCCCAACGTGGTCAATGAATATTTCAACGGCTACTCTGCTCACAAAGCAGCAAAGTTAGATTGTCAGCCTGTAGATGCATACAAGCTGAATTGAAACATTAAAATATTCATGGTTAGCCTCCTACTTTCTTACAGTCGAGAACATTACACGTTAAGTGGTTGTTGAGCTAAGCCTTGGTTGAACTAATGGCACGATTCTCTCAAGTCGAAAGCATGCATATGCCAAAGAATGACCCATCTGCATTATTATAACTTTTACTTTTCTTGTAACTCACGATTAATAAAACATCAAAGGAAATTGATCTATACAAAATTAATCACGTGCTCGAAGCCAATGAGTTGACCCAACTCATAAAACAAAACACTGACAGAAATAGAATCTAGATGCAAAATTCGTACATATTCTTTTAGTGATAAGAATGAAAGGACCGAGCCAACTAACCTGAATTATTTTGTGTCACTTGCTGCGAAATGAGGGTGCAGCTGTAATATTCGGCCATCCTGCTGGGATGACCACCGCAATGATCCGTTTGAAAGGAGTGGTGATTAGAGCTTGGAAATGTGATCAAAGGTGGAAGTGGTGGGCAGGTGGTAAAGGGTTCCGTGTACTCGCCCGTTGTAATTTTGCACTTGCGAATCTCAACGTCCGGAGAAGCATATCCGTAGTCAGTTTGGTTGTCGAAGGGGAGCGTGCCCTCTTGAGATTCCGTGGGTGACTTGCGTCGACCACCAGCGACAAATTTGTGCCGTGTTACCATTGCAATGAAAAGAAGCAGCAGTACCATAACAATTGCAATAAATGAGCTTATCACTGCAGTGATTATGATGGTTCCATTGTTCCACTTGCTGTTGTTCAGCATTGTCGTGTGTCCAATTACATCTGTTAAAGGGGAAAAAAGAGCATCATAAAAAATGTTTACCCGTAAAAAAAAGGGCACGAAATAAAGAAGCTATTGTTCGCATTGTTTTTAGAGATAGCTGTTGGAACTGGAATAAACTCCTTCTGCACATGAAGAAAAAGACGTCTTTGAACAATTAGTGGAAAACTCACAACGTTGTGTGTGTTGCACCACAGATAAATTGAATGAAAGACCAAGTCTTTTTCTCTCTTAACTCAATAAATTCACCAAGGAGAGAAACCGTATGAAAAATATCCAGGTACGTATTATACATTTGGTGAACCCGACGCCTTATGGATGTGCTCGCTCCTACGGGTGATATCCTTTGACATATTTGGCTAATGACAAGAAAGGAAATGAGACTTTCTATTTCTGTCATTTTATGATGACTTGACTTTCCGAATCATCTTCTTTTCCTTCTTATAAGGATTCTTCTTGTTCTCGAGCAAAAGTCATCAGTGAGATTACTTACTTGGCGTGTGCTCCACAAGTCTATTTCCCGGAAGAGCTTCGGATGCGTCGCTTTGGGCAAATAGAACATCTTCTCCGGATGATGATGAAGAAGAAGCTCCTTCGCCACCATTGTAACCATTGGCTTTCGCATGAGTGGAAATTGAACCTCCTTCCTTGGTGGGATCCTTGTGTTCTGGCGAAATTGCATCCGATATTTTATCCACTGCTGGGCCTATGGGCAAACAACACTAACATTAACAAAATTCAATTCCAAGAATGCTCAATGGATCACACTTTTGACGACGAGTTTGTTTTCAATTCTTGAGTGCAACATTAAAGTGTGACTTACTCGAGTCAAAGGTGATTTCGCTAACCAGGATCCATTTCGCAGCCCAGTACAATTGAACCCTGAAATAGTTTTTCGTATATACTTTCTCCAGTTACTTCCACACACGTGGAGTTATATATGATGCACATTATGCGCATACTAGTACAACTTACTTGACATATTGGGCAATATGGCGATGCAAGTTTATTGTAATGTTTTTGGGCTCTTCGAAAATACAATCTTCCAACGGTTGATACACGATTGGGTCCCCAGAGTAAGTTTTCCCGTTTCCGAAGTATATCCTCACTTCGGAAAATACCTTTTACAGTGCAACAAAATATAATGGATTAGAATATGGCACACAAACCTATCTCAGGATGTGATTAGTACCAAAAACTGTTCATGAATCATGCAAAATTCCAAATTCAGAAATGCTTACGTATTAAGTAACTTAATAATTATTGTCATTCATTTATTTATTTGAATTCTCTATGCTAAACTGAGTGCATGACATCATGGTTCAAGTTCAAAACATCATACAAGTAAATATACACTTGCCTGGATATCCTTTGTAAACTGATTTGAACTGTGGATATGCATGTAACTGAATTGTTGTGGTGCATCGAATTTGAAAACAATTTGGACAGGGCTTGTCCCATTTTTTGATGTGTCATTCTTCCAGCCAATCCAGCCCCGCCCTAGAATGAAATCGACAAATTGAGACCGTTTCAAATCGAAGTTAGTTTCAAAAATCATAGCACGACAACTTTGTCATGTTATCAACACATTGCTAGATAGATTTTCCACACGTAAAATAATGGTACCCACCTCGTTCATTATTGGCATAAAAGTCATCCTTAAAGTTAGTTGGTCCACCGCGGCCATCGGTCAACAAACCAAGTCCGTTACGCAAGTAATTTCCATCCCAAAGTCCATCATACGTGTTGTCGTAAAAACTCCAATTTTCTCCTCTTCTATGCCCTTGGATTGTCGAATAACTGAGCAGACCTCCTGTAATGACGATAAACCCAACACATTGAAAATCAATTAACAAAACTGCACCTTCGTAAATATATATATTTTATTGACGCTTGATTAATGCAGTTTAACGACTAGCTCTTTGACGTATCTCGCGGTCTGTAATTTCTAATTTCTGTCCGTAAAAATTGCATAGCTACAACTACACGGTCCTCTTGTACATATGTAGGAAAGCATTGTAATAGTAGAATTGGACAACGGGACAAAAAATTGAGCCAAGTGCATCATAATATCAGTTTATTATTTCCATATAATTTAACGACTGCATTAAAGATAAATGCGATTTAGCACACCTTCGTCGCTGGCAGGACCTATAAGTCTCTCGCACATAGCGGCCCCACGGCGGCTTGTATCGCATTGTGCGAGGCGTTGTGCCGGGTGTGTGGGTGGGATGAGGGTGAAAGTAGAATAAAGTATTTTGCCCCAGCCAAGTAATAAAAATGTCCTTGTACTCGGAGGTGAGGGTTGGGGTTGCCCCAAACGCCAAACGCCCTTATGTTCAACAAATTTTAATAGATTTTTGGACAATAATGTAGGATTTTTTATTTTCTTCATTCATTAATGCAAATATATTATGGTTCAGTTGCTGGACGCATGCGGACTTTGGAATCCGCATTATCAATACTCGCACCCCAAGCCACACCTACTCAAGGGTCAGTTGCTGACCCTTAAACCGACTTGTAGATATATATCTCGTCATTCGATTTTCCTTAGGATTTCTAATCAGAGAACGAAGTTCGCGGCGACTGTACTCAAAAAGTTGAGACAACCAATAACAATAGTTCAAAAAGTCTTGTTTACAAAAAAAGACAAGTCGAAACACGATTCTAAAACTTTGTTAATTGGACCGGTCCAAACTGTTAAAATGGAATTAAATCAATCACTTCTTCTCAAACCTTCAGTACGTGCACATCTCTCTCACAATATTTTCTAAAAGTTTGAATAGTTTTAGAAAAAAACAAACCCCTGGCTTTTTTAAGTCCACATCCCCATCACATCATGCCCCCTAAAAAGATCCCAAAGGTCAGTGTGGGACCTCTCGACGTTTTAGTGGGAAGGATGAATGCAAACCCTCTAAGGACACTGAATAATAACAGGTGAGTACACGTTTTGTATTTGTAAATATTTGACCGGTCAAAATAGTTAATTATATTTTAATTATATTTATATTTTTTCAGGAATCATGCAGGAGAAGAGGTCGCTTCATCTGGTAGGGGACAAGAAAATGAGGTTGTTATTGATATGTAAGTAAACAATTTGCATCAAAATTATTACTTGACCGGTCAAGATTGTGTAAATTATATGATTTGCAACTTGTATAACTCTGTAGAAGTGATAATGAAGATGAGCTTGGGTCCCTTGACGAATTGAACAGGTCCAGTACCCAGCCAGGACCTTCGACACCTCAGCCTCATTATCGACACGGCGATGTAAGTACATATAACTTATTAATTAATTTTCGTTATGTTATTATATTAATTGAATCGTTTCAATGTTTTTATGTTGTAGTTGTCGAAAAATAACCATGAGCAGCTAGCTCGAGAAGAGTTACTTGACTGGTTGGAAGGGGTCGCGAAAATGAAACCAAGACCGGTTCGGAACGATACTATGAGGGAGGATCTGGAACGAAAAGCTAACTGGGGACAGCAACGTTATGACGGCAAGTTGGAGGTCCTTTTTGCCACATCTATTCCTAGTAAATGCCGTTATTCTTTACAGTTTTTGGACCGGTCCAAATTTTATATTAATCATAATCATATTTTATTTATATTCTAGAGTCGCCTGTGAAGGGATATTACATTACCAGATCAAATGGTAAAAGAAACGGGTTGTCCTCTTATTATGGTAGCCAGATGAGAGGAGGGATCTCCCAAGCAAAATCAGATAGAAACGAAGCTTACTTGGATCCATCCCATCCCTTGCATGAAAACATTAAAATGAGCATGACACAGTCCACTCATAATCGTCCACCAATGGACCTCATTTATGTCGCTACTCTCTTCCCTCCAGAAGAAATTAAACCTAATCTAATGGAGACTCATTTGGGATTGGAACCGGTCCAAAGTGAGGAAGGATCGAACCATGGGTTAGTGGAAGAATATGGTGGGAGTTGTTGTGGTGATAAGGGACAATTTTCTATTCGGGTGACCCATTTAACAAGGACTGTCAACCCTTCCGAAATTTACATCCGTACAATTGGACGACTTGTTGACCCGATGGCCTGCATGGAGAAAAAAATCATCCTATGTGACTCGACAAGCACGAAGGAAATGGGGGAGGGGTTTATGATGGTAAGTACTTTGCATTTCTTATTTCTTTATGTGTTTGGACCGGTCCAACAAATAATCTGTTGTATTTCGAATTTTAGATTTACATGCAAAGATACAATCGGATCCACAATTGCAACCGTTACATTATCACCGTGACTGCAACTCCTCCACCGGACATTATTCGTAAGGCACAGAAGTACGCAGATGATGGTGTTCCATTGTTTAACATTATCCAAGATGGAGACCAGGCCCACCCTCCTCCTTGGGCCACACTTGATGAGGTGACTACACTTCCATGGACAGTATCACAAAAGGATCTCATCGTTCGATATGATCCCCGTCACCCCGATGTGAAGCGTCACTACAAGAACTTCCAGAATTTGAAACAATTGATTGACGAGTTTGGTGAGCCACCAACTACTTATTATGTTACCGGGGATGGATCACGGGATGATCTTAAACGACAATTCGATGCAATTATTGCTTCTAGAGATAATAATTAATTACTTTTTTTTGTAATATTTGGACCGGTCCAACTGCTAAGGTTTATTGTTTTGTTCTACCCTATTTTGTTTGACTGCACCCCAAGCCAGGCCGTAAAATAAAGTACACTTAAGCTGAAATCAATAAGACCATTACCTCGGGCTGAATACAAAATACCCGGCTACCTTCCCCGCCGCATAAATAACTCAACATAGCTCCCAACAAACAACAAAATGGAACAAACTTTCCCTGACAGTTTTCGGAAAAATTACTCCAGACTAAATTGCAACGCACGCATAAAAGCCACAATTCCATTTCGCTTTGACGTCGTCTCGATGTTTCCCCGTATCACATACTAAATTTTTAATGGACATCCAACGAAGAGTACCTATTTTGATGGAGCGGTGGATGACTTTACCTTAATGAACTAACCAAGTGGAATTTATTTAGATGATTTTCAATTTCCTCTCCGTTGTTGTAATAGATTGTTTAGTTACCAGTTTTGAGCACGTCTAAATACACACATGTACATATGCGAGATGGATGCATGTACATGTTTTTTTACGAATAAGAAATAAGCATTTTCCAAGTGCGGTAAAAATTATTTGTTTTATTGTGTGCACAGGATTAAGTGATGGTCAACAAGGGCAGAAGAGCACGAAATGCCGTAGATGTGCTAATCCGACGTAATGCTGCAGTGGGATAACCAAGATTGAGACATTGAGACAGGAGAAGAACAGTTACTCGCAGCAGTAACTATTCTTCTTCATTTGGAGAAGTTCATGCTGCTCTTCTACGCTAATTTCAGGATGCAAGTGTAACTCCCGAGTTGGCCACACTTACAAAAAAGAGACTCTATATAAGTACGTTCGTATATAAATAGAGACGTTAGTGTATAGCGCATTGTTTGTTTTAGTTTTACAGTGAATCACAGTAAAGCCCACCACCCGGACCCTGGCTTTATCTTAATTTCCACAAGATGAGACAACTCTAATGGGCTAACAGGATTTGCCACTTTCACTTTCTACTTTCCTTCTGAGCGTTAATACTGATTTGACTCTACTTTATTTGTGGCCTTGCTGGAGTACAGTATTTAGTTTCAATTTACAGGTAATAAAGCCAAATTAATTTAAAATTACCAAGATTCCTCACTTCACCGTTAATTCTTACCTTTGAATGGACAACCATAGATTTCAACCCGCATGCATACTGTCCGTCTGTGGTAGGAATACGGTAGAATACGAAGTTTTGAAGCGATAATTGGCGGATTCAGGTCAGTTTTTGATGGAAGATATGTGTTGATATTGCCTTTGATTATCTAAAAAAAGATTTAGCATATTTCAGATAGTTAAAGTACATCTTGATAATAGTATGATTTCATTTTACAAAATTTGTAGAGCGCATCCAAAAAAGAATGCACATACATTATATATGTATTTACTAAGGACCAAGAAACTTTTCAATTTATGTTGAGTAAGTAGCAGTTCTGGTACATATTTATCTATCCGTCTAGAATAGAAGGCGCTTATCCTTACTGAACAGAGATGGATGGTGATGGAATGGTTTGCCTGCCTGACAACGTTGAGCTCTTGTTTATTGCTTCCTAATACAATTTTATTGGAAACACCAAATTCAATACTGAAAAGCTTTGTTACATCAGTATTATTATATGAACGATTTCCACAATTGTGTGGTTACATTAAAATAATAATATTTGCTATAATTGTTCTTTATGCTGTATGTACTGTGCATCTACCTTTATCATTTTAAGTTGCGATGCAGATTACTCTATGTAAGACTTTAATATTGTTATATCGATTTCAAACTTCTTTTACTTTCTCCACTCCATTTCGATCCATCCACTATAGACTGAGCGAGATATGTATGAATTCACCAACCAGACTATGATAAGAAACCAGATCCAAGAAACCTCTAGAGTCGAAGCGAATGGAAATTCTTGCGTAGAATTTACTTTGTAAAGGAAGCAGAAACTTCTCTTGACCCAAGATCTGGATTAGTCGACAACGTTTCGAGGTTTCGTGGAATGCAAAATGAAGCACGGTTGCTTGAAGTAGAGGCGAATTACTGAAAGCACAATCGACCACCTCTCTCCATCTCTGCATGCCCTATGTTTACCGTCTTTCACTGTCGTTATGCAAGACTTGTTAGCATATTGACAAAGACGTGCCTTGTTCTTAGCATTTGTGGTATTTCTGACTATGCAGGTACTGCGTATGTATTAGACGCTCCAAGATTTCATTGTTTCTAACAATAAATACTAGAATTAGGAACCCGTAGCTAACTCGACTTGTCCATATTTCCTGTAGTGTGCACGTGGTTTTACGAGTTTGTATTCTCAAGATTCAATCAATCCTCTAGTTGTAAGTAGGCCGCGGGTTGTCTGCAGTTTGATTTGGGATGGGATTACGTTTTTGGCATTTCGGGAGATTCTCTGGACGTCTGGACTCTTGGGAATGGCTGTAAAAGAGAAGGAGAGAAATGTGAAACGCAAGAAAGGCTCACCTCATTTCCCGTGATATCCCGGTATCGGACCCATTTATTTAATTCAGGTCTCCAGTACGAAAGCAAGTAAGCTTCCGCAAATTCTACACCTTGACCATTTCCAAATCTCCCCTGCGTCTCGGTGGCAGTTATTACGTGCACGGTATGGAGGTCAATCTGTAAATCACCATTACCAAATTATTTATACATATACCAAACTTTTCTCGCGTAAATAACTGTAAGTTGATTTTAGTAAAAACAAAATTGAATAAGTAAATCTAAAATTTTAAATAATCTGACAATTCTATTACAGTTCAAAATGTGCGTTCCAATAGTAAGATAATAGTAAAGAGAGAGTAAAAAAAGTCGGGGCTGTTTAAATTCTTTATTTCATTGCGACCCCGTCATCGTCATCACCGATATCATCTCACCATTAATTCAGAGATATCATTCACTCGTTCAATCATTCCTCTTTCACCCTTCGTCTCTAGATTGCATCTTGAACAAGTCTCTCTTTACGACTCTCACACTATTTCAGATCGGGCCTCTTGAATTTCGTGCATGTAGATATTTCTCCGGATCTTTGGTTAAGATGCAATACGGTGATGCGTCCTCAACGACCGAGGTGAACGAAAGATTTTATCAGTGATACTGCGAGGAAAGGCTGAGAAAAAGAATGGGCGACAGATCGAAGAAGAATCCGATCGTTTCTTTTGATAAGCTGGAAAATTCCTCTCTCAAATGACAAATTAATGGAGCTCTTTGTCCGCAAAATTTCAAAAAAACACACTCGTGCTGTTTATTGATTCTATTCGGTCACATTCATTATTGGAAAATATTGAATAATAAAAAGTAATTTTTTACTTGCATTATGCTATTAATGAAATACTTCAAAACTTTAATGCTTTAATTTTACTTTGCATATGCATGTATTAAATGCCTGCGTTGATAAATACGTATTCACATGGACTGCAGACAAAACTCTACCTGAGTAAAATCACATCTCTCTTTTTGGTCAATGAAACCCTACCCTGACGAAATGACAGTTAAGAAACTCCATAGCAGACACAACTCTTTAATGGTTCTCATCACCTAGCAAATGTGCGTTCCTTCACTCCAAAGTCATGCTAGTCAATGAAGATTAAAATAAAAGTGTCATTAGCTTCTTACCTGCAGCCATTCTACAGCATCTGTATCTGATGTCACTTGATTTTTTGGACACCACGCACCTCCAGCAATCTCTTGTCTAGCCCTGTAACAAAAATGAACCCAATGATAATTTCAGTCTTAAAACAATGTACATACACACACATCAAGAAGTGTGTCTCTGCTCTCTCTTAAATTTACAACAACAACGACACCCTTTTTCAGTTCCTTCCAATTGCTTGCTCAACTCCCTAAATTTTACAAAAAAGAAGACGCTGCTTCAGAAGGAGGATTACTTGCGATAACCAAGTCTTCTTATTGTGGTGACACTGGTGGGGGATGGAAACTGCTGAACTGTCATTTGTCTCAGCGTAACACCTATCTCACCAAAGGAGGAGGAAGCATGTCACAACAGCAAACATTTGGATGTTGTTGGAAGAGGAATCCCACTTTTATTTTATTTCATGTACTCATCCGGGTTGAGGCAGGAGAAAAGACAAGATTGATGGATTCTAAAGGGACACAGATGTGTTTTCCATTCGGCGAGTGTTCACACACACAGAGACTCGTACACCAGTGTGTCGTATAGTGCGAAAGCTACCGTTTCCTACTGCTGCGACTGAGGAGAGGAGAGAGATACGGATTGTGGGATCAATATCACTTTCACCGTCGCTGCCCCAACATTAATTTATCACTTCCTCTCTCCATCTCAAAACATAGTTACTGCTCGCGAGTCGTCACTAAACTAACCCGTCCCCAATTGTTGAGCGAACGGCTCGCACTTTTTTCTCTGCAAACAGACTTTGATCGCTCCCCACAGATTTATTTCCACTGATTGGAATTTGGACTATGCAGCGGAAGCCTCTAACCGATTCGTTATTGTCTCAGAGTGCATACAAATGAGGGCAATGCGATTTGGGATAAATCTATTTCATAAATTAACTTGGACTTATTCAAACATTGTCAATTTACTGAAATTAAGTGGAGAAAATAGTTGTCGTGTGTAAGAGATAAAAAATGCGAGTTGACTGCAAAATTCGGAGATGCAACTACTTAATAACATGCCGATACGTTGTATGAAGTAGTCTTCCTCAGTTGTCACATTTTTTTAAGTTCAACCCATGCGGGCTGAATTTTATACCAAATTCTGGTTGTCTATTTTTTTGCGGGTAGGCGTAGATTTAGTTCACCGAATTTCGGAGCTGATAAAGAATAACGACACGAGACATGAGAATAAGTTCAACCCAGCGTAGATTAAGTGCATGTCTCGTATAGCACATTGTCCATGTTATCCTTCCGCTAATAAATACTGCTTTAGCCGTTGCGGTAGTTGTAATGAGAGAGACTTTTCATTCTTTCCCGACACACAATACATAGTCAAACACACCAAATGCATTTTTACTCTTATTGTGCGTCGCATCCATACTTAAATCTTGCCGTAAATTTTCAAGACAAGTTTATATTGCGTGCACACTACTTTTCTTTCCAACGCATTCACAACTGTATACAATAACATTTCAACTCCAGTCTTTCATTACCAGCGAAGCATGGCAGAGCGAAAAGAATTTTTGAAATGAAATTGTTTGTAAATGGATAAATAAACCGGGGAAAGTTTTCCGAAACGGAATTCCAAAGTGCTGGATAATGAGGTGTTGGAATTACACTACAACTTTGCTGTGATTTAAAAGACCCAACAATACGTAGTGGTAGGAGAAGAGCAATAGAAGTTAAGAGACACCAAAAATCAATAGTCAAGAGCATTTTGAAGCACGTAGTACACAAATTATCGCAAGTTTCAGCATTTCCAGGTCACATATAATAAAATGATGATATTCAACCGCAGATGTACTGCAGTGACCAACAGCATTATTTTCCTTCCCAACAAAGGAAACTCATTTTAAATTCACTTTGTGTTTGCACAGGGCGTGTTTAATAATTCATTAATTTCACTCTCTCGTTTCGTCTCGTCTATATTATAATTTGAACCTTGTGCAGCAACATGGTCGTTTTTGAACAATGAGCTTTTTTTATCTGTATGTCTTGATGCAGTGCAGAGGGAGAGAGATGGGTTGTGGTGGATAGATCTTCTTTTTTGAATGGGTAATTTGAATGCATTTTAAACTTGGCCCTTTGCCGAGAATTGTAATTTCATAACAAGTTTGAATCCTTCTTCCTGACATGTCCAGCAACAATGGGTGAGTAGCACTGGACAGGTTTGAGCCTCGTTATTTCAGACCAAGCAGACCACCCCGTGACAGGACACAAGATCCTCAAGGAGGGTCCTTATTTAATTTATTTTTAATGGACACTTTTAATTCAACTCTTTTATTGAATTTCTTTTAAAGATCGGTTACGCAGTAATTTTAAATTCCTTTATTCAATGAAACAAACGTGTTTTCGAGTAAAGTGTAAAAATGCGTCTTCAGTGTGACTGAGGACGCATTTGACGCTCCAGAGTGCATTCGTCGACCGTTTATTTCTCCCCTACACCCGATTTGCATACTTCATTGGTTTTCGTTTTTGTCTTTCTTGCGACGACGACGATGCGATGCAAAAGCGGTGGAGAAATTGTCTCTTTTTCAACAACAAGGCAAATCCTCCAGGATTCTAATTGCTCATTTTTATTCATAAATTCATCAGTTAGCGTTACTTCCTGTTCCGTCTTTTGGGAATCAGCCAGGCACACGCACTGCACTGTCAAGAAAGTACAGAACCAGCATTTTAAATTCAAAAGTAGGAAAAACTATTCAGCTTTGATGAACAATTCACACCATTTTCATATTACGTTTTGTTAAGTAAACTTTAGTCAGCACCTCACGTAGAGGATGCATAAGTTGAATAATAGAGATGTATAAATATGTATGCATGTACACCTCACCAGGCACTGTTGCTATTATCAGTTTGAAACATTCTTCTCATCCATATACAGAGCTGGCTAATCGTATTATTACTCAGTTAGCTTGCCTATTAAATTGATCATCTACATAAAATTTAATTTCCTTCCCTTCTTCGTCCTCTCAGCTTCTCTGGAGAATCTTGAATAATTCTTAATTCCACTGACTGCTTCCTTCTTCTTCTTCTAAAGAAACGCGTATGCACATGAACCCGTTAGAGCTCCATAGATGAGCATCAGCTCGAGCTGAGCAGTGTTTGCGGAATACAAATAAGTTGCTCATTTGTGGGAGGATTAGGCCAAGGAAAGTAGACTTAAAACGGCGGAATTTGCTCCTTGGAATGCTCCCCTCCTTTCTTTCTTATGAGATAATAAGTATTCTAATTGAAAATTATCGCCACCAGCTTGATTCGACCGACGCATAAAGGATCCTTGGAATGGTATCTCTTCTTCTTCTTGGCCTAATAGTTGGATGGTAGTAATGGCTCACAAAGTGATGCTTTCCAGATAACTTTGTTGCTCATGTTCACCATTACTTTTCAAGTTACGCAATAAACTGACGTTTGACCTCCTCCATACCGAGAACTGCGTCCCATTGTCCATGCTGACCGTGATTGTTAAATCTCCGCTTTATGATTTTAGTCTGGGTATCTGGCGACTCAATAAATTCATGGAACATAACCATGATGTCATATTAGGCAACATAATGCTCGTAATCGGATCAGAAAATGCCTTTCTTAAGCTTGTAATTTATCGTAGAGTTTACTGGATTTGGTTATGATAAAATGGATAAATTAATAGGAATATTTTCCACAAAATGGTTTATAGAAACCAAGAAAATTTTGGTTTGGGTTTAAATTAAAAAAAACTCCACCTTTACTTTAAAAAATTTAGAATTGCAATTTCTTAGCAAAACTGTCAAACTGCGACGCGTTTGAGCTCTTAATTTAATATTCTCAATTGTCAGACTAGTATAAACATTCTCTCTAAAAGTTAAATACTTTAAAACAGGAAACCACTTAAGGAATGCATTGCAAAATACCGAAGTTCTATGCCATATTGCAATTTCGGAGAAAATTAGTTGTCTTCGAGGGTTCACACTTCTTTCACAAGAATCATTTTCATACCCGATTAATTAATAAGTTACCAAGTTCGAACAATACCAAGTAATTAATCAATGTTCCTCGTTAGTTATGCATCGTACGTAATAAATTGCCCTTAATTAATGCACAATACGCGCCTGACTTGACGTCTGGAAGTACTTCTGTATTTCGTGTTTAAGGCTGTTGCATATTGTTATTGTTCATGTTTTGGCGTGTTTGCTATGTACATATTGCTCTAGGGAGTCAGCCCGGAGTAGAGTCTGTTAATACCAAATGTATGGTCATAAAATTCAGTATGATGTTTAATTTCATTCATCACCTCAATTAACTTGGTCCTCCATTTCGTGAGTCACTGGTTTAAAACTGCAAATGTTGTCGACGTGTGCATATGCCAGTAAATAGGAAAAGTAGAAATCAAGCAATAAGAACACACTAGATAAACAACAAGTTGCTGTGTAAGTGTTGTGCGACATGGCAGCCAGAGAGTGGAAAACATAAATGACGTTTTTGCTCTTTATCCTTGACGGCAATGGTGCCCATTAGTTTTATTTCCTGTTTTTGCCACTTTATGCAGTTAACAGTAGTTTAGAACAAGGAAGTTTTGCTTATCTAATATGAGCTCCTTTGAAACATGTCCATTTCATCAAGCTTCTGTTCCCAAATATATTTGACTCTTGAATTGGAAAACTACTTTGCAATATTTCAAGGAGAAAGTAAAAGTTGAGAATTTATAAAAGTTGAAAAACAGTATACTCGCCTCTTTTCGTTGGATATATGTAAGTAGCAATATTTCTTGTGTCTCATGTTCACCAACTGCATCATGGAGAAGGAAGATAAGCAGGATGAGATTATTCATCTCCCAAAACTTTCAACCATGCAACTACGCAGTACGCAATGTCCACACGAAGAGGAGGAATATGTATGTATTATGATGATAGTTTGCTAAAACTGTAGGGGCCTGGTTGTGAGACGATAATATTTCATTCAAATTTCAAAACGAATCAACCTTCTGCGTACATAGGCTTCACTACTATTTGGAAAAAGATCCCCCTCTCCTCACCATTATTAGTATGCCATGGATGATACTTGGATCTGTCAGAGTGCGACTTTTCTCATATTTCTTGCTTCTATTCTTAAATTCAATTCCAGAGCTCCTCACAATTCTCACATCCAATACGGCCTGAGACAACATTGCGCTACTCGAGTAAACTTATTAATTGTACGATTCTTCATCTCGTAAGCGTCAGTACGCTCAGTGGGAGAGTGGTCACAATTCTAGACGACGTGGGCACCGATAAACTACATAAGGCGAACAATTTATGTGTGCAGCTAAGAAAAGTGGTTGTGTGTATCTATCTATCGTCTATAATTAAGCAGCTCGATATCAGAAGATTATTGGAAAAAATTCCAGAAGAATATCGTGGCACGACAGGAATCAAAATTCTTCGTTGCTGCATCGCCCATTCACGTTCCCCTCCATCGTCTCCTCTTTCACTCCTTCGCCTTTTCCTTCCTTTCCTCTGCTGACCAACCAAGCTTGACGAAGTGCATCCATCACGTGTCTAATTAATCATAATACTAATTGGCATCACGTTGAGATATGAGAATAGAATGCCTACAACAGTTCAGCATGTTGCTCTACAGTCAAACTGAATTGTCGGTCCAAATTGCTTTACAGGAAAAAAAACAAGAAACCTGATCCACGCATTTACAATAATGCACACCAACCAAGGTAATGCAAGACAAAGGTCTACAGGCACGACTCATATATGTAAAGTATAAAAGCCGGCATACATAGATTCTCTTTCCACTAACCGCATGAAATTAACAGCGAGCCACATACTGTTGCCTTAATAGAAAGTACATATTGGCAGGGTGCAATTGTCATTTGTTTCAAGTCGATAACTGAAACACTGTCAAAATGCATGTGTGGTAGGGTTGTTTGGGTTTGAATATGGGGGAGACTGACGCACGAAGCCAAATGCTGCTGCTGCTGGTTTCTTTGAATGTTTCAAATGCGATGGCATAGTCATTGTTACATTTGGCTCGGTTATTATTATGACATGACACTCACTCGCTTCGTTCAACTGTTTCATCTCCAATTGGATAACTGCATTGTCCTTCCCCTTTGTCCTCCGAAGTATAAGTTAATACGTGTTTGAGAGAAATAAAAGACCAACTGCTCAATTCTCTGGGGGTGGTTCAACCATGTCTGTCCACATGGAGAATGAAATATCGACTATTTTTGCATTTAAAAGTCTAATTCTGGAGAGTGAGTGTGTGGCCGGTTTGGTGGGTAATTAAAGAGCTTTTCGTCCACTAATAACCCAAATTACGGCAACAATGGGTATGTTTCAGATGGTGGCGCAACGTCCTTTGTAAACTAAAAAGGGGACCTTTTAACGTTTCTTCCAAGCCACATTGTCCATTAGTTGGGAAAGAAGGAAGGATCGGTCTCTCTATTTTAAGTCACTCTCCACTTTCAAAGATAGACAGAAAAATATATGTATTCCTTGGAGACTTTGAACCAAAAAGGAAAACATGAACATGATACTGAGAATGAAAGAGATATGTACTTATGTACGAGGTATTTAGATCGAGTTTTACTTACTTATTTCTAAATATTCTAAAAGTGCATTTTCCAGATACATTCCAGTCAGACTACGGGATAGATTAACTGTTCATGTATTACGCCTTTATGTATGTACATCTAGTGCGCAAAATATGCAGCATGGGAAAATCAGTTTGCAATTATTATCTAATAATCTGTGATTTAAGTATGTTACCATTTTTTTTAGTAAATACGCTTCATTTGTTTCTTCTGTACATGGATTCGCTCGTTTCTCCGATGCCAAATTCATGTATTCAACATTTCACCAGTGGTGACTGTAATATGCCGACACAAGGATTGGTGAGATCGGATTTCTCCAAACTCCTTTTCAGTCTGGGGGACTTTCTCAATTCCATCACCCGCCTGGCTGGATTTCTCTTCCTCTTCTCCTCTGCAGAGAAATTGACATTGACAGCTACAAATAGGCTTTAAATATTTAGTTGACCGACAACCGGGGATTATATAAAGTGTCAACGGGTTCTGAGCTTTCAACCCCTTCAACTCTCTAATCCGTCTTTTTGTTATGTAAACAGTATGAAACCAAGACACTCTGTACACCAACTTTGTTGTAGCTGGGCTATTTATTTTTGGAATGCTCTTTCTTGTTGTAATTCATCTCAGCCTATGATTTATTTATACAAACGAAAATAAAGAAAGAATCGCTGAGAACACGATGACGCTGTCTCTCTCTCCTCGGAGGGTTTAATTTCTCGAGTCATGTTTTGTATTAAAAGTGGAGATTTATTTCCACCCCGTAAACATTATTAAGCTTAGCAGCAGCAGAACTGATACCAAAAGAGAAGCTTCAAACTTAATTTACAATCCAATTTTCTTTAATTAGTCGGCGGGTTTCAATATTCCAAAGTTATTAAATAATTCCTTTGAAGATAATTAATGAGTTTTACTAGCACGAACTGCTTTCAAATTGTGTAGTGCAGACATATGTATATTCTGGATGTAACAGCATTTATATTCTGCATGTGCGACAAGTGGAAAGACTTTAAAATGGATAAAGTTTTGTAGAAGGAGTTGATATGAGTTATGGGAGGCTGGGAGATTTCTCCAAAATAATTGGCATCCCTGTTATGCTACCCCAATGCGCCTCACACTTTTGGTAAGTCTACGCCTCAGATTTCCCAATTTAATTAAAGAGACTCGGATCATCATTAAATGCGGAGGGAGGGGTGGCTGGTTACGTATACGCTGACTGTAAACCTGAAATCTGTGTAATTTGAACTAGACGATGAGTCGTCGCATTCTCTTCATCTTGTGAAATATCGGGTCCGACCGATCGGTGTCACACTCTAAAGTAAGCAGACAAATGCCGGCAAGTTTCTGAGGAAAATTCAGCGAAATAAAAAGAAAAGTTCCTTCCCTTAAAGAAGCAAGGAATTATGTAAACGGAGAGGCGATAAACGCTATAATACCGGTTTTATGACTTTTATCACTAAAATCCACTTCTCATTTGTGCATAAGCCTGTCCCAATCTGAATATTTTGAATGCTAGTAATGAGGCGAAGAAAAGCTATGTCTCCTACTCGTACATAAGTACGTTCACCACCACTCAGTAATTAATATAATTAACTTAAGTAACTGTATTTTGCTTGTGAACACGACCAGTATTCAAATATCATCGTCCCCTCGAATTCTTTTTACTTTTTCAACCTCAAACACAACCCAACCAGCCAAAATGTGGCCAAAGATTTCGGTAAGTGCAGCTGAAGGGAGATGAGACGAACTGTTCTTCTTCTTCTTCTTCTTGAGATCTTGGAGAGGAAACCCACACCAAAGCAGCAACATGCATGATATCATCTGCACCAAACCCAATTTATGGCCAAACCATTTGTGTGTATTTCTCTTAAGCTGAGACCATTTAAATACTTGCGCGTATAAACTAATAACTCTTATTACCACAGTTTCTTTGGGCATAAACTGTCACGTAAGAGGACAAAATACGAGGGCTGCTTGACTCGTACACACACCCTTGACGATCCTTCGAGCCTTTTTGTACACACATTACAGCAGCCACATATGCACATTGCGCGTAGCTAAGCATTTATATTTCCAAAGGTTGACGACGACAGAAACATGCAAGTTAAAGCTGAAGTTGCGTACATTCCTGCTGTAACCACACTTTTCAGGCCACAAACTGTCAATGTACAGCTTCTTTCCCCCACCGAGTTCATGCCATGTATGCGTTATTGTTACCTCATGAATGGACTGGCTCACATTCAAATTGGGTTTAGCTTCTGACTTTTTGACACATTTTTCTTCTCTTTCGTATATGTGTACATTTTTTTGCCTGACTTATTTTGTTATTTTCATAGATAACTTTACTCTCCCCACGACTGTGGTGACTGTAAGCACACACGACGCAAATATGCATCAACCGTTTGTGGATTGTGTCTTAGGATTAGTTAACGTTAGAAGTACCCTGATCTCATAAATATTTCTGAATGCTCAAAAGTTTATGTTTAGGATTAGTGCTGGATTATGTTACAACACACACACACTACACTCATCCTCAGTCGGATACAAAGTTGGTCTACATTTGGATTTACATATGTGAATAGCTTCTGTATACATCTTATGCAATGTTCCAATTGGTACATAGTGGAAAGGACAAAACTTTGCGATTTCCACAAAACCCTTCTTGCTGAATGTATTTTATTTCGTGACAGTTGGGTCACCCAAATTTCTGAGGATAATGCGACAATACATGGGTGCTAGCTGTTTTGTTATGATGAGATGATGTACATAACGACTCATACCATCCAGATGTTATTGTGGTCATGTAGTTTTTCGATGACTGCTCAGTCTAGTAATAATGAAGAGCACAGAGTTGTCATAAAACCTACTTGACGACTAATCTGAACAAATGGTCATTAATTCTTATAATGGAAATAGCTCTTTGTGTATATTTTAATTAAATTAATGTCTTGTTCACAAGATAATGAATTGGCCGTTGTGCTTTATAAACAAATGCACCTACGACTTATTCATAGCGTTTAATTCCTTACAAGAGTGTTACAGGTCCGTCGCAGAGTTCCAGTCCTTTATAAAAATGCTACCGATCGTAATGCATAAAAGTTATCGATAGATGTGTGCCTGCCATTTAAAACTTGAATCATCACTAAATACTATGTATGTACGTAGTAAAATTAAAATTTACCGTCCAATTGAGGGTCCCACATTTCCGATTTCGAATGAACTGGAGGCGGACAGGTCTTCATCAGGAATATTGCCGCTCTCCATACCCAAAGGTCCGAGACAGTTTGCTGCATAAAAGGGAAAATAATAAATACATAGCTGACACAGATGGCCAACAATGAGATAGGTGCTGACATGTCAGCAGCCATGGGTAGAATATATCACAGAATGATTGGGGGTTGAGGTCGGTTTCCTTCATGCTAAGAGCTAATGACTAACATGAAATAATTAAAACGACACGAAACCGGTGATTGAGGTAGGTTTTAATTTACTTTCCACGTACATGTTCCAGGGCTGACAGGTGGAATAAAATAACAACTACGTGAGACTGGTAATGCTCCATAATTAACTTTAATAATGGCCACGAGGGTTGGGAGCTTGTCCCAGTTTGAAGAATGGATAGGAAAGGTGGTCCAAAGCTCGAGTGCTGTCAGTGTCAGTGGAATTTCTTTCTCATTTCGACCCAGCCCAAATTCCACCTTTCTATTATTTTATCATTCCTATAGTTTTATGTAACGTGAAAAAAACTGATCCGAAAAAGGACACAGTAACTGAGCTGGCTGACTGATGCTGACATTTTAATCTGAAATCAAAACCTACTGGGGTGCACAGAGAAGAGAAGAAAATTTGGTGGATCCGGCCTGTGCGAGAACGTGCCGACGTTAAATAAATATAAATACGGTTTTCTGGCTGAGGCTGATTAAATCAGAGGCAAGTCTCGCAGTGAATTGCGTTGTGATATGTTTTGAATCCCCAAAAATCCCGTGGATGTCAAAATCCGATGACTTACATGTGTCGAGACCACGAATGGAGGAAACAAGGCAGAATAAATGAGCAGCTATCCAAAGCATAGGAGTCATTCTTCCCCAAATTCTTCCTCTCACTTGGCAATTAGTCGCACTTCGAAGGCGACGTTTCCGTGCTTGAGGTTCACCAGACTCTGTTTTCGAGAAGGATTCCATCACATCCTGATCCTCCAAATCTTTTGTTGTTTCTTGCTGAGCCAGGAAGCACACTTTCCCCTCTTCGCACTCCTCAGTCACACTTCTGCTGGGCTCACTTCCACATTACGGGAATCTTCCATTGATCCTGAAACAGACACAAATTGAATATTGTTACTATCTACGTAAATATGGATGAATTGCAATTTGTCTGCCATATGCAGTGATAATTGCTCATGTGCTTGATCGTTCAATTTCCCATGTGCGATAGGATGTAATCAAATGCATATTTAAATTTTTATATAAATATTCTTGAAACTCTCTCGGACTAAATAAATCATACCAAAAAAATTTCGCATACTTTCATTAATAATCTTTTGGGCTTTATTAAAATATGTACGTCGACATAAGAGAATTGTGTATTCGTTGAAACAACAAAGCCACATTCTTCTGCTCTACGTGCACTTTGATTTCCAACATAATTTCGAGGTAGGAGTGGAGCTCTAATTTGAAAACACTTACTAACTAAATATTATACCATTGGTGAAACACGGAGAAAGCAGTGCTACCCTTGCTACAATGTGAAAGGTACATTCAAATTCGTTCGTGTTGCTGCTGGGGTAGTTGGCCCCTGTACGGAGCGGATGAATAATGTAACATTTAATTTCATGGCTGCGGACGAGCAGAACAGAGCAGAGTTCACTTTCATCATAGTTATATTTTACCTTTGTTGGTGGTCGGAGCATTAGAATTACTAACCCCCACGACCAAACTTATCAAAGTAGAAACAAAGGCAATCCTGCTTTAATAAATGAAAGAGAAATGAAGGTGGTGTACTCTTGGGGTGGGTTGCTCTCGGAAAATCTCATTCATAAACCCATTTCAAAATTTAACACTACCAGTGAAATTGCTGATACCTACGTGCATACATATCTGCATAGACGCTGGAGTTTACCTACATAGGTTTTGTTTGTCAAGGAGATTGAGATGGTGAATAATACATACATACTCGTAGCCTAAAATATTCGCAAAAAACCGCAGAGGGAGACATATTTTTGAACATGCAAACTTATTTATTCCCCAGAAACCATCAAATCCAATGTCTGCTCAGCACAAAAAATGACATGTGCTGTACGTGCATACGAAGAATGCGAAATATCCGACCAGATGATACATAAATAAAATTAAGGTTTATGCAACTCTCTGAATCATCAGATTTATAAACCATACATTAGCCGCCCGCTGCTTTAGAGCCCATAATGAGTTTGAGTGGCTAGTTCAACCAGCCACAAATATACAGCGTTCTGAATACAAAAGTTCCTGAAGAAAGCAGAAGCCTCAACGTGAAGGAAAAGTCTGTTGTACTCAACCCAATGAAACAGAGAGCGAGTGGAAGGAGGAAATGCGAAATGGAGAAAATAAGCCAAATCTAAATAACTGAAATGCTGCCGCTGTGAAAGGAAGCTCACAGAAAGAGAAGGATCATTTCGTAATCCGAGTAGAAAAATCAGTACAATCTCGCAGCTTCGAGGAGGATTTTCAGGATTCTTTTCGCTACAGTCGTCGAGCCTTCTTGGATCTTGTGTTATGATAACAAAGTCATTTCGTTCTTGTGTTATCACGTCACGCCTACCATACCAAAATTTTAATGTTCTCTTCCATTTGCAAGGAAATAAAAAATGCTGACTATTCGTTTAGAAATCGGGATTCCTGTAGAAATAAAATATTTTGCTTTATTCATTTTGATTTGAACGGTGCTTATTTTGCTTTATGTTATTGTGAGCATTTCAATGTTGGTTTTTAGTCACCCATGCAAAAGGAATAAGTCATTAGTGCCAATTCGAGTTTCAAATGCAACAAATCAAGTTCACTTGAGCTAATTGCAATTCCAAACACAACCGATCAAAGTATCAGAGAAAGTTTTCTCCCTCTTCACTCATCCCCAACATAAAATCTAGTAAAAATCCCTCAAACGAATCCCACTAACTCACTCACAGTGAGCACCCAGCCAGCCAGTCTATTACTGGGGAAGGACGAATGTGATGTGAAGATAAGTAGCTGTGGCGTGGCCCGATATTCGGAAATTTAGTCCCGGATTGGGATGGGAATGTCAATTTGATTTAGAAATAGAAACTCCTACCATCCAACTCACCAAGAAGAAAGAATGATGGAGACACCAAAAAAGTGTAGAAGGAAGGAACCAGTAGCAGTCACGAGTAGCAGTGACTGTGTAGTTAACTCAACCAATGTGAAGTCAGGGTGAAGGGGGAGCGAACATAAAGAAATTGAGGAGTATCACAAAGAAAATTCTTGTGTTGAACGCACTGCTTTCTCTTTATAACTCAGTTACTTCGATATTTGTATCAAAGTTGAGGAGAAACTTGAGGCGAAAGTTGGATTGAGATGTATCCTCCATGGCGAAAGAAAGAGTTGGAGGAGTGAGCGGTGTGGTGGTTGGACTGTGGGGAATAGGGAAGTAATAGTCTCATTAGCGTTTTAGCGTGGGGCCAACTGTTTCTAATGCCATTGTGCAAGTGCATGTTTTGGAGGAATGAGAGAGCTGAAACTAAGTGCCTTCTTCTTCTTCTTCTTCCCTTATCCCGTCATCACACCAACCAACCACATTTACCATCCGCTATCAAGACAGCTTTCCATCTCTCCCCAACTTGATTTCCATCTGATTCATTCCATCACATTCATTCATGACAAAGAATAAAGTACGAAGGAACAAGCATGTATTCAGCAGAAGGGAATGAAAGGGTGAAAGAGCGATCAAGTAAGAACTTTCACGGCAGGTAATTTGAAAAACTTGAATATTTAAAACAGATGATAACGGACAATATGCCCTCACTTCCTTTCTTGACACCTTGGTTGGAATCTCGAAATAATTAATAATTCGAGTTCATGGCAGCAAATCAGATATTAAATACGCAGAGTAACAGGGACCGACAGTATTCCAACTTCTACTACATATTATTATTATTATTCGAGTCAAGATGGTTATCTCAATTATTAGTGACAAACCATAAATCAAAATCAAACCGAGGGTGCAGTAAGCGTTTTCCTACATGTGCCACCACAACCAACTAGCTGGAAAGTAGTAGTGATATCGCAATCGGTTTCCATTTTATTGGGAAAAAAATCTTGGCGTGGTGGAGAATACGAGAGCGAGGGAGAAAGTAGGAAAAAGTGCGTTTGTTTGGTTCGAGATAGTTTTGGAATTGAGAAAGGTGGCTGACTGACTGGTGAAGGTGCGTGGGGTAGGTGTTGGTAACAACCATATTATCGAAACGGGAAATGATTTCATCCCCAAAAGTCCTATTTAACACAACCAACCTCCATTATCATTCACTCCTGCTACATACACACGTAGGGATACTTCTTCTGGGAAGGTGCATATACCATAGTCTAACAATATAGTAACAATTAGATGAGACATAGCATCTGGCTTGGAAAACTGCAAATTCAGTACTGTCGACTAATCCTTATTGCTCCAGAAGTACGTTTCTGTCAAGATTTTGTGTAAATTTCCAAGTGCCACTAGTGGGAATATGTGTAATACGTCAGATATACGTGTATATTGTGCTCCTACTGGTGCAAGGAAACCACTTTTAGTATTTTTGGAAGGAAAGATGGGTTAATAAATGCGAATATAGGCAGCAAGCAAAGTCTTTGAGTGCAACAGCAGTAATGCTCTTTGCGCTACGAAGCGTAACGCTCAGGGCTCAAGACGATCCAAACATCAAACCACTCGCTCGTTGAAAATCTCCCCCTTAGCTCCTTCCTGACGGAATCTGGAAACTTTCCTTCAAATACAGAAAACTTTCTGCGAGAGAACAGAAAAGAAGTGAAATCCGTGTTATTTTTGCTTCCGTATCCAAGAAGAGTGCCGAGGAGAGAAGTGCTGGGCTGGGTGTAGAATAGAATTAGTTGGTCGAGATTTGAGCTACAGCAATTTTACTTCTCTGGAATACCGAGCAATAAAAAGGAAACGAATAAAATGCTCCAGTTGTGTATTTTATGAGACCAAGATGTGATTTTTTCTATATATATTTGTATCAGTATTTGTACATGAAGTAATTCAGTATTTTCAAACCTCGTATAAAATAATGCATATTTAAATGACAATGGAGTTCTTAAAAAACATGAGACTACTTAATTCAGAGAACCATTGTCAAATTCAAGAGAACCAAGTAAAAAATATTTATTATTGATAACTGAAGAAATATGACCATCATGCCGACCCTTGGCCTCACTTCGACACATGAATTATTAAGTATTTTTATCTAATCGTTTCAAATACAAGGTTTGACACTGAGAAGAAGGCGTGCGAAGAATAAGATGAGAGATTTTTTTCAATTTACACTTTTACTATTCTTGCGTATGTGATTCCCACACACCAATGATTCAAGTTTACATAGCCACACCATTCACAAAGAGAGGAAAAAACGTGAATCTCTAAATGATTCTTGAGAACGTGACGAATGAATCAAATTTTGCTCATACGTACTTATCCTTAGAATCATTGTCATGAATATCTTTAGTGGCGGAGGTGCATTTATGGAGTGGTTCTGATTTCGAAAATTCAACGATAGTCACACAGCAAAACTATGTAAACTATCGAACAACCGAAAAACTTTGTTTGGAACGAGATTTCGTGTTTATAACACACTTCGAGCAAGATAGATTCATTAGCCTAGTCGTGATTTATGATTAAAGTTTTTGCTATTCATGATTTCATTATCTCGTACGCGGAAATGGTATAGCGTGTTGTTCAAGAAGTAGAAATTAGTGTAATCGGAAAACTTGAGCTTCAAGTTTGTCTAATTGCCATGATGAAGTTGGTACCAGTCTCATTGCTTCTTCACGCACGAACGGGAGAAAGCAGTTTGTTTTCTTTGCCATTTCGAAATTAGTTCAGTGGAACATTTCGGAGAGAGATATAAATGCCTAAATTGCGAAATTTGTATAATTCAAGCGAACTTTGGTAGAAACATAGTGTAATCCACATGACAAGAATCGGAAGCACCGTTTATCCATGCTACACATTTTTGTTGGGCAGGCAATATTAAATTTTCGTGAAAAGATCATCTCTCTCTCCCCAAACAATCCTTCTGGGATTTGTATTGATTCGTCTGAGCTCAAGGC